CTTCATCGATGTCAGTCCCCGAGCGCTCGATGATGAAAGCGCCGTACGACCCGAGGATCGTGTCCAGATCCTTTGGAGCCCAAAGCCCAGGCTCCCCTAGTGCACGTTAGTTTGACGTTTGAGACACGCGACCCTGTATCAAACCCACCCATGGACATAACCAAGTCGGCGCCTGGGAATTGAATGTTAGCAACATTCTATGTTCGTCCGAGTGAGTGAGAATCGACATACCAGCTAGAAGTGCTATCCGGGCCTTTTTCATTTGCCCATCGGGGGCCTCAATGCCTCCAAGCACCGTGTTGATCTCGTGGTCGAAGTGGCGCAAGACCTTGGCCGTCGGGACATATTGCGGCTCGCCGTTTTCGTCGCAGTTTACCGTTTCAAAGGGATCAACCATGAGCCAGGGCGATTGCTCAACGGCCCGGCCGCACATGTTGACCCGGTGGGAGCCCGGCGCGAGCCCCACCTTCTTGTAAGCGTCGCTGACCTGTGACACCCCGTCAGCCCTTGCTCGTTTCAATTATGCCTCCCTCAGAATTCTCTGGACGCACAGGTGACAAGTATCCGGCGCAAACTTCGAAGTCGGTATTGAATCGCACAAAATCGCCCGCCATTTCAAACATGCGGAGATGCAAATAGGTGATCGCTTGCATAGTGTCCGTCAGCAGTCGCAGCGGCCATGTGTCCGCGCCAGGCACATACGAGAGAATGAACCACAAGCGACCAACACCAGGGGTGTCTTTCCAGGCTGCGTCATCTGGCGCTTCAGCTTCTGGGTCGGAAAGTTATAGGGCGCCTGTGCGCCATCGACGGCCGGCCCCATCGCCGTGGGTGTCTGTGTGTCTGAATTGATGGTTCCGGCGGTCATTTTAGAATTATCGAGTGGTTGTGACGTCGAAGTGCTGAGGTTCGAGGATGCCGCGTGACGGGTGACGCAGCGAGGTCAGGTCAGAAGCGCAGCTCGGGGTATGCGGGGCAGCGCCTTTGAGCGATGCCGAGCAGGACGGGGCTGATCGGGAATCTGAGTCGAGTTGTCGCCGAAACCCGGCACAGAAAGGCACCAATCGGAAGGACGGTTGGTTTGATGCAATTGCTAATGATGTCGTCGGTTCGGTAGAGGAGTCGCAGTATTTGTTGAGAGTCGAGTTTTGTAGATGTTGAAGGTGACAAGGGGTGGCCAGGCAGAGAGGTGGGATGGGGGGCGGTCCATTCACTTATTCAGCCACTGACGCGGGGGGTCCCAAAGGCTCAATCAAAGAGCTAAATATCCATTTTGTCAATTTGTCACTGCAACGACCAGGGCTTTCTTCAACATCCGCTGCCGGAGTTAAGCGTGGGCTAAAAAGGCGCAACCCACTCTTGGGCTCGCGCAATAGCAGTCTGTTACAAAATACACCGAACTCACTATTGTGTAGGGGGCCCCATCGACCTGGCCGGGCCAGGTGTTGGTTTTGTCTGGTTTCACAATTCCTTGTGCCTCCTGCCAAAGTGTTGAATGGAATCGGATAAGCAGCCCTGCACCACGACAAGCCTACCCGGGAGCTCTCAAAACCCGGAGCTCTCAATCTGAATAGACACGTGCAATTTTTAAACGCCTTCGTCCATTCATCAGGTCTGACGGGTTCTCACAGGTTTCACATGACCCAAACTCGAGGCCTCCCATGCCGGAGTGTATCACTTTGAGGCAGGTTGTTCCCGTGGCGTCTGAGGGTACCGTCCAAGCAGTGTTCCAGCGCCCCCACAGTACACTCGGGCCAAAAGCCGAGCAGAGGGTGGGCGGGGCCAAACATCGCCTGTAAGAACCTGGATTGCACATGCATACCCGAAGGACTGTCTGTACATCTGCTACCTTGTACAGACACAAAATGCAACAGAAGACTGATCAAAGGCCGGAGAATCCCGGCTAATATCAACTCTGTCGGACAAAGTGGGAGCGAAGCTCGGTACCTAAGCCTCGAACTTCAGAGTTCGCGGGCGAGCCCCCGATTTCGGAAGACCGTCGCTGCCAGAACCTGCGCTGTGTGCATGTGCCTACTTCTAGGTACGTAGATAATACAGAACAACATGCGTGCCGACTTATTTCACAACTTGAGGCTTACTGTCTTGAAGCCGAATTCAACCGACAACTTAACGTTTGTGTACGTAATATATTGACAATTATCGTCTCAGTGTAAACCACGGTGTGACCAATTTTCTCGTCCAAGTAAACATCCCCTAGGTAACCCCTGGAACACTCGCACCACATGATCAATACTCAAAGCTCTCAAACACAACCTCTTCATCCCCAAGCCAATCCACCACCGATCTAAGCATCCCAGGACTCGCACAAGCGAAATACTTAGTACCCCTCGCAGCATCCCTCACCGCAAGCACATCCTCCCTCGCCATCCTCCTCAACTCAACCCTCGCACCCAACTCCCTCATCCTCTCGACCACCCCCTTCCCAATCCCACCCGCACCACCACCCGTAACAAACACCGTCGTCACCCCTCCCAGCCCCTCAATCCCCTCAAAAACATCCACCGCCAGCGGCAGATCCTCCCCCCTCAAACTCCACAGCACCTCAACCCCCGAACCACTCCCACTCCCACTCCCACTCCCACTCTCACCAACAACCCCAGCCCCAGCCCCAGCCCCAGCCAACAAACCCGGCGCCTGCGCCAGCAACGGCGTAATTCCAATCCCGCCCGCCACAAAACCGCCTTCTTCCCTCCCCCTCTTCCACCACCATCACCACCCTCACCCCCCACCGTCCCCGTCCCCGTCCCCGTCACCGGTAGCGGGACGCGAAACCTCGTCTCCCCGCCCACCCCCAACACAGGCACCTCCAGCAGCGGCACCGTCGGGCCCAGGCGCTGCGCAAAGAGCAGCCCCGTGGCGGGCCCGTGACGGCGGAGCGTTAGCTGCACTTCTACTTCTACCTCCCCGTCGCCGTCGTTATTCCTCTCCCCCATCCCCATCCCCATCCCCATCCGCGGAAGGGGGGTGAGGGGGCGGCGGGTTGGAGATGGTGAAGGTGCGCACGAAATCGTCGTTCAAGCTCTGGGGGTCGGCCTCGCGCATGTGGCTGTAGCCCATGTCGAGCTCGGCGGCGAAGGAGAGGGTGATGTGCTGGCCGGGGTGCCAGCGGAGGGGGGCAGCGGTTGTTGTTGGTGGTGGCTTGTGGGAGGTGTTCGGCGGGCGCAGGAGGAAGGTGAAGCGCGCGATGGTCGGGGTGAGGAGGTCGCGCCGGGTGAGGGTGAGGGTGGCGGTGGGGGAGGTGGTTTGGGGTGGTGTTGCGAGGGAGTTCGGGGATTCGCTGGCCAGGCGCCGGACGGGGGGGTTGTAGGGGCTGGGTTCGCCTGGCGTGCCGCGGAAGGGGAGGCCGTCTTTGACGAGGCGGGCGGCGTGGATGGTGATTTTGACAGCTAGGTTGGTGTGTGGCATGAGGGTGCCTGCGGCGGGGCCGATGAGCAGCTGGGTTGAGCCGGTGAGGTAGAGGACGTCGGAGGTGGTGTAGTTTGGGATGGCGATACCGATGAGGGGGTTGGTGTGGAGGTTGCCGAGGGTTTGGTAGAGGCGGTTGCCCGAGTACTCGGGGTACACTAGCTCGACGCTGTCTGGGGTGTTGCTGACGACGCGGACGAAGCCGGCTGGCCCTCCGCGGTGGTTGGTGTCCATGGTCTGTCCGTTAGTGGACGAGAGGAAGAACATGTCTGCCTGTTGTATCAGGGCTAATGCTTCTGCTGGAAGGGGCAGAGAGGGCGAGACCAGTTGTGGTGAGGGGACATGGGCGCGGATATCCTTGATGTTGAGGTACTTTGGGCAGTTTCCCAGACTCTCCTGGACGATCATGGCAAGCTGTGTTTCGGCGATGGTGCTATTGTCCGGCCGCCCCGTCACAGTTCCGACCATCATTTTCCCCGCCAGCTTGACACGGTCTCGAGTCTCGAGATCCACGCTCAAGGCGCTCATGACTTTGTCATCCTCTGGTTGGAGCACCTCCCCGTCGGCTGCTTTACCCAAAAGGGCCTCCACCACTGGGTCGTGAGCCCTGTCAACCAGACTCTGTACACCTAGGATGCCCTGGGCTACCGGCTGCGCAAAGCCACGTTCTCCGCCCCAGATGGAAGTCCATGGCCGGCCCTGGTCATCCAGCGTTCCCACGGCCAGCAGTGGGGAGACGGCAACACGGTGAGCATAAGAGGGAGGTAACCCGGCAGTTGTTGGGTTCCGGCGGCCTGAGGTGGGCACTTTGAGGAGGGTATGAACTGCACGCTCGCCGGCATGCCAGCTATTGGTGTTGTCCAGCAACGTTGCCATAACTGGGGGGCTATGGTAGCCAGGGATGTTAAATTGGGAAAGAAGGCTGGAACCTTCGAATGGAAGTAGATTGAAGCTTGTAGTACTCTGAGCTACGCTAAAAAAGAGCAGTGACGAGTATATGTGCGGAAGTTTCATGCGAATCGTTAGTAGATTAATGGGACTCCCTGGGTATCTGGTCTATTCGTCGTTGTATATAAAATGTTGATGGTGAGGTTCGGTCGCGAATCTGACAAATCAGTGGCTTATGAGGAAGAAGGAAGGGCGCGGTGACTACAAATTTGACAAATGAAAAGGGTAACCTTACTCCTGCTTTCCGTCGGACGGGGTCCTTACTCATCAACCCGAGCACATCACAACAGCCAAGCTCTTATATAGATATCGGAGGGGTTCTCAACCCCGCATGTACCGAGTTGCGCCATCGTGAAGATAGAATGTCCGTTGGGTCAACTCCAACGTCGAATTGACCACCGCACTTCCAGATAAGAGCGTGAAAAGCATCTACGGATATTTGTATACAAAAATAACACTATACATGAAGAACCTCCCCCCTTTGCACGGATATCGCACATACTTCTCGTCGCTTCATACCGTCTTTCAAGCCGTGCCCCTTACTTAACCCGCCCCCCCAACTGTACGAGCCCAAAACGCCGTGTACCCCAAAAGTGCATCCCGCCGTGATATATGCAATGCCGATGAAACAACGACAATTGTCCGCCCATATGTCGTCATTAGAAGCCCATCACCATCTCTCATGTCTGCTTCATCGCGCATCCGTCCCATTCCCTCGTGTGTGGGGTCGGTTCACTAACAACCCCTTTTCGAGCGATCACCAGCCGAACGCCCGCTGGGAAGCAAAGGCGCTGCGCAAAGGTGTGAGCCACCAAATTGCCGGCCGCTTTCGCAGCGCATAGTCGAAAAGTTAAGCGCCGAAGCGCAACGTTTTAACCGATCAAGCCATGTCATCACCACTGCTCCCACTCGACGACGTCGTCACCGTCCCGTGGACATTCCGTCGCGCGACACTGACAAGGTGGTAGATACCGAACGCGATGAGCGCTAATACGATAAATAGGACGATGATAATCACCGCGATGACATCATTCTGCTTCATCCTTACTGACTTCTGGCTCGGAGCCCGAGGCGTGCTCTCTTGCTGTGTGTGTGTAGCGGGCGGACGCTGTCGTGCGGGATGGGAGGGGTCGGCAGAGAGGCTCGTAACACGGCGGAGGCGAGCTGCACTCTCAGAGCAACGTTGTTCCAATCCCGACCGGTTGGCGACCGCAAGGTTCGTGCCCGTAGGTTTGGGAGGTGATGTAAGTGGAAGCTCGCGTGTGGGTCGAGCTAGAGCTTCGAGTTTGACGACAACGACGTGCGTCTGTCGGACTGTGGCAGTTCAAGATAAATCTGTCAGACGTTAGCTGCAAGAAGCTTGGATGGCAACATGAGATGGGAGAAGCTCACAGCAGCAAGCAGCTGGCCGTTCGTTGCGGGGTTCGACGTTGCGCAAAAACGAGGTCGTGTTCCGTCAACAAGTCGTCGCAAGAACTCAAAGGGTTCAAAACAACCGAACAAAAAACTACAGAGTCCGTAACGTCGTAAAAAAGCAGGCAGGTTCGCAGATCAAGATGCAGTGCAAGTTGGGCAGCCCGCCGCCTCGCGCGGGACCAGCAGGCGCCCGCGTAAAATAGGGTGGTTGCCCCGCCACCTGATTGTTGCAAAAAAGTCAATAAAAGAGAAGGCTGGCAGGGCCAGCGAGCTGGATGCTAACCCCTGCAAGACAGGGGTGGACCAGTCATTTTGGTGGGGTCCCGCCCAGCCCCCTTCTGCAACTCGGGTTCTGATACGTCAAACCCCGAATCTCGGATCAGGGGCAGGTCTCGCTCCAAGATCTGGCGAGCTGCCAGAGGTTGTTGGCTGCGTCATGGTCGCGAGACCCGCTGATGCATGGGAGGAATGTTGAAAAGACACTGTACCTCACGAAGCCATTGACCCCCAGTGGAATTGATGTCTCGTCTTGCTGCGTAAAGCTCCAACTACCAATTCAGATTAATTATCGCTACTTCATACAAAGGCAGAGGCGGCCATCCCTGGGCCAACACCCCCTTGGTGAACTCACTCGAATCCGTGGGCCCGAAATGCAAACGCTGTGGTACCAAGACAAAAGATAAAGTAGAAACGGATGTATTTCTCAGAGCAATTCGAAGCCCAACGCCGAGTCTGTGTAGAAGGCGCAGCTGCTTAATTCAGATGCGCATGAGGAGACGCCGGTTGTGCGAAAAATGGATGGATGGATCGATCGGGTTCACAAAGAGTCAGCGTCGGACTCCCTCTTGATAATCCTCACATGCTGCTCGTAGAATTGCAGCATCTAGAACCGGTAAGCGTTTGCCGAAGCAGCTCTGTCATGCCGGAACATACCTTCTGTGGGCATCTTTGATAGATCACCTTCGTTGGGTGTTGGGTCTTCTGCCCGTTTTTCCAAGTGAGATACACCATCAAATTGCCTGATACCTCATCCTCGCAGGCGTCAAGATGATCGATGTGTTCTTCCCAGCTCCCTGCTGGTGGTTTCCATGTGGGCCGCCTTCGCGCTGAGCGGCGGTTCGCCGTCGGCCGGGTGGTCTCTGGTTCGCCTTGACCGCTTCCCGCTCGCTTGCGGTGTAGAGGAAGATGGCCGACCTCGCTTTTTTGTCTTTAATGCGTTGGCACTATCCTCATACAGCTTGTCCCGGCCGCCAATACTCTGGAGGTATTCGTTTAGCGCGTCTGAAGCGTTATCGCTAGAGGCAACGGTCAGCCCAAGTGCATCCGCCAACATGCAAGCCAATCTCCTACATTAGATTTTCCTCCGGCTCCCAGGTCCGGTCAGACTTCTTCTCGTAGCCTTCCCATTTGACTTCAAACAGCAACTTCCCCTATGGTTCGCGTTAGATGGTAACCCAACCTGGAAACCATAGAATCCACCTCTTACCTTATCGATCATATGCGACATGATGTTTTCTACCACGTAGCTAGCCTCGGTGTCAGCAACCTTTACCTCAATTCCCACTTGTCCTCATGGTTCGTACACTTCTTCGTCAAGTTCTTCGTCATCGTCGTCGCCTTCCTCATCATCGCCTTCCGGAGCCCCATTTTTCTCGTCCATTGATGCGGCATCGTCGTCTTCCGGGACTTCGTCCTCGTATTTCGCGGGATTCCTCGCCCGTGAGGACTTCTTGGCTAGGGATTGATCGACACCGACGTCCGAGCCCTCGTCGTCGCTAAATGCTGGAGGAGGTATCGTTAGAAAAAAACTACCCCATTTGATGCTGTGGGGGAGAGAATGTCAAATATCCGACCACTTGGTGACAAGGCCAGCCGAGGCGCAACTTGTAGATTTGGAACTACATTTCATAGTAGCGTGATCAAGGGCTTACCTGGTGGCATCGCAACAAATGACTGTGTAGCAAAAGTTGAAGTATTAGAACCGGTATGAATCGATAGATTTGTGGGTTGTGTTGGGTTGGTGGTCTCTTGTCTCGAGTTGGAATCGCGTTTCGGCGGAAACGTGAAAGTGGTGATGGCTTCACGTGCACGCGCGAACGCGGCAGAGAAAGAAATTGGGGCCATAAGGGGAATGGCCAATAACTGTATCACGTGACTTTGCACTTCGCCGACAGCTTGGGCAGCAAGAACAGGAAATGGGTTAGGGTTATCACAAACCTTTTCTCAAGTGCTGTTTGTTTTTCAGAACCATATGCACCAGAAAGCACCTCCAAAGTAGTGACGGAGACAGTTTTGTAAACACCGCAGCAAAGCATTGGGGCTCACGGGGCCGCTGACTATACTCAACTCAACCGTGGCCCTCACCTTTTCCCCCCAATTCTTTGCCGCCTCTCCTCCCTTTATTTTCTCCGAGAGGTAGTTTATCCCTTACCAGCAACCCCATCTGTGGCAGTGGGTTCCACAAGGCCAAACTTTCTCAATGTGGACATACCGGTTTGGGCTTTAGCCGACGATAATATTCTGGCGCCAACACTAAAGTAACAAAGGGCATCGAATGTGTTGAAACTGGGTATTAGTTAGATAATCCGCCGTAGATATCTCCTCTTGGGGTTCCGTGGTCAGAGGATCAAGCAGGATATGGTCTTGCTAAGGCCGAATTGGTCAGTTGCAAAGTCAAAGTACCAGCAGGAAGAAGAACCTCACTTGAGTTGTGCAATGTAGGCCCCAAGCTAGCGACAGGTTCATCGTCACTCAACTTACAGACAAGGGTCCGTCGAGTGATAGTTCTATCCAAGTAGCCTATTTAATCCCGTTTCTTGAGCGCACCGCCTTTCTGTCTATCGGAGGTCGCAGGGAAAGTGAAAGTTTTCAAGAAGACAAAAAAGAAACCTGGCAGTTGGCACCTTCCCAACCTTAAGGTGTCAGCGGGGCAATGCCTCAGGGGGGTACTTTCGTACCTGCCATATTCATCCCCCAGGTGCAGGTAGGTGGTCTCTAAGCGTGGTCAGTTACTAGAAAGGTCAGGTCGAAACGGCCTTGGTTCCATGTTTGTGCTTCAGATCTCTACCTGCCGCCGGCACAGTACCTAAGTGAGGTGCTCTTGAGTGGCCGCTTGACAAAACACAGCCCTCCTGATTCGACTTGTTCGTCACCTTGAGTACACTTGCTCGACGAACCCCGGAACTCTAATTGTACTATTGCTACACACAAAAAAGGTCATCTCATGGAGCGAGCATATAATGATATGTTCCCTCGTGTCTCTTTTTATTCCCTCTCGCTTTCACGCTCGCTTCTCTTTCCCCTCAAAGCTCCAAACTGAGACGGGCAAGAGCATTCCCCGCCAGCGGACAAGGGTAATAATAAGGTGGAAACACTTCCCCAGTCTTCAGGAAGCAAACAACCAATAACTCTGGAAATATCCGATTTATGTTTCAAACATCTGAACCACTTCCCGTCTTGACCGCCGACATGAAACCCGCCACACTCTTCTTCGAGCCCATGTGCAAACAACGGCAGCGGTTTCTCCATAGCGAAGACAAGGATGCTGATGGACACGCTGGCCGCTTCGAGTTAATCCTGCCGCTGCCGCCGTTGCCGCCTCCGGCTCTATCCGCGCGACACCCCCGACCGTCAACACCCCCGGCTACACCACACGGAACGCCTCCGGCTTGCCCTCTGTGAGGTTCGCGGTCGATTCTCAGGGTCCTTTCCTTCTGTGGAATCGTCCGGGTGATGTGAATGACATCCAATCCGGCGACAATCCACTCCGGCGGGACTGTCCCCCAGGCGTTCGGCGAAGCTAACGGCGAAGCTAATGAGCTTCTTGGGACCGCCAAGGAACCGGTCATTGGCCCGGCAAGGACACCGCGTTGCCCGGTCCTAGGATCCCCGGGTACCTCTCCAGGGGGCTCATTTGCTCAGTCAAGGGGTCGAAACTCTTCGAAATGGAAAGGGGTCACCGTTCATGAAGGAAAAAGAAATATTCCGGTCTTGCGTCGGCTTTTTTCCCACGGCTCTGAGAGTTGGACCGCGCTGGAATAAGCAATTGGCACATGCAGGAACACCTCAGAGCTCAACCTGAGCTGCGGGATGCCTGTGGGGATCCGTCCTCTTCTGGCAAAATTAACCAGATCAAACCAACCCCAAGAGGCACAAACCGCAGACCGGCCCCAAGTTGGGGCCATAAACTATGCTAAATATAGCGGAATAGTCCGCTAGTTTGTGACGAGTGGCTATTCACACTTCACAGCTGTTCCCTTCCCAGCTGATGGCACATCCTCTCGACCTGTCACTTCTCGCGCTCCCAGCCCGCTAACGAAAGAAGCCGCAACAAGCCTGCGGTCCAGGCCGTGATCAGCGCCAAGCCATTGTCCGAGCCAACAGCGACGCAGCCGACAGCCGGGCCTCTCCTTGCTGGGGGACCACATCCGAGTGCACCCAATCTCAACGGTGATGTGACAGGGGGCATCATCTCAGAGACGTTGGAATCCACCTGCACCGTACCGAGGATACTCTGGCGATCTGAAATTAGATGAATAAGCGGGATGGAACGGCAGGACACGGCCGCTTTGCACTGTACCAAATGCAAGAGCTTGCGACAAGTGCGACGCTGTAGAGTGTTCTCTCTCTGACCGACGGGGACCGCCCGAGGCCCGAGATTCCAAGTAGTATCGGGTCCTCAACGGTCAGCAACCCCCCTTCCCCAAACCGTAACTGACGGCTGCATTCTGCAAGCCAACAACGACTGCCGCCTCGCGATACACGCAACCCGGTTCAGCACTCACCGGGACCCCGGTTGGGCTAATAGGTGCCCTGTCCAAAAATGCTACCCAGATGGGAAAAGGGGCTCCAAATATAATCAAGCTTTCTGGCTTTTGAGGTCATGATGGGTGCCGCGAGAAGCAAAAATGGTCCACTCATTGACACTTCGCCAACACGTATTAAACCACCCACTCCCACAGCACTCCGCCATGCAGCTTTTTGTCGGTCTCCTCTTGGAAGATTCCCCCCGACAGAAGTGAATTTTAACCAATAACGCTGCCGTGTTCCGCTCAACTCCGGGGATATCCTCTCCGCCTCATTCTCGGCCCGCATTCGGCACGCTGCTACCCGGGCATTTAGACCGTAACAGCACAACAGAACATGGACGACACATCGAGCGGCCCTCCAGAGGCCAACACGACCAAGGCCGTGAAGGACAAGAGCTGTCCATATTGCCACCAGGCTTTTACCTCTTCGTCTTTAGGCCGCCACCTCGACCTATACATCCGGGAGAAGAACCCAAAGGCTCCGGATGGGGTGCACGATGTAGAGGCCATACGGAAACTCAGGCAAAACATCACCCGTCGGCAGCCCAAGGGTGCTGTGTCTCGACGGGCCACGTCAGCCTCAGTGGGGACCCCGACTACAATGTCCAGAAGAGCTTCCGGGGATGCCGACTCATCCGCCGCAAGGTCTCCGCTGTCCCAGAAGGACAGCTCAAAGGCTGAGACCGCCTCAGGAAGCAAATACCCGTTTAAGCCTCGCTGGGAAGCGACAGGAGTCATCAATGATCTTGCCGTTCGGGGGGTCGGAACAACCGGGGACGCCGGGGGGGACGGGACCGGCAGGGGAGCGAAGTCAGGCCCGTCCCAGCGCTCGGTTTGCAGACAGACACTTAAGCAGCATCTCGATATGAGACAGCAGATTCAGGACGCCGAAGACAGATCGAGGGCTGCAGAGTTGGCGTTGAGAGAGCTACTCAGCTCGCTACGAGCCGCCAAGTCTGTTCCCTTTCCTTGGTCGCCGCACCTTGTTTTTGGTGATTCCCGCGCATGCTAACTGCAGCCGGCAGATATCAAATCGATCTTGACTCGACGCCCTTCGACTTTGATCCTTTTTCGCTAGACTTTCCGGCTTTGACGCTGCAGTGCCTTGAGCCGCCACCGACTCTCTTCGCTTCAACACAACACCCAACGCCCACCTCGTGGTCGATCTTACCGCCGGGGCAGACTCAACTTGAAGCGCTCCACGCTCATTTTCAAGAGGAGTTCAGGCGGTGGAAGATTACTTGCGCAGCAGCCACGACCGCCCTCAGCGAGGAGCTCACCTGCCCGCCTTCCTCGGAGACCGCGAGAACAGACTCCAAGGCCGAGGTTCTCAAGGCGGAGAAGGCAGCTGTGCAGATGGAGAAGCATGTCTACGACCACCTGGGAGCCACCTACTCGATCTGGAACGGGCTCGCACAGGAGCAGCGCGAGCAGCTCTGGAGATTGGAGTTGGCGCGGGGCGTCGGCAGAAAGCGAAAAGAGGTGGACAAACTGAAGGAAGGACAACACCTACTCCGACAAGAGAACGCAAACCTCAAAACCCAGATTGAGCAACTGGCTCGCCTGCAGCAGCCGCGCGAATTCAACATCGCGCCTCCATCGACCGTCTACGTCGACGAGAAACTGATGAAGCACATGCTAGAAGGAGTGGCGGCGGACGCGAGGAGCTTCGTCGGCTTCAACCTTACCGATCGGCACTCGGACCTGAGCACCGTCGTGTCGTCAGTCATCGACCGGTGGAAGAAGGTGGTGGTGTCAACCCGCTCGGCGAGTGGCGGCCTTCAAGCACAACGGTCCCTCAATGCAGGGAGCGCTGCTCCGAGCCCGAGAGGTTCGATCGGGGATGTGTCGCCGACGAACCAGCAGGAAGGTTTACGACTGCCGCAACAGGCTTTTGGAGGTCGCCGAAGTCACCCCCAGCCCCGGCAACTATCCATAGCCACCAGCTATGCGACGAGCTACCCCGCCTCAATGGCCTCGCCTACTTCAGCTCTCACTCCACGAATTCCAACAACGCCGGCCATCCCTAGTGCGGCACCTTCAATAAGTATTCATGCCGACGATGAGGACGAGGAGATGAGCGATCAAGAGGCCGAGTCGGACGCCGAAGCAGATGCCGAGGGGGAACCGGAAGCAAATGAAATTCCAACTGTAGATGGTTTTATCCCAGGTGATATCGATGCCGACGCGGATGCCGATGCCGATGCCGATGCTGATGCCGACGCCGACATGGAAGACGGCCCTGGCGGCTACATTGATGCCCAGCTCCAACCACTCCAGCAACAACAGCAACAACAACAGCAACAGCAGCAACACCCAGTTGTGCCCGTGCCGTTGCCCTCACAGCATATGGGTCAATTGGAGATTTCACGGACACGCCAACAGATGGGAGGTGGAAGGAGGAGTAATACCGACGACGGCACGGCAGGTTTCGGAGAACTTGCTCAAGGACAGGTGCACGCGCGGGGCCGGATGCCGAGCTGGGCTTGAGATCCGAAGAAAAGCTAAGTGAGAGCATTAGTGCTCGCACGGATGCGGACGAGGGAGGTGGCCCCCGTCTTGTGGTGGGCTCATGGCCAGAAGCACCAATTTTGGGAGGACGTGTTAGATAACAATGACTTGTAATAATTACTAGACTATAGACGAGACCCAGAAACGGTCACATACATGCACAAAATGCAGAATTACAGAGTCATCCTCTTTCTACCAAGACTCGCCAGAATTTGGTGCTTAAGATGTCACTCAGGGGCAATAACAAAGCACCAAGGGTTAGGGTTGGACTGTCGACGCGAGATGGACCTCGCGCCTGAGTCACCCCGCCTTAAGCACAGCCAAAGTTTGTGACTCAAATTGTCTTCGAAAAAATACCCCGCTGTGGGGTTATTTAGCAATTGGGTCCGGAGCACTTTCTGCAACAAAAACCTAACCTCTTGCACAACGATACCGACAAGCAGACGGCTGCATTGGCTCTCGTACTCTGATTTACTGAGTTCTCCAGCCATAACCATTTCCAATAGTCACCATGGCTGACTCGACGGCCCCAGCGCCTCCGACGGAGGAGGTCGCCAACCTACACCTCGACGAAGTCACGGGCGAGCGTGTGTCCAAGACGGAACTGAAGAAGCGCCAGAAGCAGCGCCAGAAGGAGGCCGACAAGGCGGCCAAGGCGGCTGCCGCACCGCCCAAGGCATCGGGCAAGCCCAAGAACGCGGCGGGCGAGGAGGAGAAGGATCTCAACCCCAACCAGTACTACGAGATCCGGACCCGGCACGTCAATGAGCGTATGTCAACCTCATAACGACTTTCCCGCCCACCACCGACAAAATGGCGCACCTTTGCTGACTGGCCCCGCCCAAACAGTGCTCAAGAACCCCGAGACGAACCCGTACCCGCACAAGTTCCAGGTCACGTACGACGACTCCAAGTTTGTCGAAGAGTTCGGCCACCTCAAGTCGGGCGAGACGGCCGAGAATAAGGAGATCCGGATCGCAGGGCGCATCTACAACAAGCGCGCGAGCGGCTCCAAGCTGATCTTTTACGGTAACAAACCCCAAACCCAAGGCCCGTGCCCATCAATGCCCCCCAAACTGACCAGACCCCCCTTCCAAACAAAAAACAGACCTCCGCACATCCGCCGACACGGTCAGCATCGGCACGCAGCTGCAAGTCGTCTGCCAGGCGCAGCTGGTCAAGGAGGACTCGGGGGCGCCGTCGTTCGAGAAGCAGCACGAGAACATCCGGCGCGGCGACGTCATCGGCATCGTCGGCTATGCGGGGCGCACCAACCCCAAGAACCGCCTCGCCGAGGGCAAGGAGGGCGAGCTGTCCATCTTTGCCACCGAGATTGTGCTGCTGAGCCCCTGTCTGCATATGCTGCCGAGTGTGCGGTTTCCGTTTTCGGATGGGGAGCAGAGGTATGTTTTTTTTTTTTTCTTTTTTCCTTTTTTTTTTTTTTTTTTTTTTCCGGCCGGGGGGGGGGGGGGGGGGGGTGGTTGTTGTTGTCGTAAATGAGCGTGTAGTGGGTACTGACGCTGGTGGTAGGGCCCGCATGAGGTATCTGGATATGTTGTGGAACGACAAGAGCCGGGAGGTGCTGTGGCAGCGCAGCCGGGCGGTTCGCTATATCCGCGAGTGTAAGTCTGTCGTTTCCGCTATGAGGAGAGTAGATTACTGATAATATACCCAGACCTACATGAACGTCGCTTCATCGAGGTCGAGACACCCATGATGCACGCTATTGCTGGTGGCGCGACTGCTGTAAGTCAACATTCTGGGATTACCAAGAAGCTGAAAGGGGGATGAGAGGGATATTGACTGTCGGCAGCTTCCGTTCACTACCCATCACAACGACCTCGACATTGACATGTACATGCGTGTCGCTCCCGAGCTGTTCCTCAAGAAGATGATTGTCGGCCAGTTCGGCAAGGTGTTCGAGATTGGCAAGAACTTCCGCAACGAGGGTATCGACCTCACACATAACCCCGAGTTCACAACTTGCGAATTCTACTGGGCGTATGCCGATATGTACGACCTGATGGAGTTGACCGAGGATCTTGTTTCCGGCCTCGTCAAGCAACTCACTGGCTCTTACAAGACCACCTTCACCACCCAGCACGGCGAGACATACGAGGTGAACTGGGAGGCGCCGTGGCGTAGGGTCTCGATGATTCCGGAGCTTGAGAAGGCCACGGGCGAGACATTCCCCCCGTCTGAGGAGCTTCACACAGAAGAGACCAACCAATTCTTGCAGAAGGTCTGCAAGAAGATGGGCGTCGAGTGCGCGCCGCCGCTCACCAACGCCCGCATGATTGACAAACTCACGGGCGAGTTCATCGAGAACACCTGCGTCAACCCCAGCTTCATTAGTGAGTTCCGCTACATGGCAGGGGAAAGAGATGGAGAGTGTGCTGACAAGCGGCACAGTTGAGCACCCGCAGGTGATGAGTCCCTTGGCCAAGTATCACCGGTCCAAGAAGGGTATGTGTTGACGCGGCCCCCTTTTCTGAGACCCGGGCTATGGCTAACCAAGCATGCTGGACAGGTCTTTGCGAGAGATTTGAGTAGGTTACCTTGTCGCTACACAACCGCCGGGGTGCTGACCGTTTGATAGGGCATTCGTCTGCAAGAAGGAAATTGCGAACGCGTACACCGAGTTGAACAACCCGTTCGACCAGAGACTGCGGTTCGAGGAGCAGGCCCGCCAGAAGGACCAGGGCGATGACGAGGCGTATGTTTCCATTAGTGTTTGTGATACGCGAGCCAAGCTAATGTTTGTGTGATAGTCAACTCGTGGACGAGAGCTTCCTAAACGCGCTCGAGTATGGCTGTAAGTTTTTACAACCCAAACAGTTTGTTGCTCGCGTTGCTAACCGATGCTGCTAGTGCCGCCGACCGGTGGTTGGGGTCTAGGTATCGACCGTCTTACTATGGTAAGGACTAGAAAGCGAGCAAGTTGCTGGATCTCGGACTAACGCCGCATGCAGTTCATCACGAACAATTACTCGATTCGCGAGGTCCTTGCCTTCCCGTTCCTGCGCGAAGAGAAGCATACCAAGGAGAAGTTCGCGGCGGAGCTGGTCAATGTCCAGCCACTTCCCGAAGAGGGCATTCGTGAGTCCCCAAGTTCAGCTGTTCCCAGTAATTGGGTTGCTAATTTGTTGTTTCCAGCCCACAAATAGATGAGGATACCCGTGACGATGGACGATTGGGATGATGAATGAAAAAAAAAAAAAAAAGTGGTCATCTGTCACTCAATAGATGTGTGAAAAATCTGTTTACGCATGTGTCGAACATTGTGTGCATGATGTGAGGCTCGGTATTGGCACTTCGGAAATGTAACAAGTGGCTGCAGGGTACGGAATGCAGTTAGGTTGCTTCTCATGCGTAGTCTCTTTGCCGTGCTTCTTGTCGTGCGTGGCTCTGCAGTTTTGGTGACGCGGCTCTCGAAGGGTAGGCTTTTGATGTGGGGCAATACTTCACTTCCCCCGGCTTGGCATCCCGTGGCAGGAGGGGCATGATGGAGCTCGGCTGCAGAGCGAAAGCGAACGCTCGCCCCTGAATTACGGGCCGGTTTTCCTATTGAGAGTACCTGAGCTGTGAGAGAGACCAAGTTAGCAAAGTCAACACAACGCAGAGGCAGATCCGGATGACTCGGTATAAAGCGATAAGGAAAGCGAAGTCGCCTGCAATTCACATAACTATAGGATTTACGTACCCAAACATGTACAAAGCAGGCACGGTGCAGCGTCCCGCATCCTTCAAGATGGAGGATCCAGCCAAGACCCCCAAGGCGGAACCACAGCTCGCAAGAGAACCTGAAAAGGTCCCTAAAGGATAAAGAATGGGGGGCCAAGCGCCGAGCTTGCTGGCGGCATGCTGAGCCTCGCTCCCTTTCAGGTGCGGATGGCCCAAATAATTCTCGATCCTGCTTCTGTATTTTCTCAACCCGGATCGAAATCAAGTTTATTTATTTGATCCCTCCGTCATTGACGGCATCATCGAGTCCCCCCCAAGATGCCCATCTAATAATTAGGGCCCGTCAAGAAATCAGATGAAAGAAGCCAAGATCCCCGACACTCGTTTTTAATTTATTTTTTTAGTTAACCTAAGCGCATTGAGCGGCCCCGGAACGAACCGAGACCATCCAGAGGTCAACGCACCTGAGCCAGCGCGCAACGCGCAAAAACGCCAACGCCGATCTGATCGCGAATCGGGAAAGGCGGTTTTACTTTCCCATCTGAGACACCACCTCAGCCAAACCCGATCCGAAGCTGGGCCGGGGCCGATTTGACGGGCCGGCCGGTGTTCGGCGCCGATTCAAGTCATGGCCCTCCTCCGCCAGACTTGGACGCTGGTGCTCAAGAACTGGCTCATCGTCCTCGGCCGCCACAGCTTCGCCACCGTCATCCGCGCCTTTGTCCTGCCGATTATTCTGACGGCGTTCCTGAGCTTTGCGCGGAACCTGTTTGTGCCGTCGGCGACGTTCGGCATCAGTGATGTGCGTCCGGTGCGCTCGTTGGCGGATGGGTTGAGCGTGGCGTCGGGGAGTGGTAGGGATAATGTGGTGTTTGTGAACAGCGGGTTTACGGGAGGTGATATTGGGCGGGTGGTGGACGAGTTGGCCAGGGTGGTGAGGGTGGATGCTGGGATGATTGCAACCATCGCGAAGAGCGAGGATGAGGTGCCGCTTATTTGTCGTGCTTCCCTCCGTGGTGTTACGCCGTGCGCTGCTGCCGTCATTTTTCATGGTTCCCCGACTGAGGGCGACGGCGGGTTGTGGAATTACACCATCCGCGCCGATGCCTCTCTCGGCGCCGGCCGTATTGACGCTGAGAAAGATACCAACGACGCGCAGGTCTATTTGCTGCCCTTGCAGCATGCCATCGACTCGGCCATCTCCCGCCAAAACGGCCACGGGGATGACGGGGCACAACCGCTTCCTAGTGCCATGGACGAGTACCCCTTCACCTCGCTCACCAACGAGGAGCTCGCCGATCGCGTCCGTGTCGTGTATCAGGGCATGATCATGAACTTCCTCGGTGTCGTCTTTATTGTGACTATCATTGGTGTCGCTTACCACATGGCTGGGTTCATTGCGACGGAGCGGGAGTCGGGCATGTCGACGCTGATCGAGGCCATGATGGCTACCAAGAGCCGTTGGAAGCCCCAGTTTGCCCGCATCATTGCCTACCACTTCTCGTTCTCAGCCCTGTATCTACCTGGCTGGGTCGTGTCGGCCCTGATCCTGTGGTCTGGTGTCTTCGTTCACACGAGCGCTGCCATCATTTTCTTCTACTTCATCCTATCCGGCCTAGCCCTGGGCTCCATGGCAATCCTCGGCGCCTCCTTCTTCAAGAAGGCCCAGCTGAGTGGTGTGTTGATCACCATTGCCTTGATTCTTCTGGCCATTATTGCGCAGACGATCAGCTGGCCCAAGACCTCCGCCGTCGTCACGCTTAGCCTTCTCTTCACGCCCTGCAACTTCACTTTTTTCATCTCCCTACTCGCCCGTTGGGAGCAGGAGGAATGGCCGACCGACCTTGCCCAGTCACCCCCTAACAGCCCTTGGGAGCTGCCGGGCATCGTCTTCTTCATCTTTCTCGCCGTGCAGGTCATCGTGTACCCGATCCTCGGCGCCTTGGTCGAACGCTGGCTGCACGGCACTACCTCTAGCGGGCGCAACATCATCGTGGGCGAGAACCGCGGCGACCTTGGCCCGGACTGCGCCGTGCAACTCCAGGAGTTCACTAAAGTCTACCGCCCCGGCATCCTGCGCCGCATGTTCTCCTTCATCGCAAAACCCAAGGAAGCAGTGGTCGCCGTCAACAAGCTCACCCTGAGCGCCACCCGCGGCCAGATCCTCGCCCTGCTCGGCGCCAACGGCAGCGGAAAGAGCACCACGCTCGACACCATCGCCGGCATCAACAAGGCCACCAGCGGCGGCATCACCATCGACGGCACCGGCGGCCTGGGCATCGCCCCGCAAAAGAACGTCCTCTGGGACGAGCTGACTGTCTTTGAACACATCCGCATCTTCAACAAGCTGAAGTCGCCGGACAAGTACGCCTCCAAGGAAGAGATCCGCGAGCTGGTGCTGGCCGTCGACCTGGAAAAGAAGATCAAGGCCCAGTCGCGCACTCTCTCGGGAGGGCAGAAGCGCAAGCTGCAGCTCGGGATGATGCTTACGGGTGGCAGCGCCGTGTGCTGCGTCGACGAGGTCTCTAGCGGCTTGGACCCCCTGAGCCGGAGGAAGATCTGGGATATCTTGTTGGCTGAACGTGGGCGGCGCACCATGATCTTGACGACGCACTTCCTAGACGAGGCCGACCTGTTGGCCGACTACATCGCTGTCATGTCCAAGGGCAATCTCCGCGCCAAGGGAACTTCTGTCGAGCTAAAGGACCGGCTGGGCGGCGGGTACAAGATCCATATCAACAACGTCAAACTGATCCCCCGTCTGCCGAATATTGCTGGTGTGAAGAAGAAGGCCACCCATGAGGAGGCTGCGTATATTGCGTCGACGTCGGCGATGGCCGCGACTGTGATTAGGGAGCTTGAAGCGGCTGGCATTACGGACTACCGGTTCTCGGGCCCCACGATCGAGGATGTCTTTTTACAGCTTGCCGACGAGGCCCACGGTGATGGCTCGGGCCTTGACTCGCGCGGGATCCTCAGCTCGTCTGACGAGAAGTATGAAAAAGCCGGGGACGGCAACGAGCCGGAGAAGGGCCTCGAACTCATGTCCGGGCAACCCGTTGGCTTCTTCAGGCAGATCTGGGTGCTGTTCCTCAAGCGGTGTGTCATCTTCAAGGGAAACTGGTTCCCATCTGTTATTGCGTTCATCATCCCCGTCATCGCGGCCGGTTTAGTGATGCTGTTCGTCCGGCACCAGCCGGCCCTCGGGTGCTCGCCTACGGATCAGTCGACGAAGGAAACGGCCATCAATATCTTTGACAGCGACTTTGAACTATTCCTAGTCGGTGGTCCGGCAGGCAAGTTCTCGGAGGATACCCTTCTGCGTTTGTTTGCACCCGTCTATCTCGCCATGCAGGGCGGCAGTGGAAACGCGTTGTCGGCGAGGGCCGCCTCGGGGCCCGCCGCCCTCTTTCAAAATATCACCCTTGTCAACTCGATCGGCGAGTTCAACGACGCCGTCGTCCAGTACCGCAAGAATATCACGCCTGCCGGCATCTGGCTCGGTGACGACCATTCTCGTCCGACGCTCGCCTACAGAGGCAACGGGCCTGAGATGATCAACGCCTGGTTCGGCAAATGGGCTATGGACATGCTCCTGACCAACACCAGCATCGCGTCGAGCTACGTCTTTTTCGACAGGCCGTTTGCCCCGGATGCTGGTAACTCGCTGCAGTTGGTGGTGTACATTGGCCTGGCTCTGTGCGCCTACCCGGCCTTCTTCTCGCTGTACCCCAACTTGGAACGCCGCCGTCAAGTCCGCGGCTTGCAGTACTCGAACGGAGTCAAGCCGCTGCCGCTATGGATCGCTTACACGGGTTTCGACTTCGCCATTGTGCTGGCCGGGGCGGTCATCAGCATCGCGCTGCTTGCTGGTCTTGCCCCCAACTTGTGGTTCCACATTGGCTACGTCTTCTTAATCTTCATTCTACACGGCCTCGCGTCGATCCTGCTGGCGTACAACGTCTCCCTGGTCGCTGCCAACCAGCTCTCGTCCTACGCGTTCACGGCCGCCTGGCAGGTCGTCTGGCTTCTCATCTACCTGATCTGCTACATGGTCGTCATCATGTACGCGCCCGTCCACCGGATCGACAGCTTCGTGCTCGTCGTGCACTTTGTTGTATCAGCTTTCGCGCCCATTAACTCGGTCATCCGCGCGCTCTTTGTGGTGCTGAACCTATTCTCCACGGCGTGCGACGGCCACGAGCTATCCTCCAACCCGGGCAGCATGACCCAATACGGAGGCCCGATCTTGTACCTCTTCATCCAGATCGCCCTCCTCTTCCTGGTCCTTGTCTGGGCCGACGGCGGCAACGCAGGCTTCAGCGTCCGGCGCATGTTCAAGCGCTCCACGCCCCCCTCACACGACACCGCCGAGGAACGCGCCGCCATCTCCGACGAAGAAATCGCCAACGAGCTCGTCCGCGTCAAATCCAACGCCACCGCCGACCCCAACAACCCCACAACCACCGGCCCAACCGACGGCCTCCGCGTCGTTAACCTCACCAAAACCTTCGGCACCAACACCGCCGTCGACAACGTCACCTTCGGCATCCCCCACGGCGAGGTCTTCGCCCTACTCGGCCCCAACGGCGCCGGCAAATCCACCACCATCAGCGTCATCCGCGGCGACCTCAAACCCTCCCCAGGAAGCGGCGACGTCTTCGTCGAAGCCGCCAGCATCACGCGCCAGCTCACCACGGCCCGCTCCCACCTCGGCGTGTGCCCGCAATTCGACGCCGTCGACGTCATGACCGTCGAGGAACATCTCCGCTTCTACGCGCGCGTGCGCGGCATCCCCGACGTCGCGCACAACGTATCCGCCGTCATCCGCGCCGTCGGCCTCGCCGCCTTCCGCACCCGCCAGGCGCATGCCCTCTCCGGCGGCAACAAGCGCAAGCTGTCACTCGGCATCGCCCTCATGGGCAACCCGACCGTGCTGCTGCTGGACGAGCCGTCGTCGGGGCTGGATGCGGCCGCCAAGCGCGTCATGTGGCGCACGCTGGCGGCCACGGTGCCCGGGAGGAGCCTGTTGCTGACGACGCATAGCATGGAGGAGGCGGATGCGTTGGCGGGGAGGGCGGGGATTCTGGCCAAGCGCATGTTGGCGCTGGGTGGGGTCGAGCAGCTGAGGCAGCGGTTTGGGGACAGGTTGCACGTGCATCTGGTGTGTAGGGGGGCGCCGCGCACGCCGGAGGAGGATGTCGAGCGGGTGAGGCGGTGGGTGCTGGGGAATTTGGAGGGCGCGGATGTGGAGCCGAAGACGTATCATGGCCAGATGCGCTTTACGGTGCCGCTTGCGGCGTTTGTGCCTGGTGGTGGTGATAGCAAGGTGCCGGTGGTGGCGCGGGATGAGATTGGTAGGGCTGGTGCTGGTGCTGGTGCTGGGTCGGGGAGTGGGACGTCGTCGTCGGGGTCGGCGATTGGTAAACTGGTCGTGCTGTTGGAGGAGAATAGGGAGGCGCTGGGGATTGACCACTACAGTGTCAGCCCGACGACGTTGGATCAGGTTTTCCTCACGGTGGTGGGGGCGCATAATGTTAAGGAGGAGGGGTACCAGGAGGAGACGAAGAAGAAGACGTGGTGGCGGTTTGGGAAATAGACGGGGCTTGCATTGTGCATGCATACACACAGGATTGTGTGGTACAGAGTGAAGCGGAATCGGATATATTTGGTGGAAGGGGGGAGCACTGCCCTGACGGGTGTCTTTTTTTGTTCTTCTTATTTACTTTGTTCTTGGATATACATTGGCAATGGATTGCAATTTGGGTGATGGATGTCTGGTTTTGTCAGTCGTATACAGAGCTTCGATAGAAAAGGAGAAAGACCGGCTGGGGGGTTGTGGTTGTAGTACCGTATATACATGTATCAGAGAAGAGACATACTTGTGTTGACACGTTTAGGTTGTAGTTATCCACTTGGTTATAACCCTATGACAGGTAACAATGTCTTGTTTACTCTATATATGAAGTCAACCTCTACACGAATAGCCACCCACGAATGGACATGGTGACTACCACCCATCAGGCTCCTCGCCATTCAGCAACTGGTTGAAAATACCTCAACACTGTTCCGTACTATATATATACTAGTTCTTTCCTACCAGTTTCCAACGAGGATCACCGCCTGATGGGAAGTGGCCCTAGCGACGGTGGCTTAATTGGCACTGGCGGTGGTCCTGCCACCCCGGTTTCGAACCTGTGTAATAATTCCCTGGAGGTTGCAGGTTTGAGCCCGAGTGAAACAAAGATATAAGAGGGATTGCCCTCTTAGATCTGTCCTGGAGAAATCCCCAACGGGGTTTCGTAGCCGCCCACCTCCTCGAATGGGGGGCTGGACGGTGACCTTTCGCCGGACTAGTCGGTGAAGTGTTGGTTGTTGGGCCTGTAGAAAAAAGAATATGCTTGGGAGGAAAAAAAAGCATACAACACCGGGATTCGCTGGTCGTCACCGACCCAACTACGGATTACTGATCTGGCTCTTAAAAGACTTATCTTGTGGGGTAGGCGGGGTCAAAAAACAGGGGATCTCGGGGTCCAGAAAGGGGCGCCTCTTCTCCTCTATTAGTGCCGTCCGTTGTAAGAGAACGGTGAAACCGGCTGCGCCGCAGAACCGTTCAGTCTTATGCAGCAATTGCGGTCGAGCCCTGCTGTCGGGCATAACAGCAGGGAAATGACAAGCTGAGAACGCCCCGCGCAATCCGCTCATTGCCGCTGGAAATACGGCTGTCGGGCGCCTTCGACACATCGGCGTCGGGCAAGGCCACACGGGCCGCCGCCGTCGTGATCCCGGGGACGGCCAGTGTTGCAGCCGGTCGGAGAAAGCACGGGATGAAGTGCCTCATCATGCGGGAGCGGTCTTCGGGATTGGTGACGACCACTGGGTCACTTTCTGCACTCTCAGCTCACCCCTTCCCCTCTCCCGGAACTGACAGCAAGTCCTTTGTCGCCCTGAGAGCTTGATGCCACACGTGGCACACTACCTGCTTGGCTGCCTCCCTCGAGATGGTCAGCCGCATACCTGCGCCACCATGAACCACTTCCGATTTTCGCTCCAAGCTGTCAGGTTTGACGTTCATCTGCTCCAGCCTCTGCCACCCCCGATTACTTCCGACCAACTTCCCCGATTGTCGTCGATGCAAACGCCCTGCCATGAATCCGAAACGAACGTACGAAGATGAAGAACCGTCTGCGAGCCTTCCGAAGCGGCTAAGAACCTTCGACCCCGCCTCCAATGGCGTTATTTACCCAAGCTGCGACGCGTACTCTCCACTTGTGCATGAGGCTTACACAATAGCCTGGATCTGTGCACTTCCCTTAGAACTGGCGGCATCGCGTGCCATGCTAGACGAGGAACACCCACTGCCCCCCAACCAAGCCGGCGACGACAACACCTACGTGCTCGGACGCATCGATCAGCACAACGTCGTCATGACATGCTTGCCGGGACAGTACGGAACGAACAACGCTGCAATCGTCGCGACAAACTTGAAGCGAAGTTATCCGAGCATCCGCGCTACCTTGATGGTCGGCATCGGCGGCGGATCCCCAAACCAGGCCGACTTGTACCTAGGCGATGTCGTCGTTGGCACGAGGGTCATGCAGTATGACATGGGCAAGATGGTTGCGGGCGGCGTGTTCGAAGAAACGGCCGATGCGAAGACTCCTGCGCGGCTGCTGAACTCGGCTGTGTCCGCTCTACGGTCGAAGCATGGGCCGCACCATTCTAGCAGTCGAATGACTAGCCTCCTGCGAAGCCGACTCCCAAACATCTTGCGCCCGAACCATCCCGATCGCCTTTTCCAAGCGTCCTATGAACACCCTCTTGGGGCGCCAACATGTATTGACTGCGACCTAGAAAAGCTGCAACCACGAGGCGCACGCCTCTCTGACGAACCCAGGATTCACTACGGAGTCATCGCTTCGGGAAACAGGGTTATGAAGGACGGGAAAGCACGGGATGAGATTGCTGGGCGACTTTCAGCGCTATGCTTTGAGATGGAGGCAGCCGGCATGATGGATAATCTCCAGTGCTTGCCGATTCGCGGCATTTGCGACTACTCGGATTCCCATAAGAACAAGCAGTGGCAGGAGTATTCTGCTGCAACCGCAGCCGCATACGCGAGGGAACTGCTGGAAGGGCTTCGGCCTTCGTCCAGGTCGCTTGATCGGACTCCAACATACATCACCGAAGTGAGCCAGCCTGATACCGCCGGTATTACAAACCATTGCCCTGATCCCTTCCTCTCTGGTATCATACTGACTGGGGATGCGAGCAGTCGACCAGGCCTTGGAACGGCGGCAACGCTTGCTAAAATGCCTTGAATTCCCGCAAATCGATGCCCGCAGAACCACTATTCGGGCTGCGCATAGCAGAACCCTGCCGTTGGCTTCTGCAGCACTCAAAATACCGGGATTGGCTTGACCCCGGGAAGCAGTCGCAGAATCATGGCTTCTTGTGGATGCGAGGCAAGGCAGGTGCCGGAAAGTCAACCATGATGAAGTTCGTGTACCAGGAGACGAAGAAAGTTTTCAAAGAGCCCAGCATGGCCGTGGCGTCCTTCTTCTTCAATGCACGAGGCGACGATTTGGAAAAGTCTATCTCCGGGATGTATAGGTCTCTGTTACTGCAGCTCCTACAGGAGTTTTCGGATCTTCAATACGTCCTGGACAACACGGATATCGTTCCGCGGAACCAACAAGACTGCCCTGACCTGAACGCTCTGAAGGAGCTTCTTAGTAACGCCGTTATGGCCCTTGGCCAGCGCTCCTTCACATGCTTCATCGACGCTCTCGACGAGTGTGACGAGCAGGAAGTCAGGGATATGGTCCAATTCTTTGAGGATTTAGCAGAGAATACTACCGAGGCAGGCATCCGACTCCGAATCTGTTTCTCAAGTCGGCCATACCCCTACATCAGCATCCGCAAGGGCATCTCGCTGACCCTCGAGGCCGAATCCGGACACGTAGAAGACCTGGCACAGTACGTTAAGAGCAAGCTCACAATCGAGGACCCCGTACTTCTCGCAGACTTGCAGTCCGAGATCCTGGGCAAGGCGTCCGGGATTTTCCTGTGGATTGTCCTCGTCGTGGATATCCTTAATAAAGAGGACGACGACGGCGGTCTCGCTCTGAGGACAAAAGATTCAACAATTCCGGATAAATTGAGCGATCTGTTCAGAAGCATTCTGATGCGCGACCGGAAATCACCCGAACGATTGCTGCTGTGTGTTCTCTGGATCCTTTGCGCAAAGCGGCCGTTGACCCCAGAAGAATTCCGCCATGCGCTATGGGTGGCTTTGTTGGACCACAAGTCGGAGCAGAAGGACTGCCAGGTCGACTCTAACATCCCAGACGTCAAAAACATGAATACCTGTGTAAAATTGGTCACGAGTTCCTCGAAAGGTCTTGCCGAGATCACCAAAGCCGGGCGGCCAATTGTCCAGTTTGTCCACGAATCAGTACGGGATTTCTTGGTGAAGGAGAGGGGCCTACAGGATTTGTGGCCTGAACTTGGGTTCGGATGGGAGGGTATCGGTCACGAGAGGCTCAGGCGCTGCTGCACCCAGTATCTGTCTCTTTCAGGGGTACGGGTGATCGTCAACGGCCCTGAGGACAGAGCCGCACGGGACACGCTAGCCCAAAAATACTCATTCTTGGAGTATGCCAGCCAGCACGTCCTCCACCATTCTAATATCGCTGCGCTTGTGATGCCCAATGCACAGGACGACTTTCTGTCTCAATTCTTTGCTTCGGGTGGGATCGGGGTGCTTAACTTGTTCGAGGGCCACAAAGCGCGGAGGTATGGCGTTCATGCAACCCCTCTCTATGTCCTCGCAGACAAAGGACTGGAAAACCTCATTCGCATACAAATGAAACAGGAGTCTGTGAAGAAAGAGTCTGCAGCTTATACCCGCGGGGAAAGGTACAAGTATCCATTTTTTGCCGCATTGGCCAACAGCCACAAAGGCGCGGTGGCTGCACTTTTGGGGTTATCTTCAAGCATCCATGATGGCGTGGATATCACGGAAGGTTTCAATTACAGGAAAGATTTGACGGGATATCAAGGCCGAACACCGTTGTCCTGGGCTGCCCAAGAGGGTAGACTGAACATTGTGAAGTTGTTAATTCGAGGGGCAGACCTTGACGGAGTCGATGAGAGAGGCTATACGCCACTCCGCCGGGCTCTCAGAGAAGGGCCAGGAGGCGGTCGCGCGGCTTCTCATCGACAAAGGGGCGGACGTCAACGCTCAGGACAGTTCTGGATCGACAGCACTGATTTTGGCCTTAAAGAAGGGCCCACGAGGCGGTCGCGCGGCTTCTCATTGAAAAAGATGCGGACGTCAACGCTCAGGACAGTTCTGGATGGACAGCACTGATTTTGGCCTCAGAGAATGGCCACGAGGCGATCGCGCGGCTTCTCATCGAAAAAGGTGGCGGACGTCAACGCTCAGGACAGTTCTGGATGGACGGCACTGATTTTGGCCTTAAAGAATGGCCACGAGGCGGTCGCGCGGCTTCTCATCGACAGAGGGGCGGACGTCAACGCTCAGGACAGTTCTGGATCGACGGCACTGCTTCGGGCCTTAGGGAATGGCCACGAGGCCATCGCGCGGCTTCTCATCGACAGAGGGGCGGACGTCAACGCTCAAGACAGTTCTGGATCGATGGCACTACATCGGGCTTCACAGTACGGCCACGAGGCCATCGCGCGGCTTCTCATCGACAGAGGGGCGGACGTCAACGCTCAAGACAAGTATGGATCGACGGCACTGATTTGGGCCTCACAGAATGGCCACGAGGCCATCGCGCGGCTTCTCATCGACAGAGGGGCGGACGTCAACGCTCAGGACAGTTCTGGATCGACGGCACTGCTTCGGGCCTCGAAGGTCGGCTACGAGGCGGTCGCGCGGCTTCTCATCGACGAAGGGGCGGACGTTAACGTTCAGGACAGTTCTGGATCGACGGCACTGACTTGGGCCTCACAGTACGGCCACGAGGCCATCGCGCGGCTTCTCATCGACAGAGGGGCGGACGTCAACGCTCAAGACAAGTATGGATCGACGGCACTGATTTGGGCCTCCCGGTATGGCCACGAGGCAGTCGCGCGGCTTCTCATCAACAAAGCGGCAGTCATCAACGCTTAGAACAGTTCTGGATTGACGGCAATAGTCAAGTAACGTTCTTTCCGTTTATTTTCGCGATTTGTGAAGAGGTTAATTTTTTTTTACTACCTCTGCTTAAATGAAGGGCCTGGGAGACATGATTGATTTACCAATTATTTTTTTCGCCATTGACGTAACATCACCGATACCACTGCACTTTTCCAAACCCACAGTCCGGTCGAAGGGGCGGCAGCCCGGACGGCTAGGCCGCAGGCGAACCACGCCTCCCGTGTCAGGTCCTAAGAAACCAACCTCCAGTCTGCCGGCCATCGGCGGCCATAACCCGACGCAATTTGCTGTTCCTGTGGCAGTCTCCGACCCCTGTCCCCAGGGCATGAAGATCGTCTCGCGAAGGGCATCGACTTGTAGATGTTGTGAGAGCTTTGTTCGGTCAGTAATGCAGGGTCGTTCCCCAAAAAGAGACCAGATCTGGTCGTTCTCGGTCATGCCAGCAAGGTCGTTGTAACGCTAAGTTATCTAATCTCCATGACACGGCTGCGCCCGTGACAGTCGTTCCTGGGAAGACCTGGGATCGGATTGATGCGCCATGCCCCATAATTAATGGGGCTCCTGCGCCGCTGGGCCGCTGCAAGCGGCCGGAAAGACCCGCTGAGCGCGCGGAACGTCAAGGAGTCGAAATGAGAGACTCGATCTGCAAAAAGGAACATACAACACCGGGGATTCGCTGGTCGTCACCGACCCAACTACTGATCCGGCCCTTGCGAGTTTAACTAGGGGAGAGCGGACGGGATCCCGTGTTTTCTGGCAGGTATGGTCGTATGTGATGAAAAGAAGGTAGAGTGTAGGTTTATAAGGGAGGCTTGGTGTTGAGGAATGTTGGGCTTTGTATTTACACAGGAGTGACCGTGCCCGCTGCGCGCGGGCACGCCAAAGGAAGCCTGGAGGAACTTGCCGGCTGCAGGTAGGCCCCATAACGGAGTCAACGATGTAATTGTCTTTTTTTTTTTTCCATTTCATGATGGTTATTGACGAATGCTGGGAAGTAAGGAAACGTGGTTTCTTCAGTCAGACTAGCGTCTAATCGTACAGTCGCGCCCTCTTTTTTTTCGCTGTAGACCTCTTGCTTCTGATTGGCTCGGGAGAGGTTTGCTTTTTTCTCTTTTTTGTTGGGGTGGTGTCAACCGGAGCGAGTTGATCTTCCAACAACTGCTCTGTGTCTGAACCGTCGTCGGTGTGACCGGTATCTTTTTTGTGGTTAGCCTAGTTAGCGAGCTCGAAGGAAGCCATACCTGAGCTTGAAATTGTGAGCATTGGCTCGGCGTTGGTTGTGGTCGAGTTCGGCGGTACGTCAAGGATGGCCGATGGCTCGGTTGCCTCATGCTCCGGATGCTTCCGGGGCCTGTGCTCGGGCTTTTCTGTTTATTTGTCAACGTGTTTTGGCCGCCAATGGGCGAGGAGAATGGGTTCCAGCTCGTGATTCCTTGCGGACCGGTTGAGCGTGGTGTTGTAGGTATTGTGCTAGGTCGTAAGGGTGTCGTGTTGTGAGCGGTTAAGCTGCTTTGTCGAATAGACTCCCAGTCGTCTGGGAGAATGACTGGGATGCGAACGCTTGTGTCGATGAGTTGAGGGCCTTGGATGAGGTTTCGATCGAGAACTCCTAGGAGGCGACCGTTGCATGCGATCCAGGATCCTCTTGGAAATGGGTTGGCAGCTGTTCGCATCCAGCCGGCTAACGACTTCCACGGTTGTTGTTCAACGGGAAAGACGAAGGACAGCAGCGTGACGGCAACTATCCAGGGCAGGCAAGCGAATCTGTCTTCTGCGCATGACGATGGGCCTCATGGGAGCCCACAGCGGCACATTCACAGAGACGGAGGGTCAGCGGACGAAGTCGGTCCGGGCGGACAAATGCAGCTCGAGCTCGGTCGTTACGCAACGTATGTCGATGTCGCCTTGGGTCTTACGAGGCACTGGGCCCTGAACAAGCTCCAGTCGCTGGCGCTATTACTACCAGCAGCGTTCCTTGACGACCGCGGCACGCGGCTGCAAGAAGAGGGGGGCCGGCAGCACTTCCAGTACGTCGGCGGCGAGGACAGCACGGGCAAACCTCGCGCCATTCATGCAATTCACGATATGTTCCGGTTGAAGGATGGTCTCCACACCCTGTTCTTGACGGGCGCCAGCGGCAACGCGGCGGCGCTGATCGGCGGGGTGACGCTGCACTCGGCGGCGAACATTGGATTCGAGGGCAAGAACGAGGTGTCAAGGAACGTTTCGGAAGAAGAGAAGCTGCGTTGGAAAAATATGGTCATGTTGATCGTCGACGAGATCAGCCAGGTGGGCGGACTCACGCTCGCGGCGGTAGACAACCGTCTGCGGCAGTACAGGGAAGACCAGTATCGCCCGTTTGGCGGGATCCCAATGGTCTTGTTCTTCGGCGACTTCTTCCAATTCGATCCCGTTCTGCAGACCAGCCTCCTCTTGCCAATGCCTAGGGACCGCGGCGGACAGAGACCAGAGGGGGCTGCAAGGCACCTAGCTGCGCACAAGCTGTTCCTCCAGTTCACGGCCGTCGTCATCCTCCGCGAACAGGTCCGCGCGGCCGGTTGTCCAAGGCTGCGGGGCTTCCTCCGGCGCCTGCGCATTGGCGATCAGACCGAGCAGGACTTCCAGCGGCTGAGCCAACGCCTCTATACACCGTCGTGCAAGTCCTCCTTCGTAGATGGACTGAGAGCCATCACGCCCTTGAATCAAGACCGGTGGGACCTGAACATGGCTGCCGCCGTCCAGTGGGCTCGTGCCCACGGCAAACACATCTCTATCTTTGTGGCTAAGCATGACACTGAGTCCAGGAAGCGATTGAGTACGGAAGAACTATGCCACGTGCTCCGCTACGGAGACGACTCGCAGCTGCCGACCCCCGGCCTCTTCTTCTACGCCCAAGGCATGCCGGTCGTGGTGACTCGCAACCAGTTTGTCGGGCTGAAGGTGGTCAACGGGGCGCCTTTCAAGGCCGTCGACATCTTCCCCGACCTCGCACCGGCACCATCGCCCTCGCAACGACGTGACTTTCCACCTAGGGCCACCCGTGGCCGTCCTCCTCCAGTCGGACGATAATGCGGGCCTCGCCATTCCCGGGCTAGTGAATGGCACCATCCTGATCAAGAGCAAGACGGTCGCCATCCCGAGCCAAATGCGGGGCAAAGAAAGCAGATGGAGGGGCAAGCCGGGCTTTCGGTGGGTTACCCACAGAACTGGACCTCTTTGCACCCCGACCTTCGCTATGACAGATCAGAAGAGCCAGGGCAAGCAGTTCTCGGACGTGCTCGTCAACCTCAAAGGCGTCCACTCCAGCGGTACGGCGACTCGACCCAGCTTCATGAGCTTGTACGTGCAGCTGTCGAGGGCGCAGAGTTGGGACGGGCTGCATCTGTTTCGGAAACCGGCGCGTGGCGACTTTATCGAGCCCAAGAATGTGCTCGACAAAGACATGAGGGACGCCATCCTCAAGCTGGAACGACGGGGCGAGGAGACCAGACGGCGGTTCGAGCAAGACCACAGGCACGAGCCGTGGTTTCAAGAATGGGCTGCCATGCCTGAATCTGGCCAGGGTACTGAAACCGATGACGTAGAGGACGCGGCGCTCTGGCGAGACCCTGGGGTTTCCGAGCTCAGATCGTAGCACAGCTCTCCACCGTTGCTCTATTTTGGAGCTCTTTTCCAGCGGAATAGGCTGCTTTAATTAATATTTTCCTTCTCACCTTGTTGCCGTGTTGCCCTGCAATCTGCATCTTTTCGTGGTCGTCGCTGAAGCTGCCGAGGGCTGCGCCGTCTCATTGGCCCTTATAAACCGGGGCCAGCCCCACAGCTGACAGGCCGTTGAGGCCCCAACCGACCGTCCGTGCACCACCATTGCCAGGCCCAACTTCGAGACGCTCACGTCAGAGGTAAGTTCCTCCGGGCAAAACAAGATGACTCTCCCTCCACAATCGTTAGAATAATGACAGTAAAACTTCACTGTATACAGGGAGAAATGACACGGCTTTTTTGATGGGGCGTTTGATGGGGCGTTTTATGGGGCGGAACTGGTCCGTGCTTGGAGCATACCATGGTTTTTGTCGGAACAAGAGTGACAAGAGTGACCGTGCCCGCTGCGCGCGGGCCCGCCAAAGGAAGCCTGGAGGAACGGGCCGGCGCAGGTAAGCCATAGCGGCATCAGAATATGGTTGGTCGATCAGTTTTAGGACGGTTGACGAATGTTGGGAAAGCAAGCAAAAGCAGTTCTTTGGGTCAACCTCAAAAGCTAGTCATACAGCCGCGCCTTCTTCCCGCTGTGGATCTCTTGCTTCTGGCCGGTTCCGGAGAGCTTGGTTCCTTTCTTTTCTTTGTCGGAGTCCTGCTGCTCGAAACGGGTTGAGCGTCCAATAATTCTTCTGTGTCCGAAGCATCGTTCGAGTCGTCGCCATGTAGATCAATAGTTAGGTGAGCCGTGACTGTGGAAGGCGGTGATATATACCTGAAGATGAACCTGTGGGCATCTGATCGGGATCAGCCGTGATCGAGTCTAGCTGTGCTCCAGGGCTGGATGGTGGTTCGGTCGCTTCGCGTTCTGCGGTTTCTGGGGCAACCGGCGAGGAAGATGGATTCTGAGGCGAGGAAGTGGGATTTTGAGCACGGCCTAGTGAAGAGAACGGGTTTCTGCTTGCGACTGCTCCGGGGCCAGCCGATCGTGGTGTCGTTGGTAAGTTGCCGACAGGGTCCGATGATTTCGGCGTCGGTGTATTGTTGGTTGACGGGGAATTCTGCCGAATGAGTTCCCAATTGTCGGCGAGAATCACCAGAATTCGAAAAGTGGGATCGACTTTCCGAGGGCCTTGGATCAGGTCGCGGTCTAGGACCCCCAGGAGTCGACCACTGCACGCGATCCACGATCCCTTGGGAAAGGGGTTTGCGGCGGTCCGCATCCACCCGGCCAGAGACTTCCAGGGTTGCTGGTCGACGGGGAAGAGAACGAGGACGTAGCATATGTGTATGCCTTTGCGAGGAGGGCGGTCGTTCTCTGGCTGCAAGTAAGACCCGAGTTTGGCGAACACCGAAGTCTTGACCAGCGGCTCCGGCCAGACTCCTTGCTTGATATGAAAGGTATCTAGCTCGACGGGGCTGGCAAAGGACACATGTGCTGAAGTGCTTGGCCAAGGAGCTGTCTGGTCGGGACCACCGAGCTGGCGGGGGATGACACTTGGAAGTGTTAGCAGCCAGGTCCTGCTCCAGCGCAAAATAATGGGGCGTACGGAGTCAAGCCGCCATCACTGGGCAGTGTCAGCGCCACCTGTACGGAGTGGGTTTCGTAGCTGATCCTCCTATCTATTAACGTGCCTACGCCTTGGAAGGTAAGTTTGAGCAGGACGAGAAATTTGTAGAGGTAGGTATCAGGGTCCTCTTGGCGTAAAAGAAAACTGCTTACAAGTCACATACAGAAACGCAGTCCTGCACCTCGCCCTCTTCGTTCCATGGGAAGGTTTCAGGCTGAGCCAGCGGACGATATACCAGGACTTTGGCGATCGCTCGAGGGGCAGCTGGGCGCCCGAATCCGCTCACACTTCCAGAACATCGCTCTGCTACGCGTCTCGGCGGACGATGCCCGTGCTGATCGAAAGCTGCAAGGCCTTGAAGAGGACTCCGAGGACGCCGTGGACGGACTGGACTTTGGCGACCAAGTGGGCGACGATGACGGCGTCGGTGAGGACGTGGAGAGTATTAATCCGCAAGCCCACCACGAAGCCTTCCTGGATGTCCTATCCGCGGTCCGACGTAGCGAAATCAAGGATATGGCGGCGCCCTCGGCCCTGAGGCGCTTGGACGAAGAGGCGAGGGCAGTTGACCCAAGCCAGGACGACAGCAATGCTGCCCAGCGTGGTCGCCATTTTTATACCATGTTACAGGACCTCCAAGACTCGCCTTTCCGCGGCATGGGACTGCCCAGCCGCGAGGAGATCGACGCGGTATTGAAGGTCCAGAAGAAAGAGGACAGCAGCGTCACGGCGAAGATCCAGGGCAGGCAAATGAATCCGTCTTCTGCGCATGCCGGCGAGCCACACGGGAGCCCACGGTTGCCCGTTCACGGACGCGAAAGATCTCCAGAAGGGGTCGGCCCGGGCGGACAGATGCGGCTCGAGCTCGGACGTTATGCAACATACGTCGATGTGGCCCTGGGGTTCACAAGGCACTGGACTTTGAATAAGCTCCAGTCGATGGCAGTCTTGCTACCGGCGGCGTTTCTTGACGAGCGCGGCACACGGCTGCAGGAAGAAGGGGGTCGGCAGCATTTCCAATACATCGGCGGCGAGGGCGGCACCGGCAAGTCTCGCGTCATACACGCCATCAAGGACATGTTCCGGCTGAAGGACGGTCTCCACACGCTGCTCCTGACGGGCGCCAGCGGTAACGCGGCCGCGCTTATCGGCGGAGTGACGCTGCACTCGGCGGTAAATATTGCGTTTGAGGGCAGGGCAGCGACAGCAAGGAACATCTCGGAAGAAGAGAAGCTGCGGTGGAAAAACATGATCATGCTGGTTATCGACGAGATCAGCCAGGTGGGCGGTCTCACGCTCGCGGCGGTGGACAGCCGCCTAAAGCAGTACAGAGACGACCACCATCGACCGTTCGGCGGGATCCCAATAGTCATGTTCTTTGGTGATTTCTTCCAGTTCGACCCCGTCCTGCAGACCAGCCTCCTCTTGCCAACGCCTAGGGACCCCGGTGGACAGAGACCGGACAGCTCGGCAAAGCACCTAGCAGCGCATAAGCTGTTCCTCCAGTTCACGAACGTCGTTATCCTCCGTGAACAGGTCCGCGCGGCCGGCTGTCCAAGGCTGCGGGGTTTCCTTCGGCGCCTGCGCAATGGCGAGCAGACCGAGCTAGACTTCCAGCGGCTATGCCAGCGCGTCTATACACCGTCGTGCGAATCCTCCTTCGTAGATGGCTTGAGAGCCATCACGCCTCTGAACCAAGACCGGTGGGACATGAACATGGCGGCCGTCGTCCAGTGGGCTCGTGACCACGGCAAGCACATCTCCATCTTTGTGGCCAAGCACGATACCGATTCGGGGAAGCGACTAAGTGTGGAAGAGCTGTGCCGCGTGCTTCACTACGGAGACGACTCCCAGCTGCCGACCCCGGGCTTGTTCTTCTACGCTCAAGGGATGCCGGTGGTGGTAACTCGCAACCAGTTTGTCGGGCTAAAGGTGGTTAACGGGGCGCCTTTCAAGGCCGTCGACATCTTTCCCGACCTCGCCGCCGGCACCATCGCGCTCGCCAGCGATGTGACTCTTCATCTTGGACCGCCGGTGGCCGTCCTCCTTCAGTCAGACGACAGCGCGGGCCTCGCCATCCCCGGGCTCCCCAATGGCACCATTTTAATCAAGAGCAAGACGGTCGCCATCCCGAGCCAAATGCGGGGCAAAGAAGGCAGATGGAGGGGCAAGCCGGGTTTCAGGTGGGTTACCCACAGAACCGGGCCTCTCTGCACCCCAGCCTTCGCCATGACAGATCAGAAGAGCCAAGGCAAACAGTTCTCGGATGTGCTCGTCAACCTCAAAGGCGTCCACTCGAGTGGCACGGCGACGCGGCCCAGCTTCATGAGCCTGTACGTGCAGCTGTCAAGGGCGCAGAGCTGGGACGGGCTGCATCTATTTCGGAAACCGGCGCGTGGCGACTTTATCGAGCCCAAGAATGTGCTCGACAAAGACATGAGGGACGCCATCCTCAAGCTGGAACGACGGGGCGAGGAGACCAGGCGGCGGTTCGAGCAACACCACAGGTCTGAGCCGTGGTTTCAAGAATGGGAGGCCATGCCTGAATCTGGCCAGGGCACTGAAACCGCCGACGAAGAGGACGCGCCCCTCTGGACCGAGGCGGAAATCTAACGAGGAAAGTCTCTTTCAGAGTTGCTGCTATATTGTAATACATCTATGAAGGACGTTTTCGTCTTCGTGGCCTCCGGGCTGGGAGCAGGTTCATTGTGATCATGACAGTGTCTGGTTTCGTTTCCGGCGAATAACGAGCCAAGAAACGGGAAACGGCCTCTCCAACCGAGCCAAGCAGGAAGCAACAAAGAAGACAGACAGCCTCTCCGGCCGATCCAAGCAAGAAGAGAACAAAGAAAACAGCCATGGGTTCAGTAAGAGGGAAAAAAACGACATTGATCACCGAAGAGGAAGAACAGAGGCCTGTGCCAGCAAAGACCGTCTGTGCACCTCTGTTGCCAAGGCCAACTTCGAGACGCTCATCGTAATTATCGGAAGAGCCAGGGCAAGCAGTTCTCGGACGTGCTCGTCAACCTCAAAGGCGTCCACTCCAGCGGTACGGCGACTCGTCCTTTCGTGGTCGCTGGTGAAGCTGCCTAGGGCTGCGCCATCTCATTGGCTCTTATAAACCGGGGCCAGCCCCACAGCCGACAGACCCCCACAGACCGTCCGTGCACCATCACTGCCAAGCCCAACTTCGAGGCGCTCATCGTCAGAGGCAAGTTCCTCCAGACAAAGCAACATGGCTACTTCCACAATCGTTAGGATAATGACAGTAAATCTTTACAGTTTACAGTGAGAAATGGTACGGCTTTTTTGATGGGGCGTTTTATGGGGCGGAAGTGGTCCGTGCTTGGAGCATACCATGGTTTTTGTCGGAAAAGGAACCTTCCGGAAGTACTCGTTCCTCGCACGTTCCTCCAGGCAAAGGAACCTTCCGGAAGTACTCGTTCCTCGCACGTTCCTCCAGGCAAAGGAACCTTTCGGAAGTACTCGTTCCTCGCACGTTCCTCCAGGCAAAAGGAACCTTTCGGAAGTACTCGTTCCTCGCACGTTCCTCCAGGCACTCGTTCCTCGCACGTTCCTCCAGGCAAAAGAAGATTGCCGGTTTACTCGGCACCTTGTTTGATCACTCGACCCCCCGATGCTTCGTATCTCGGTCGGGTTCGTTCGTATAAGCGAGGTACTATAGTGATTTGGTAGTGGTATCCGACTCGGTGCTGAATGGCTGTTAGCCGAGGAATAGAAACTAAAATTGCTGGCGTCGCTTCGTTCGTCAGTCGCACGGCCCTTCGCTACGCTACGGGGCGCTTCCTTCCTCTCTCCCGCTCCTGGCAATTTTCCTGTCCCTCTCCGGAGGACAATCGGGGTTAGGGTTGATTACGGGAGAGACGAAGCGCCAATATCTGTCCGTCGGCCAACAACTCCATCTACTTGAGCCATCTACGAATCGTTTCTATTCCGCCACTCACGTTACGTATCTACACTCACGTCCTCGCTACTTACAAATCAATTAGACTCTGAGGGAACCTCCCCCGCCACAGCATCTAACGCCTGCAGTTGCCTGGTAGCGTGATCGGACAACTTCAACCCCATAGCTCGTGATGGTGTCTCGCGGTAGATCCTGCTGCGATCGAAGGGCCGCTCAAACATCAGCCCGCCGAGTGTCTTCACCCGCGAAACGGCCACGTAGGAGAGGCCAGAAGTAAACTCTGGCGCAGAGATATCGCAGACGACCTTGTCCAGGGTGATGCCTTGTGACTTGTGGACGGTGATCGCATAGCTGACCAACAGCGGGAACTGCTCTCTTGAACATGAGTTGGCGCCGACCATGAAGTCCTGCCGCACTCGGAGGATGGGAACAGCCAGCTTCTCTCCACTACGGAGCGGCTCCCCGTTCGGCATCGTGAAGGCCGGGCCGTCCTAGTCATCGAAGGCCACCATGATGACCTCGGGCGGGTCTCGCAGCACGTCGGCACCTTCTTTCCAGGATATGTCGTAGACTGTGCCCTGTGCGCCGTTGACGAGCCCGACGTCCGCCCACAAATTCCGCGTCAGCATCACCCTGCAACCAACACATAAGGGCAAGCGCTTGGCCAAGTTGCCGGCATTTGAGGATTCAACCTTCTCCGCACCAACACCCTCATGCTTTGCCTCGACCTGAATGGCGGGGCTGTCCAGGCCAAACATGTGTTGGTGGTTGTACTCGACGACCTGGGCCTTGGTGGGTTAGATGCGAAGCGCATCAGCAAAGCTGTCAACCTCCTCGGGAGAGAGCTTGACAGAGCATCTCGAAGCGAGGAGCTCCCAGGAGGGTACCGACACACCAGTAGAGCCCATGGGAATGGCTACTGCCGCGACCTTGCCACTCGTACCGGTATCAGAAATCCGTCAAGTTGAATTTCTTCTTAAGCACAATCTCCCTGAAGAGCGCGTTCCGCGAGTGAAAGTGCCAGGCCGCGATATGCGGATTCTCCCGCCTCTGGCGAGGTGCGGGCACGAGAGATCGTAGTGCAGGCAGTGGAGCAGGCGCAGAGCTTTCCTGGCCGATTACCTGCAATGCTGCAATGCTGACTCGGGATATGGTATGCTACGACGGTTTAGGTAAGGCAAAGAAACGAAGTCAGGAGAGGGTTTACTTGAAGCTTCCGTTTGTTCCGGCATTCTAAACACTGTGTAACAACCTTCCCATTACCGCGAAGGTCATGAAACTGGCCGATGTCTTTTTCGGTGCGGCATCCACGACACATCTTGCGCGCCACCGCTGCGGCGCTGTTGTCCATGATAACTGTCAACCCCGCCCATAGCGGAAGTAAAAGTGTCAAGTGACAATCGACAAACACTTCGCGGGAAATCAATTGAACGAGCAAGGTGATGAGACACGGACCCAGGCCCCAAAATTTCAACCAATCCCCGATGGACGATAAGGCTGGCTAAGACCCGCAATTAGCTTATCATTTTCCCATAGTAATTTCTCATAGTAATTTCCAAAAGTTTGAGCGCAATATTGTCCTCCGGACAGGATGAGATAGAGGGAAAAAAAACCTCTTAAAATTGCTGGCGTCGCTTCGTTCGTCAGTCGCGCGGCCCTTCGCTACGCTCCGGGGCGCTTCCTTCCTCTCTCCCGCTCCTGGCAATTTTCCTGTCCCTCTCCGGAGGACAATCCGGGTTAGGGTTGAGTTACGGGAGAGACGAAGCGCCAATATCTGTCCGTCGGCCAACTCCATCCACTTGGGCCTTCTTATTAAACTTGTACTAATTAGCTCATCAAGGGCCTTCCACTCCTCGTATTCGGGCATGTGCTGGTAGAGGCTCTGCCAGTGCAGATCGGCCGGGCTCAGGGTGATGAAAGTAGAGGGCACACCAAGGCAGTGCGCAAAAGACTCGCACTCGCGACGTCGACGGTACCAAAAGGGGCGTGTGTCTTTGATGACACCAGCAAAGCGAGAGATCCGGTTGAGGATAGCCTGAGCTTCCGGTCTGTCTGGGTCGGCAAGCGCCTCTTGAAGGGCTTCCTTCGTAAGAGGCGTTCGGTGGTTCTTGCTAACGTAGACTCGACTGTGACCCCTCGCCTGCTGCCTCATCAGAGTGTTCAGCGCGATGAATCGGAAGCTGTGATGTTTAGCAAATCGGCCATCCTCCCACTTCATGGCATGCTGCATGTAATCCTAGTAGGAGATCTTGCGCTGTCTGGGCTCGACAAAATCCGCAACTCCCCGAGGGAACAGGGTCGGACAGGCGACAGAGAGTAGCGTATGCTTTTGGTTGAACTCATCGAGGGGAGTGCGCTGGATGGAAGGCATCTGCAGCTGATGAGCAGCCTGGGGGTCAACTGGTTCTAGGGGCACTTGCTCATTGACCTCAACAGGACCATTATTGACTCGCCCTTGAAGCTGATTCATTTCCGAGTCATGGATCAGCGTATTTGGCACTGCGGCTTCGTCAACGACCTCACCGTCCTCTTCCGGTTCTTCAACAGGGCCAGAATCTGCAGGCAAACCTCCAGACTCGGCGACCTCGTGGATATTCAGCTGGTCAAAAACGTCACCGTCCTCTGGCAACTGGGAGAGGTTGTCGTAGTTCCAGGTGAAATTTCTGTAGCCAGGGTGGTTGTCGGCGAGGAATCTGAGCCATGTCTCGACTGCTGCTCGGCAGACTCGGAAGCGGTTGCGGAATTGTCGGTCCATCTGTTCGACCCCTTCGGATCCACGTGGTCGGAGGATGACAATGTCCAAATCCTTGGACAGCAAGGGAAGCTCTGAGTACACCTTGCCAACGTCGCGCAAAAAGTGTACAACATGCCCACGGTACTTGTATTGTTGCCCTCGGACCTAGTACCCGTCATCCAGTGAGCCCTCTTGCAGGAAAACATCGCATACCGTGAAGACATTGACGCTGACGTGCACACGCGCAATGAAAAGCTCCTCCAGCGGCTCTAGCTGGGGCAACTCGGGTGGGACGGCACCAAAATCAAGCTTGTTCTCTGCGGAGAGGAGAAAAGGTTCGTCTTGCCGCTTCTTATCATCTTTGTCATGACAGCGCTTGCAAACACCATCCGCCATGAGCTTGACGTCAAACCATTGCTCCTTGCAACGAAGGCATCGCTGCATCGTCTCTGCAGCAAGTGCTTCGTCGAACTCTCTCTTCACTGCAATGTCTTCGGCCAAAAGTGGCGTCTCCTGGTCGCCGCCTGTGAATCGGGGGCCCGGTTCGTCGAATTGGCGGGGTGGAGACTCGTCGCGGGGGGGTACCGCAGCGGAGCGATGACCACGAGGTCGGCCAACCGGGTTGCGTGAAAGTCGTGGCCGTCCACGCCGACGACCATGAGACCGTGGCGGAGAACTGGGAGGGGGACGACGGCGTGCAGGAATCCGCCCAACGCGGGGGAGCTGTGGTTGGGTGGCCTGCGGATTGTCCTCGTCGTCTCTCACGGCGCTCGGTGCATCATCCCTCTGCTGGGCAGAGGCGGGGCCATCCTCGGCATCCGCCGGCTGTTGTTGACGAAGCAGACCACTCATGGTGGGGGTCTGGGAGGGCTCTTCGCCGTGACGGCGCTGGACGCGATGCTATCGCTGAACAGCCAAAATCTAGCCGCGAGCAGCGGCCATCCCCGGCGTGTCCGTATCGACACGCCCGCCCTCGTGGTACATGCTGGCAAGAACCCGGTGAGTGAGGTTTTGCCGTGGCGCAAGATGGACTGGGTCGGGCCGGGCGGGGGCAGGTCTCTCGCCACGGCCGATCGCGCTTACAGCCGAAATGCTAACCGTTGACGCTGCTCTCTGTTGTGGGTTAGCTGCGAGAAACCGAAATGATAACTATGACAACATTGAACCTTACAGATGCCCTCTGTCGATCCCGGCAGTCTAGACAATTTGCAGCAACTCTGCCATTGCCACGACGATCGTAAAACTAGTCGATCGATTTCTCGACGCGGCAATTGTGACACACCTTCTGCGCCGCCGGCGATGCAGCACCCTCCATCGAAACAGTTAAACCCGTCCGTAACGGAAGTGAGCTGAAATCAGGAAGCGATGCGCGGTGGTAAGCGATAGCGGGATTACCGACACAACCGAGTTGGAATTCGCATTTTGTAGGAAGAAGATCGCAAGCTTGGGCTCCAACAAAGCTGTTAATCTTTGTCGTCGTTTGCGATAACTAGCAATTAATTGCTTCTCTTCTGCGGTGACGGCGCGACGTCAAGCACCGGGTGTGCAGAATGTGGGGCGCTGCAACCTCTCGACCAATACACACACGCAGATAAGCTGGCCCCGCAGTTTCTTATCAATTTCCCATAGTAATTAAGGAAAAAGTTTCAGCACAATATTGTCCTCCGGACAGGATGAACACTCGTACCATGTATTCGGATTGAATGGGCTACCCTTCGACCCCACCACAAGCATCACGGCAACAAAACAGCTCCCTTAACTAACCCAAGGTCGCAGCTCTACCCTACACACCGTCGTAGGTACGGCGGCAGCCTAAAGTTCCTTCCTTCCCTTTCCGATTCTGTACTCAGAAGCCTCTCCCGCGAGCGTTCGGCATGGTACCTGGCTGGTCGTTATATACGGGTAGACTACTGGTAGATCACTCGAAAAAGAATTGCCGTCCTTTTGTACCAAACACATACCCCATTCGACAGAACGGACATCCGACAAAGGCCTCGCAACAACGATTGTGCGGGCCAACGGCAAGTAAGCGCACGACTTGCTTAAGCACGTATTCAGAACCGGACCATGTGAGAAACAAGCATAAAACAGAATGTATTCGTCACCAAGAATCGGCTCCACGTTTTGAAGCTGTATCATCAACCCGACACGTCAAAATGTATGAAATATGTACAATAGATAGAATACAGCCAGATCTCTACGTCGGGTCTGGTGCTGTTTGTATACGCCCCAAGGTCATCCAATTCTCGAGATTCATGAAGCATCGCCACTCGGGAATGAGGAATGGCGAATTACCATTAACTCAGTGAAGGTTAGGTGTTTTCTTTATACCCCGTGTAGGCCGTTTATTAAACGCTCAATATATCGGCCCACCCTTCTCCAGATCTTGGTTCCACCCGTCGTCGCCGTTGTTGTTGCTATTGCCATACCCGCCCTGAGGCCCTCTCTGGTTGTTGAATGGGGCGGGGTTCGGCCGACCAGAAAACCCGCTATATTCGCTGCGGTTGTCTTGTTCATCATACGATGCTGCGTGGACCATATTCCTCAACGAACTGTTGCTGGCGGTTGGTTGATGATACGGCTGGTACGGCTGGTACGGAGGGGCGGCGCTCTGCATGCTCCTCTGCGAGCCGTTGCTGTTGGTTGGCCGGTGGAAAGGCTGCATGGGCTGGGTCATGGTTCTTGAGGGTGGGAACTGAGGCACGCCTCGCGGGGGCATTGGGTTGGTGGCGCTGCGGATGGGGTAACCGTCCGGGCCCGGCCCGCGTGGTGACATTGGGTTGCTGCGGTATGTAGTTGTCGACGGGGCGGGGCTAGCACGCCCGCTCAATTGGTCGTCAAAGGGCGACCTGTTGTCATCTGGATAGGGAGATATGGTGTCACCGCGTTGGGGCAGCCCGTTGTCCCCAGGGAAAGGCGATCTGGTGTCGGCAGGATGGGGTGACCTAGTATCACCACGTTGTGGCATCATCATGTTGTCCCCAGGAAAGGGTAATCTGTTGTCACCGGGATAGGGAGATCTGGTATCGCCACGCTGAGGCACCCCGTTGTCCTCAGGGAAAGGTGATCTTGTGTCCCCTCGCTGGGGCAGTCTGTTATCCCCGGGATAGGGTAACCTTGGCTGGTTCGGCTGGTTCGGACCCGGTCCCCTATAGTTGTTGAAGGCCCCAACTGGTGACATGACGGGAGGCGGAAGAGATGGCATGGGATCCGATGCAAAGGTTGCAGGACTGGCTGTGTAACCGCGCAAAGATGAACCATTCATTGCCATCCCCTGGGGTTGCGGCGGCCCATAGCTCCTGTTAGACGAGGAGGTTGCGGTACGTACTGGCGGATAGCCTCCGAGGTCGAGTGGCGGCAAAGTGGGCGTAGATGATTCCGAGCTGGCCATACCCATCCCCGCGGCACCGCCAAGAAGTGAAGTCTCAGCCGAATACTGGCTCGCCGTCGTCCCTTTGGTGTTCGACCTCAACGGCATAGGCGGCTTTCGACCGAGAGCGTTCATCTCGAAGCTCCCGGGAGTGCTCGGGTGAGATGGCTTTTCTGCGAAGGAAGCAAAGGTATCCGCCCGGCTGAGGGATGGCATTTGCGCGAGATCGTCGTCCCCAAGGACCGGTAGGGACGGCTTCATTGTCATCGGCCTGTCTCCGCCGTTCTTCTTCGCTGCCCTGAGCTCCGCTTTCTTCCGTTTCCGCTCATCCTCAGCCATGGCCTTGTTGATTTTGATGGAGACGATTTGCTTGAGGCGCTTGTTGACCTTGCGCTCGCAGAAACCGGACAAGCCACCATCTTCGCGTGGGATGTAGCTCCACAAGAAAAAGACAAAAAAGAAGGCGGCGAGGAGTAACGACAGGAAGGAGAAGATCCAGATAACGAGGGTGAAAAGCATACCAGACAGGATGACGGCCTGGCGGGGCTCCTCGGTCGCTAGAGCTCTGATCTTATCAAAGAAATCGGCGAGAGAGGATTCGAAGCTGGCCTGGTTGATCTGAAGCCTTGCGTCGTAGACAGAGTAGAGGGTCATTGCGTTAATGGCCTGGCGAGGCCCGGAGCAAAGAATAGTGCGGATCCAAGCTATTCATTGTCAGCAAACAGATGCCCGGCTGGGTTGTATCCTCAAAGGGTGCCCTACATTGAAAGCTGAAGAAGGTAAAGAGGGCAATGTATTCGGCCCCCTTTTTACTCTTGGTGAGCTCGGCGAAGACCAGGAATCTCTTCCAACCTCGGCCTTGTCCCATCCGGATACTCTCCAGACGCGCAGCTAAGCTGTCCAGGAAGCATTCGGCAACGCTCCCTCGGCGCATGATGGTTACCGCACGGAAGTACTCATAGGCGAGATTGGCGAAGGAAAGGAGAATGCAGACAGTGAAGATCCATTTCGAGATGTCGAAGGGGATAAATTGAGCGGGCTCAATCTGCGAGGACCATTTGTTGAAGGCGAGAAGTTGGTAGGCAGTGAACACGTCAACAGCATACACAGCGAGTGAGATAATCAGGGAGAACCAGAGGTAGCCGTAGGCGAACGGCGTAAAACAAGACGTGGACTTGAAGTCATTAAGGCTCTGGAGACAAGGGTTAATTTACTTCCTGTGTCCTTCCGAAGTGGGCTGTACTCACAATGAAATCCCACTTCTGTTCAGGATGTACCTCGACATCCCGTCTACCATGCCTTAGAAAACCCATTGTGTGGATGGCGCGAACCAGGCGCAAGAAAACGGGCTAGCCGGACCAACAAGATGTGGTATCGAAACTGTCGAAGAATTGATGAAGCTGAAGTCGTCGACACAATCGATGTGTCGTTTTGGGGTATCGCAAAAAGAGTGGTTCAAGAGATTGGCTTTGCTGCCGGATGCACAAGTCGTTCCTCGCCCGCGAAGAAACCGACTGTGGCTAGATCGTCAAAAGAGCGAGAGGTCCTAGTGTTCAGAGTCGATGAGGTCACGTCGCTGCGTGAAGGAGAGACAAAAGAGAGAAACGTCAGAAAGTGGATCTGACTGGTCGGATCGGAAGGCCAGCAGTGGCCTCAACAGCTCTTTCCTCCGGCTGGCATCGCGATGACGGTGGTAATCAGGATCTGTAGTGTTGTTGAACAATGCGACGGCCAAAGAGGCAGGGAGCGCGTTGCGAGAACCGTCTCGGCGCTGTGGGGATTCCGGATCACGATGGAACAGCGTCTGCTGTGCCGGGCTAGAGAGAGACCCGGAATCGGGGAGGCTAGATCGAGGTCGGAGGAGGCCAGAGGAGGGTTGCTGGGTTCTGTGGACGTGGGATCGTGGGGTAGACAACGCCTGCGAGTCCGGGTTTGATCGGCTGGGCAAAGTTCCAAGGCCTGGTGTCAGATCGACGGCGAGGGCAAGGATGTGACGAAGCGGGGGAAAGAGGGTTGTCGATATTGGAAATTGTGCGGTCGATGCACTATTATTGTTCGATTGTCGGGGAACAATAGCCCGGTGTTGGTCTGTGAATTGGCGTCGTGTATTGCCCAAGTCACAAAAAAAAAAGAATGTTCTTTACTTTGGCATGCAGTAAGGAATGACTGGCTAGTCGATCGTGTTTCCAATCGACCCTGGATCGGCCGTCCTGACGACTTGTGAAGGGTTTCCGAGGAACGAAGGGAGGGTGAAGGAGGGTGCATCTGCGACAGGTGGAGAGTTAAGGGGCATGAATTCAGACTAGAGGGACCAGGGAGACACCCACCAGTAAGGTGGGCCCATAAGCGGCCCTCGGGTGGCTTGCGGGATTGGTCGGATAGCTTGTCGACGCGGAGGAGGAGCCGTTTTCGAGAGCATCACTACAAGAAATTGTCTATTTTAGACTGACTTAACCGTCATTCGGCAAATAAACTGTCTCAGCCCTTAGGCCCCTCCCCAGTCTGACTGCAGGCACCGCATCCCTGCATTTCTGTTCCTGCCGTGCTGCCGCCCCTGCCGCGGAAGTCTTTACGTTGCTCGTTGATTGGGCAAGTCGTCCACCCCTTGCAGGGCTCCATCTGAAATTCAGACCCGATGAAACACCTGTCCAACCACGGATGGAAAGTCGACCTCGAGAGTTTGCGAAACACGGGAACTCGATCCCGAAGAAGCAGGACGCGGGTGGCGGCTGCGCGGCATCAACGGCCTGCGAACCGCGCAAGCCAGGATGCAGCCATCAACTTGGCGGAATCCTTGGCTGGCGGCCGCCACAGATATAAAATCAAAAACATCGAGATTGGGCCGATGATCCGAATGGTTCGCTCAGACAACGCAACTTCGTTGGCGCAACCCAGCGGGCCGCCACTTGCAGTCTGTACCGTACCGTGTCAGCCTCAACTTTGACTATTGCCCGACGCAAATCTATTTCTGAATCAGCCTTTGCGCATCGGTATTGCCAATCAAGCTTGGCAGCAAAGGCGTTGGTGTTACGTCTGTCAACGCAGCCATGCGAGATGAACCAACCAAACTTACCGCGCGCTTTTCGGGTACATATAAATGGACAGAGCCCCGATCGATCTGCACTCTGCCGGTACTTGGCCTCCACTTGGTAGTATACTGTTGGCTGCCACGCTTTACGTACGAAGGAAGGCAGGTCAGTTTGACATGTTGTATTCGGTGTGAAACTCTCGACACAGGCAGTTAATCGTGTTGGAAAGAGAAAGCGACAAGAGACATTGGTAAGGAGGAGGGCGAAGGGCGAACTCTCAGGTCATCTCATCTCACCTGTGTCCCCAATGACAAGGCAGGCCGGTAGTTAAGAAGCAAGCTAGCGTTTCATGAATCTAACTTAGTCTATCTCGTGTCCTTCGTTTGACAGCCGTTCTCTCTAATGGGGCCATTTGCAAGTGCCCTAGGTTCTAACTCAGCCCTCCAAAAAACCTAAAAAATCCATCAAGAACATCAACATCACACCCCATACCTCAGTACCTATTCCGAGCACTCATTCCAACCCTCGAAACACCCCAACCTCTCTCACCCTTCCACCCCCTTACACCTTCCCCCCATCAACCCCCCACTCCTCCACCAACTGCCCCTCCACCGCAACCCTCAACTCCATCTGCTCCGTCTCCGTCAACCCCGTAGCACTGCCCCTCCTCCTCCTCCAACTCTCCCCCGTCTCCCTCAACCTAGCCTCCCCATCCGCACTCCCCACCCCCTCCACAAACTCATAACTCCTCCACTCCGTATTCGCCCATCCCGTCCCCGCCTGCGGATTCATGCCATCCCAATCCTGCGTCAAAAAATGCAAAAACCCCCCATGCGTCACCACACCCACATGCGCATCCACGCCAGGATTCTCCCTCTCGAACCTCGCCCCCAACTCCCTTAACCACACCCTCGCGGCGCGCGCCCGCGCCTCCAGCCGCTCCATCACCGGCGCGAAGCGGCTCTCCCCCGTCTTTACCGTCCACTCGGCGGCCACAGCGCGCACCAGCGCCAGGTCGACGTCGCCGCGCGGGCCGAACTCGGCGGTCAGCGCCGCGATGTCGGAGCCCGTGTCGCAGGGGAGGGGTGAGACTTCTTGGAGCTCGGGGAGGGCGATCACGACGAGGGGGTTCTTCTTTTCTTCTCCGTCCTGGGAAGTGGTGGTGTTTTGTTGTTGTTGCTGGAGGGCGGGTGCGAAGGAGAGCAGGCAGGTGTAGATGGTGCGGCGGAGCGGGGAGGCGACGAGGTGGGTGATTTGGGATTGGAAGGGGAAAGATTGGGCGAGGGTGGCGCACTGGGTGTTGCCGAGGGGGGTGAGGTCGGGGTCGGGGAGGGAGTGATTGGCGGCGCAGAGGTTGTGGAAGCCCTGAGCGTGGCGGACGAGGTGGATGTAGGTGGGCATCTTGGGGGTGTGAAAAGGGGGGAAGTTGATCGGAGATACGTGGTTGTGATGGCGTCAGGGGTAATGACGACAATCTTGTAGATACCTATGGAAGGTCAAGTTGAACTTGATGATTCTTTCGCAAACTCCGAGTTTCAGTTCGTTTCTTAAATAATATTGCAAGTGAGTCATTCGCCGGCCCAGAAGTCAAAACGCCGTACGGCCCGACGCCTGCGTCTCCACCGCCTGCTCCAGTGCGGTGCCGGATCGCATCGGCGCCCAAGCCCGTATCAACGGGCCTTATCCCCTAAAGGGGGACCCGCCCGACTACGCTGGGTGACCACGGGCAGTCCCGGCAGGCCGTCATTGGCCGGGAGGTCGCCATTACGTCAGCCTTCTCCGGATCTCGGTGCGAGGTGCAGGACATTCGGGGTCTCGATGAGCTCGCAGGAGCCGGTGGAACAGCTGGAGGCACTTCTCAAAAGACTTGGCTCGTTTGTCCAACAATACATGGTATTCGCAGCCACAACGCCGTCGTCATGTCCATGCCCTAACAACTCCGTTTACATACATATGTCGCTTCACTTTCAGAAACCGGGCGTAGTGCGCCTTGCTTCCTTCTCGAACGCCTGACCAAACTAAACATCCTACATTGCCTGTTCTTGACATCCCCCACTGCTGCACTTGATGTTGCCGTCTATAGATCGATTAAGCTTTCCTCCACAACGGGTTGCTTTGGAGCATGGTGCGGCGCCGAGGGGAAGGACTCCTGGGTATACCCTGCATACGCAGCGCTCGGAGGCGGTTGCCACACCGGCGGGAGTTGCGTCTGCTGGGCGGCCGAATGCTGCCAGTACGGCTGCTGGGCTTGTGGTGGTGCTTGATGTGCTTGCTGCGGCTGGGAAGGCTGGGCGGGAATGGATGCCGGCGTTTGAGGTAGGGATGGCTGGTATGAGTGCAATGGTTGAGCAAGGTTAGGGTATGGCGACATGTTCGGGTCGGGCGGGGAGCTGGGGACCTGTTGCGGCTGCTGCTGCTGCTGCTGCTGTTGCTGCTGTTGCTGCTGTTGCTGCTGTTGGGCCTGCGAACTGAAGTAGAATGATGCGCTGGGGTCAGCCGTAGGGGTGGTGCCGATAGAGTCATTCGGCGCGGGCGCGGGCGCGGATAAATGCGCCGGATTCGGCGTTTGTTGCAACTGGGCGGTTTGAGGAGGCTCATTCGGGGGGTAGCTGGGCTGCTGGCCATACTGCTGGGCAGACGACGCAGGACCCCAATTTCCAGTGTGTTGAGGCACTTGTTGTGGGGGGTATTGATTGCTTGAAGGCGCAGAAACAGAACCGCGCTTGTCGTAGGCTCCGTACTGTGCCAGTGTAGGCTGCGGATAGGGCTGGTGTGTTGTCGGGTGGCTATACTCTTGTTGCTGCTCACCCGTGTAGAAGTTCTCTGCTGGCCCTGCGGCAGGGGGCGCATTGGGTTGCAATGATGGATACGGTCCGGGAGCCTGCCTCGGCGGCGGTAGATTATATCCTCCTATGCTGTGCTGGCTGTAGGCCTTGGACAGGCGCTCCTCAAGCATGCGGTCGTAATAACGGACAACCGTTGACAATCTCGCGTGCAGATCAAGGAGGGTGTCTGGTTGAGGGTCAGTCGCCGCTTCTTCGCCTCGTTTTGAGCTGACTTACCATGCTTGCTCATCGTTTCTCCATAGGTCCGGGCAAGTTTGGGTCGCAGCGCGCCGATGCTGTCGTAGAGCTCCTGGATTTGTGGTTCGCGCAGGATTGTCCCAGGTGGCTGCGTTTGCAAGCGGTCGACAAGAGTCGAAAAAAGGTTGATGTTCTCCGCTTCGAGCGGAGTGAGTTCGTAGTCGTTCTTGGGAAGTGCAGACGGTGCGGCTGATGAAGAGCTTGCCGCGCCTGAGGCCTGTTGTTTCAGAGCCGCAGCATGCTGCTTCTTTTGCTCCTCCATATCCGCCAGAGACGCTGCAATGGCGGCCTTCAAGTCCTCGTCCTCCTCTTCGACCGCTTTGGGCGCGGCGTGCCCGTTTGGCTTAGGCTGGTTTGAGGTCACCCCGTTGGCCGCAGGGGAGGAGACATAACCCCTGGAATGGCTCTTGACTTCCTCAAGACTCATCGCCAAAGCTTTCTTCAAATCCTCGTCAAAACCATCGTCCACCCGAGCGTTCCGCGGTTGCATCGAAGACCCTTTGGGCTTGGCGGGGGAAGAGGAGTAGGTAAATGAGCGCTCGGGGGGGGGCACCGCTGGCTTTAGAAGACTTGTCGGTGAGCTTGGCGTAGCATCCGTCGTCTACCCGGACCGCCTGCAGGATGCCGAGATGAGGAAGGGGAAGGGATTTGGTCGAGCATTGCTGGTCGAAACAGTTGCCACAGTTACGGCAGTGGTGCTTCCGGTTGGTGAATGTGAAGGCGGTTCGACACCGCATACAAACATCGGAGTCAACCCATTCGGGGGGCTAAGTAGTGTCAGCATTTTCACCGTCGTCCTTCAACGTATTGAGAACCATACCGCGTTACTGTCGATCATACTGCTGGCAACCGTGACCCGGGGCGGAAACTGGTAACCTTCCCGCTGCAAGGTCTTGTACACCTCTCCGATATAACCGAGTTCGTAGCGGCCTTCGGCGGCGGTGGCCCAGGACTGGATAAGCTCGAGAATCTTGGCGCGCACTTCGGCGTTGACAGTACCAGGACCGACGGCTTTGAGGAGCGACACCAGAGACTCCATAAATTCTCTGGAGGCTATTTCGGCGAGGAAGTGGGCCCCGCCATTTTTAACGCAGGTATCGGTGAGCTGGCCAAGTTAGCAGCCAAGTCCGCGCAGCTCTCTCATGGGCGTGGGGTAGAGTCTGAGGCTCACGTTCAGCGCGCTGAGTTGGGTATTGGGATTCTTGTTGTTGATGCGCTTTTTGAGCGAGCGCATGGCTTCTTTCGGCTGTACCGTCTTCGATCTGATAATGTCGGAAATCTCGAGGTTGAGAGCGATGTCTTCCCTGTGATCAACTACAATTAGCTCGGGGGCCCTGCCGCAAGCTCGCAACGGGGGTTCGGTATGCTCATACAGACTGCTGCTCGTAGCCTTGTCAATTTGCTCATCTAGGGCATTGTTGGCCCCAGACGACCACCACCCCATCATTTTGAAAGAAGGGATGGAAAACTAGAAATGCTGCTGTTGAAGGGAGGCGAACGAGGGTTGCGACTCGGGGGTTTGCTCTCGAGAGGTTGGTCGGAAGGGTGCGGGGCGAGTGTCCTGAGGTAACGCAGCTTTCTGTCGGTTCCGGGATCGATAATATCCGAGAGACGCAACAATTACTGAGCGTATTGAGTAGGTATGTAATAAGCAGCGCGTGTTAGTGCATCGGCAGGTTACGCGGCCAATGTTTGCGATGGAGGAAGGTTGGAGTTTCGATGCGGCTGCCTTGTCGTTGGTTACGTATTGATGGGCCCGCCGTGCCCGCCTCGCTGGGGGCCGCAGCTTGCCTCCCACAAGCCCGCCAAGAGGTGGCATGGGGGGCCCTTGCACTGGGCTTACTTGCTTGCAGAGTTCACAATGTGGCGAGCTTTACAATCCGAGTTCATGGTCCAAGGCGTCCCTTGTCAGGCGGGACTGTATCTTTCTAGGTCCTGTGCTTTCCTTTTCTTCAGTATCAGATAAGGAAAAGTCAAATATATTCTCGGCCTGGTCAGAATCCGAACAGTTTGATTGTGGTCCATAAAGTCGCAACCCAAGCATTGAGCCACTGCCAAGAAGTGAAGGTATGTTCCGCCAGCCGAGGGGCAAGGGACCGCATTCGTCACTCGTCACAAAGAAAGACCCCCCAGTCGGTCTCCAAGGTGCTTGCGACCCCAGCTTCCCAGACACACCCCACATGACAACTCGGCAGCAGCAACAGGCCGACCATAACAAGTCCTCGAGGAATCCAACAGAGTTCGGAACAAAGGATGGGGATGATCTCGGTCTCAGCAAAGAAAGAAATATTCTAACTCGTGCCCCGTTTCTTATTCCTTTCCGAATATAATCCCCGGTTCTCTCTCGTCCACAAGAGTGGTATTGCATCCTATCTCCAGCATTTTCCATCTGCTGACGACGACAACCACGCCGCAAGACCACGCACCAGTCCCAGCCCCAAAAATTCGAGCCATGATAATTTCGATCCCGATATAACCGACTTATACCGTCTACTCCGCGACCCCGGGCTTGGACTGCCCCTCTTCGATATCGCATCGCCCAGGGCCGGCGAGGCACTCGAAAACCTGCTTTCTCCGCCATGCCGGGCTCGACGACCACGTCCAGTCATGCCAGATCCGCGTCTTTGGGGGGGTTCGATGGGCGCCCAGATGGCGCAATGGGGGGGAAGCGGCCACTCCCGCACATCGAAGACATCACCTCCGTCACTGTCGACATTGACACGCACACTCCCGTAGAGAAGGTCCTTCAGACTGCAGAAATATGTCTACGGCAAGCCGAGTCGTCGAAAAGCTTTGGCAGGCCCGACTTTGCTCTCAAGGACTACATACGGACCAACATTATCCTCCTTGATATCATCAAGAAAAACAAGGGATGGGTATCGCTACAGAGCGATAACAGGGCGCAATTTGAGCGCTACCAGCGGCTTGTGCGTCAGGTGCATACCCGTTCACGGCGACTTTGAGGCCATCAAGGAACAAATAAAAGCGGACAATGCTAGGACCGGCGTCCAGCCTACCGCCTACCGGCCCGGAATCCGCGGGCAATGCGGCAACCAACGGGCAAGGCAAGGGAGGCGCTGTGAATGGGACTGTACAGGCCAAAGATGTTCCTGTTTCTTCTCCGCCCAAGAACAAGCCCGTGGTTCACCCGAAACCCCAAGGCCTCCACGGTAATGTGCTACGTCCGGGTACAGCAACGGCCTCTATCAAATCCCAGGACCTCCTCCAGCGCTTCGCAAACCTTCGGGCAGGTGCGCCCAACCCGTCCCAAGGCCTGCATCATATTCGAACACAATCGGCCGCGTCGTCGGGGTTACCAGAGACCCAAAAGCCCCCAAAACCGCTGCCTCCAAACCCACCATTGACCGGCGCGATCGCCGGGTTGCCTAGGATGCCCGACGCGATTTACAACCCGCCACGAGGAACTATCTCGAGCGAAACGGCTGCTCTTCCCTCGAGTGCCCCCCGTGCCATGTTCACGAGAACCAATTCGGCAACACCTTCAAAGCCAGCGCCCAAACATGCTCAGCCCCCTGAGGCTGTTGCACATGCCCATAATTCCGTGCCTCCAGGCGCTCCGGCGAAACGGCCCAAGCTAACCATCCCGGACGGCATCACGATATCTGTTGATGATCTACTTGGGTTTATGAGGACTGGGGCCAAAGACCTCTCAATTCTACTCATTGACATTAGGAGCCGTGAGGAGTTCGATAATGGCCACATCATGTCACAGGCTACCATATGTTTAGAGCCCGAGGTGCTTGCGAGGGATCATATCTCGGCGGAGCAGGTCGCAGATAGCATGGTTCTGGCGCCAGCATCAGAGCAGCTGCTCTTTGAAAAGCGTCATGAGTTCGACCTGGTGGTGTTTTACGACCAAGACTCTGAACAGATTGTCCCCAGGCCACACACCACCAGCGAGAAAGCTGCATCTGGCCTGTTCGATGCGCTTAGCCAGTACGACTTTACGGGCGCATCGGGATTGCAAGTTTCCCCGAAGTTGCTGCGCGGAGGTTTAGACGCGTGGACGAGTCTGGTCGGCCACGCGAGCCTTCAGTCGTCCTCAACGACTACTTCGAAGAAGCACACGGCAAGCCCCATGGCACGTTCATTCCTGAACCGGCGCCAAAGGTACGTGACTCGGCCGATCCAAGACCCGGCAGAGGCCAAGCGATGGGAAGAGACCATTGGGGATGCCGGGGCGATATCCCCAATCAGAACAACCGAGGATTTCCTTCGTCGATTCCCTTCCATTTCCGAACAGCATGAGTCGATGGTGTCTCCGATTAGCCCCCCGGCGAACCGGCCGCAGAGTCCTTTCCACCACCGCTTATCTCACGAAGAGAACCTTTACACCTCGCTCCCGTCGCCACCGACACGCCCACCCCCAGCACTTCCGCGGAGGAGCTATAGTGGGCTTGCCGAGGCCGAGGATAACTCCGTCATTCTGGCTAAGAAGACCGGGGCCCAAGTCGCCGACACGGTCCGGAAATACCGAACAGGCCTACAGAACCCAGGCGTCTACTGCTTCGCGAACAGTTCCCTCCAGGCCATGTTCGCCACGCCAGGCTTCGCGCGTGAGGTATGGAGCGGAGAATGGAAGGATGCGTACAAGGTGCCTATGAAGCCCGACGAAAACCTTGAGAATCCCCAACTCCTCATGAAATGTTTGGCCAACCTCTTGCATTGGCTCAACCAAGGGTCATTCAAGTCTCTTGCGGCCAAAACGATCATGGTTAGTACACGTTTCACTGCTACGATGTACCCGTTACTGACGCTACACAGGAGTACATCCACTACATTCATTCCAAGGGCTCAGACGGTAGGATGAAGCAGGACTGCGACATATTCGGTGGCTGTTCGCAACAAGATGCCCAAGAGTTTTACTCTTTTATCATGGACAATATCCACGACGAGACCAACGTCCGCCGCGACAGAAAGGCCCCAAAGGAGGAAAAGCCGTACACGCCCAAGACCGGCACTATCATACAGAATGCCGTTGACTACTGGCGCGAATACTCCAAATCCAGCGCCTCCATCATCGACAAGTACTTCCGCGGGCTCGAGGTGTTCATCTCGCGGTGCCACAACAGCGCCTGTCGGCAGGAGATCCGCCTCTTTCAACCATGCGACGTCTGGATTCTCAACCTCGCCGGCATGGACGATCCGACGGACCTCGACAGCCTGCTCGCCAACCATCAGACCTCGGAGCACTTCCCCGACCTGATCTGCGAGACGTGCAACAAGCCCGGGCGCACGCGCAAGGCCAAATTCGCGCGGCTCCCCGACCGCCTCGCCTTCTGCCTCAACCGCTTTAACAGCGCCGGCGGTGGTGGCGGGTTCAGCAGCCGGCTCATGTCGTCGGGCAAGATCCACTCCAAGGTGCGCTTCCCGATCCGCGACCTCGACCTCACGCGTTACTGCGCCGAGCCGGACCCGGACATGGCCACCACCGACGACCGTCATTTCGCCGGCAAGATGCGCTACGACTGCTACGCCGTCACCGTGCACGTGGGCCAGGGCATCAACGGCGGGCATTACTACAGCTACGTGCAGGACGAGCTGTCCAGGGACCCGACCGACTGGTTCCGGTGCAACGACGACAAGGTGGACCGCGTCAAGATCGGCACCGGCCAGCCCGGAGATTTGACGGAGACGATGTATCAGAATGGGACGACCTCGGCGTATATGGTTTATTATCGGCGGCGGGGAACGTGAGGTGTTGATGTCGGATGGTAGGGGGGGGGTTGATATTATTGGATAGACGCAACGCAGCGAATATAATAGTTAGCTGGAAGAAGACCAGCGAGGTTCGTGGGGCGGATTGATGATTGGAATGCGTTACGACAAGTCAGGGAAGCAAGGCGCTCGGGACAGGTTCATCTCTACCGTACTAATCATTCGAGATACCAATTGCATTAGACCCATTGTCATCCCACCGTTAGATAGCTATGCTTCAAAGCCTACATTTTTACCCGTTCCAGAACAACGCGCAATATTGTCCCAAGATGGAGAAGTAGGTAGGTAGTTCCAAATCCCTAGTTAACGCCGACCAAGTGCTCGTTCGCCGTATGCCTAGCCCAATGTCGTGAACATAACTTAGAATGCTCAGGGGATCACACCGCCGAGCAGAAACCCAAAAATAATACTAGTCCCAAGCACATATACCCTTCCTTTACTTGCCTTCCACGCAGGCCTTGATATCCTTGGCGTACTTCTCTCTGATCGCCTTACGGTTCAGTTTCTGCGTCGCCGTCACCAGCCCCTATTATCAACCGTTAGCAAACATCGAGCCAACGAACGATAGCTCCCCATCACCCCCAAGCGAGTGGAGGAAAGAAAAGAGAGAAGGAAAGAGAAAGGAGAAAAAAAGGACACTCACATTCGCCGGCGTCCACTCCTCCTCTACGACCACCACCCCAGCGACCGTCTCCATCCCACTCAACCCCTCCTTCCTCGCCACGCCCTGCAGCGCCTTCAACACCGCGCCCCTCACCTTCCCATCCGCACAGAGATCCGCCCCCTCCGCAACGCCGACCTCCTTGGCCATCTGCGCCAGCACCTTCTCGTTCGCCAGCACGAGGGCAATGGGCCGGGGCGCGGAGCTGTCGCCGTGAACCATGACGTTCTGGGCGCAGGCGGCGCCGCGGTAAATGGCCTCGAGCTTCTCGAGCGCGATGTACTCGCCGCCCTGCAGCTTGACCAGGTTCTTGACGCGGTCGATGACGGCCAGGTGGCCATCGGCGTTGAACTCGCCGATGTCGCCCGTGCGGAACCACCCGTCCGGGGTGATGGCCTTGGCGCTTTCGTCCGGGTTGTCCAGGTAGGCGGTGCACACGGGCGCGCCGCGGATGAGGATCTCGCCTTGGGGCGGGGTGCTGGCGGTGGAGTAGTTGAGTTCGGGGAGGGAGACGAGCTTGATCTCGACGGCGGCGGGGACCGGGCCGATGGCGGCGTCGGGGGTCCATTGGAGGGGGCAGCCGAGGGCGCCGTTGCCGCAGGTCTCGGTGAGCCCGTAGCCGTTGAGCATGGGCGCGACGGCCATGGAGATGAAGTGGAGGGTGGGGGTGGCGATGCCGCTGGCGCCGTTGACGACGAAGCGCAGGCGGCCGCCGGTGACGGCGCGGACTTGGCTGAAGACGGTGCTGTCGAGGAGGGCGCCGCCGGGGAGGCCGCTGCGCACGAGGAAGGATTTGAGGGCGAGCGCGGCGTTGAAGACGGTGCCCGCGAGCGCACCCGACGCCTTGACCTTGCCCTCGATGCCCTTCTTGACTGTTTCCCAGATCTGCGGGACGCCGACCATGACGGTGGGCGCGAAGGTGCGCATGTCGCCGTAGCAGTTGCGCATGCTGGTGTCGGAGAGCGTGCGCGGCGAGCCGTAGCCGAGGGTCGCGCCCACGAAAATGACGAGGTTCTCGAGCACGAGCTCAAAGATGTGCGCCAGCGGGAGGTAGGCCAAGACGTATTCGCGGTGGCTCACAGCTTCCTCCATGACCGAGTACAGGCCCGCCACGGCGGCCACGAAGCCCGCGTGGGTGACGGGGACACCCTTGGGCGGGCCGGTGCTGCCGGAGGTGTACATGATGCAATACATTTCTTCGGGGCTCGGTAGGACTGGTTCTGTCGGGTTTTCCTCGCCTAGTGCGCGCAGTTCGCCAAATGACAAGATAGTAAGCTCCGGGTGGACAGCTTTGAACTCCTCGATCTCGGCATCGGGTACGGGCAGGTGGGTTTCCTCGTTGTAGATAAGGAACTTGACGGCTTCCGCCTTTTTGAGCGGATTTTTGATCGTCTTGAACAGGTGCGGGTCGACAAACATGGCATTCGCCTTGCTCTGAACGAGCGAGTGTTCAACGCCGCTCTCGCCGAGGGTGTCATATGCGGTGACGATGGTCATGGATTGCGAAGAGCATGCGTGTGCCATGGAGAGCCATTGCGAGCTATGTCGTTTAACTCAGGTGTCAGAAACTGTATCCTAGCTAAAAACGGTTTTGAGGGTATGGCCGTACCTGGTCGTCGCAAAGATATGCAGCCTGTCTTTTGGCGACAACCCCAGTTTCCTTAGACCAGCGCCAACTTGCAAAACCTGGGTAAAGTACTCCTGATATGTGATGTAAGTGTAGTCGGACAGCTCGTAATAGGTCCATTCCTTCTCGACCTCGGTGGTCTTGCCGTCGACAACCTTGGGGACCTTCCTCTTTTCCTTGTGGGTGTGGATCAGCTTCCGGCTGCCAACTGCGGGCTCGTTGCCGTAGAGCTCGGCACTTCGTTTTAAGAGGTCAAAGGTGGTGTTGACATCCGGGGCTGGGCGCTCGAGTAGGCCATCCTTGGCCTTGGGATGCCGGCGGGGGATCGTTTCGCCTTCAACGGGCTGGACGCCGGGGGCCTCGATGGTGTAAGGGGGCTTTTGCACCATGCCCAGAGGCGTCGGCTTGGCGCTATACTTGTACGTCATGGTGCAAAGCTGCGAGTTGTTTGGCTGCTATGGCTATGTGATCTTTGACCTTTCTAGTTCGATTTTTCTTCACGCAAGCTTCAGGACGTCTCTTCGCGTAACTTATTAAAATATGACAGTGGGTCGAGTTGTTGTGTGCCGAGGTTTGCGACCTTTTGCAAAGCGCACGAGGAGGCGAGCGGCCTCGGTTGGCGTTTCTTGGGAGCCCTGTTCGACTAGACGGGTGGCAGGTGAGACAGTGCAGACGGGCGCAGCCAGGGCTTCGCCAATGATGGGTTGTGGTTTTTGTTGAGATTCGAGTTGGGGTAAACAGGTGGCTTCACTTGGCGGGGAGCAACGAGCTGATGTTGTCTGAGGAATTTCAGCTCTTTTGAGTTGCCCCCTCGATTTGGGCGAGAGGTTCGCCTGGCTCTCTCCAACTGCTCTGCATCTCGAAGCAGCACAATGACGCATGGCGGCGCCCAGCTGGCAGCGGAACAGGGCCAACCCCGGAGACCCTCCACACTCCTCTGGAGCTTGACATGCCAAGCTTGGTCTCAATCGGGCGGGTCGCTGATCGCCAAGCCTGTCACCTCGACCCGAGACCTCTCCGATCGGAACCCACATGACGTTATCAGAAAAATAAATCGAGCCGTTGAGGTGTCATGGGGATGCTGTGCTTTGGTCCAAAAACAGGCAGGATTCGAGAAACAGAAACTCTAGACTAATAACCGGGGTAAAACCAGCCGTAGAATACCGATTATCGTCGCTTTACAAGAAGCAATTACCTGGACTGTCGGGTGGCTTTCGTGTCGTCTCGTTTCTTTTCCTACAGTCTTGAGAGTCTCAACACATTCACATTTGGTGTTTAGCAATTTGTACTTCGTACCCAAGGTTGAGTTGAGATGCTCGCCTTGTGCCTAACTCAGAGATGGGACGGGCAAACACGGGTGTCTCCGAGGGTGAAAGTCGGATGTTTTCCAAGACAGGAAGGAACATAACTGATCGATGCAACTCCCGGGCCACCTTCATTTCATCCCGCAGGAATTATTCCACGATACCTGTTCGTACATCATACCGATACATTACTCTGTAGGAACAAGTACCTACTTTCCTTTTCGAGTCCCTTTATTCGAGACGAATTATAATACGGACGAAGATAGATTACGGATCCGTACTTCGTACTTCGTGTACCCCCTGGAAGCTAACGATCGACCCCTGGTCTCGGCTCCCAATCAACGCTGCGGGTCGCAAGCGGGAATTGGGGACAATCCATGCAAGATGCATTCGCGGCCTTCGGGCCATTGCCCCTCCGGAAGCTGACATTAGGCCCGGTATGACTGACGACAACATCAACGTCAGCTTTGGAGGCCGGATCATGCCAAGGGTTTTACCCAAAACTTCTCTTGGTTCTACTTGTACGCATTTCGTCTTGCTAGCTTTCTTCACCTTTCACTTTAGTTTGTTGGTTCAGCCAGGGACCAGCCGGCGAGATCATGAGCTCGGAGAATACGGACCCGATCAGCTCGCCTGGCTCCGCTCTGGCATCTGCGGCCGGAACCCCGTCCCCGGATCCCGCCGAGTTGAGCATTAGGGTTCGCCGGAAACCGATTCCTCGGAAGGGTCACACCAAGTCGCGCCGAGGCTGCTTCAACTGCAAGCGTAGGAAAGTCAAATGTCAGGAGTCACGGCCCGAATGCTCCAACTGCACCCGCATCGGCTTGGACTGCGAATACCCGGACAGCCGCCCCCGGCAGTCGCAGAGCCCCCTGACCGCCGCCGTCGAGTCGTCGTCACTGTCCGTGATACCCTCGCCCTCAGTCCCGCTCCAGTCCACGCCGACGCTCTTTACCCCGGACGACATGCGTTTCTTTCACCACTTCTTAGTTACCGCTTATCCGCCGCTTCCTATCCGAGGTGACGATATATGGAAGAATGTAGCGCCCTTAGCACATACTGTCAGTCACCCATAGTGTGCATCTAATTCTTCGATCCATCAAATAGCCGTGCTAACTATTGCGTGGCAGTATGATTACTTGATGCACGCCATGCTGGGCCTGGCCGCCTCCCACCTCGACATCTACGGTGCTAACGTTTCGTCCCATGCCCTAACCCACCGTGTCAAAGCCATCACCCTGTTGAATCAAGCGTTGAGCACGCGCCCGACGTCTACAGCGGAAGCGGACGCCAGGTTTGCCGCCATCTTCGCCTTGGCCTTTCAAGCCTCATGCATGCCCGAAGGCATGACCGAGTTCATGTCCATGATCAAAGGCTGCCATGTCATTGCGAAAACATCACTATTGGAGTACCAAGACTCCCTCTTTAAAGTCTTTACTCGAGACGGCTATGGCAACAGCGTTCGGAAGATACTCGGGACGGCCCCCATTGTTCTTCAACGAAAAGACGAAGATCTTCTTTCCGGCTTTCTCGAGTCCCTGCGCGCACTTGGGCCCCTTTGCACCAGCTCGTTGGAGGTTAGGTTCCTGGCTTCCACTGAGCACGTCGTCAAGATCGCAAGAGTGTCTGCTGCCGAAGGTCCGTCATGCTGCCCCTTGGTCCACCCCACTCCCCCAAACTGACATCCCTTGTTAGCCTTTGCTCACTTTTCTGAGCACTACGGTCTTGTCCTACACGCGGCACCCGAGGAATATGCCCCGTTCGTAGACCCCAATCACTACCCGGCGCAGCTCCTCCTCATCCACTTCGTTCTCATCGAGTTCGCTATTGGCTACATCGCCCTCGGCGAAGTTGGCCGCCGCTTCGCATATCGAGAGAAGTCCTGCATCGCCTGGATGAATCAGCTCGCCGCTAACCTACCAGAGCGCTACAAGAAGTACGCCGAGTGGCCCATGAATTATGTTCGGACCGAGCTAGGCGGCTGAGAGAGGGTATCCCGGGGTTATTCACTCGGCAGTTGTCGTCAAGAATTGTCTAAGGCGGCTCCGGCAGAACAACCCTGCCATTATTGAGTCGAGGTGGTATGCGCCGGTACAACCCATCAACATGGGTCAACTATCAGGACACTCGGCATTCGCTCATACGTCGCCTGTACCTATCCCCCCCAACCCCGTTGGTGTCCCGGGGCTTGAGTCAACCGGCGAGCTGTCACCGCCATCTAAGCGGAACGCATAATATAGACGCGGATGGGAGGTAGAACTAGGAAAGTTCAGGTGGGCCAAGGGAGCGTTTAAAGAATAACAGGGGAAGCGAAGCCCGCCAGTGGTGAGCACGGCGTATAGGGCAGTCGTTTGGGGTTCTGTTGGTTTGTTGGGACCTGGAGTTTGGCAAGAGAGCCAAGTCCTTGCTTGTAAACCCGGCCCTAGCCCATAGCCATTGGAAGGGAAATGTGAGAATCCAAAAACCGGAGAGGGACGAACTGCGTGAGACTTTATAGAGAATGCAGCAATGCTTGCATGCTTGGTTATCAGGCAAGATCTATCATGATTGGCCGGCTTAGGCGAGTTGTCTGTTGTCAATCCGAGGAATGCGACGGGTGGCTTTCTCAGGTCGGAACGCCCTCGCATACATCGGATGCGTGTTGCCTGGGTGCATGAGGTTTGACAGTGGCACTTCGTTGTTAGGATCACTTTCCCGAGTCGTGCTATCCTGTCGTCCGGCTGTGTGGCCAAGTGGTGGTGGTGGTGGCGGTATAGATATTCTAGGGTGCCCTTTTCCTGTCATTGAGTTCTCCATGGGACCACATGCAAGTGATTCTTGCCTCTCAGATTTAGAGTTAACCATCCATGACAAATCCAGTGTGAAGCTTTGGATTAAAACTTCAAAACCATAACCAACCCTTGCCAAACTTGACCATGATTGGCAACCAGTCATCCGTATGGTGAATGATGGTAGTTCTCATATCTTGGAAGGTCCATGAGGACTCAATCAACATCAGCCGGTTTGCGCCAAATATCTCCGCGCCTATTCAATGTGACAAGAGACAAAGGGGCACGGGGCGTTGAGATCAGACAAACCTGCGCGCTTCTCTTTCTGGGCCTCCGTTTACATAGTACCCAATTTGTTAAAATCGATCAGACTACCAATATTAAAACCATAACTCCTACGCCTATAATCTTATAATCTACCCTCGTACCCTTGTCTAGGAGATATTTGAATCATCCCTACATCTCGGATTAATCAACGCTCTTGACTTTGGAAACCGACCGTTGGATCCTCTCAAAGACCATAGACCATATAGATGACATCAGGCAGCAACCTCGAACACACTAAGTACGACGAGGTCTCTACATCCTCCCCACAGACAACGTGTACCTGTCCAGGGAGCTAGTACTTTCAACACACAATGATACGTCATCATCTAGTCCACTGCGGTGCCACGGGGAGTGAAGCGTCTGAAGTTTCATCAGCCTTACAGAGTCACAAGCCGAGCTGTCCCGATATTGACACGTGAAGAGGCAAGATCTGAGAGTGTAAACCCGCACGAGTCCACTAGGGCTACGTAGTTATGGTTTGAGTGCCTGGACTGTCTTCCACGTACCTATACATATGGCGCAAGGCTGGTATGTACAAGCTGACCGTCTCCCGTATACGGACACATAGGTTGCTCAACTTAGCTAGTGGTTACACGCTTGGGAAAACAGGGTGTTTTAGGTTTCTCCAATCTAGCACTGCCCAAGGGGAGGCAACTGGGCCCCCTAGCTTAAGTGGCAAAACCGTGACTATCCAGTAGGGCATACAGAATAAACAAACAAGGAGGTTGAGTGTCCTTATGGCACCCCCTTTAGCACCCCGTCACAGCCTCCATGAAAAACGGCGACTGCGTCTGCAAACGCTGACCAACTTCAAACGAGCCAACGCCAAAATATTAACAGATAAAAAGAAAAAAAAAGCAATATACCGCCATCACCACAAACTCAATTCCCCTCGCCCCCGGTCCCACAACAGCCCTACCCAAACCTGACATCACCATCCCATCTCCCTCGACCCCTCCCCCACCAGCCCCCATGACTCTGCCACAACCACCAACATCAGACCAAAAGCCCCCTCTTCCCAGGCGACAAATCAGCATGCCACGATCACCAGAACCAGCCCACCCGCCTCGAGATCTCAGCCAGGTTGGTGCACAGAAGAGGACGAATTGCTCGTACTGTGCGGTTGGCTCGCGCGCACTGACGTCCACCCCACCGCAAAAAAAACCCCAGATTCCGCCACGGCTATGTATAGACGGGGGTTGGTTGTAAGCTCTGGCTTCAGTCACACCTCCCTCGCTGATCCTGAAGGATGGAACCTTGTCTTGCTGAGTTTTCCCCGCCGAGTGTGACAGTATGTGGATGGGGTTGAATCGATCGACGGCAGTGCTCGTGAGGGTGTGGTGGCATCTTGACAGAGCCCGATCAAATTTGCAACATGAGGGGGTCGCGATGGAGCTATGTTGCCACGGCCTCCTCTGTGTTCCTCTAGGGGGCCTTGGGATTCTCTTGGATGGGGGCTCGAGGTATAACGCGCTACGCTGAGGAAAGCACTGGTGGGAGTGAGTGGTGGGCCAGGCCGTAACAAAAAAAGAGGTAACGGCGTCTGTCACGGCGGTAATTCTCACCAGGCGTTTAGCGTGTCGTTTTCAAGATCCCCTAGACTATAGGCCATATCAAACCACGCCCTGCCAACTAGAATGCACGCCAGCATAATGAACCTACGACGTAGACGCAAAGAAGGTTGCCTCCTCACATGTGACAACCCCCCTGGCGCGCAATGACCCCTCTCCCACAACCCACCCGCTCGCCCGCCGCGTTCGCTGGCGCTAGCAAGGGAAATAAAACAACAGACGAACGGCCGAGGCGAGAGACAGTTTGTGGTGTGTGGTGTGTGGACCGGCCGTGGAGAATACTGTACAAAAGTTTAACGAGCTGGAGCTGAAACGAGATCGAGATTCCGTGCCTCACCGCGCGGGGCCATCCCATCGTGGTTGCCGCGGACGCGCCACCGTACGGCCGTACCGGCTACATCGCCCAAGTACCTACTGGTGAGCCCCTCACATGAGTCAAACTGCTGCAGTTGTCGTCCCGGTCATGTCCGAAGCCGCTGCGGGACCCGACTCAGTTGTTTGCCGTGTGTCTGTTGGTCACGTCATCGGTGGGATGCTGGGCGAGTCTGCGCACCGATGTTGGGTGTAGTAGGAAGTTGTTGGGGTGAATGGTGGGAGGAGGGGATGGGGTGCAGAGCCCTCACACCTCCGCAGCCCCCGAGTCCGATGCCCTGATATCTTCCGGCGATGCCCCGGTGTGGACCGGGTGGGGCCCGGCGAATATTTCTAGAAGCCTTCCTAAAAGGGATGAACCAGGAGGCTTGGCCGGGTCCCTGTTTCTCCTGGCTGGGGGGCTGGTGGAGGGTCGGGTGGGGTGGAAACACCGGTGCTGACCGACGAAGGCCCGACTCTCACTCCGCTCAGCGAGTTTGTGAACGAGGAATATGGGTTTCGGCCTATTAGCTCGTGACTAAGTATTATCAGCATTCGGGATCGAGAAACGGGAGGTGGATGACCCCAGAAAACCACAAGAACAGGAAATTGCTGTACCCCCTGTTGTAGAGGATGCTTGCTGTAAGTGGCAGAGGGCGATGAACGCACCAATGATGGACAGTTGTCGTTGTTATTGTTGGTATTGTTGTTGTGGTGCCACCTTCAAGTATCGGTGATTATGCGGCAAGCTTAAACTCACTCGTTCGACTCAGCTGCATCCCCTGGTCCTGAACCAGTATCGTGGTAGTCGAAACCCGGGTTCTTGGTGAATGCCAAGCAGGAAAGCTGGAGGGACGGTTCGATGTCTTGGCTTTTCATGTTGGCAGCTGTGGATTGCAAGATCTAGAGCTCTGGTCAAGAACTCTCTTCCTCCCGGTATGCCCGGGATCGGGTCGAGGCAGTTCCTCGGAGGTTGAGTCGGCCATGTACGGGGCTACTGCGGACCATTTGCTACGTCTTCTCGGGGAGTGAAGAAAACGCCAACGTTTCTGTGGCAGGGAATCGATGCCTGATAATGCGCAAATGGTCGGCTGCAAGGTTTCTCCCGCCCCCTCCTCCGCCCCCATCGGCAAACGAATAGACTGGCTGCGAGTTACCGAGCCGTGGTGAATACCCAAGGCCGAGCGGATAGAGGTCATGGCCTTGCGTAAAATTGCAGCCTCAAAAGTCGGTGAGCGGGCGAAACACGCGATGATTTGTACACGACTGTTCGAGAGGGAGTTTGCCGTGGCGGGGCACACATTCGGGCAGTCCTCGATAAGCCCTACCACGGGAATGATGCAACACAACACCTCCTCTACCTGCCCCTTGCCAACGCACCAGCTCCCATTGCCCAACCGAAATGAACGAAACGAGTGAGCTTGAGGCAGAAGCTACCCCTCTATTATTCATTTTTTTTCCGTTTGCGAGTGGGGCCTTAGCTGTCATGCATTTGTGGTGTGCTCGCTGCGGAAGTCGAGATCCAACCAAGCATCCATGCTGGCCTGCAGATGTTGTGGTGGGCCAAACCCAGTCAAATAGTCCAGGCTCGAGACAGAATTAAGAGAAAATAGAGATAAATTCAGTTTTCATATTGGAATTATTAAGAAAGGGCCCGATTGTATTTCCAGGGCTGAGTTACAGGGGCCCCTAATATTGCATTAGTACCTACCTGGGCAACCTGGAAACCTTGAAAAACGTAACGACCTGCCGTTGACATGAAGATGCGCCCAACCAGCCACTCCACGCGCCGATTCGTCGAAGGAGTTGCTCTTGGTCCCTCATTGAAGCACTCCAAATTTCGACAATGAACGCGAGCTCGTCCTAGCGGTAACTGAGTTGCGAATGTGAGAACCACTCTCACTTGGACCCCAACCACGCTTGCTTCATACTAGGCGAAAGTCAACCCATCAATTGACAATTGGGTTAAGCGAAGTGGAATCCAGGATCACCTGTCTTTGCCAATGTCGCAAACCAACCCTTTCCCGATCGAATTGAACAACATCAATGCCTGCCTTGGTTATTGAAGAGAGACGATTTTCGGGGCTCCGTTCACTAAACCCACCGAGAATGAGGGGTCCCCGGAGCGCGATGCGTCAACGTTGAGGAGTTAGTGCGATCAGCAACCGTTGCACGGTTAGGGGGCCGTTTCAGTAGGGATCGATGGCGTCACTTTTCGTCTCGTGTGTTTGTCGCTAAAACCTGGATAGACATGTGAACGTGCAAAGGGGCTACCCATGCAAACCCGTCGTGTTTGTTTTGTTATGGAGCGGAAAACATCGCCGCAACAAGAAATCGTACCCGGAACTTGCGCTGAACACCAAACGCGGCTACCGCCGATCCCATCGTCGATTTTCACGTGCTGTGAGGATACCTCAACGCGCGAGGATATCTCGAAAGGCCCCGACAGAACAAGGATTGACAATCGTTAACTCCCTTAGTTAATTCGGCATCCCTTCGCTTCCTCGGCTGCAATTGCCTAGGGTCGCACATTTAAAACATGTCGTCTGACCTGCCCGCCAAGCATCTCGACCATCAAGATCTTCACGACAATCTGGTTGAACCGTTTGCATGTGGGGATTGGGAGACCTACCCACTTCGGTACGTGTACCCCAACAACAACAGCTTTCTTCTCATCTCTGCTGTCTTCCGGCTGCCAAATGAAGCCGCGAAATTGGCCAACGGTCCGGTGACACTCTGTGATTTGTGTTGCGGTGTCGGCCCGGTGCCCCTGCTGCAAAAGAACGGAACGGAACCGGCCCCGGTGACAACCATGGAATGGAAACGTCAAAACCTGGAAAGTGTCATTTCAGTGACCTCACCTCGGCTTACCTAACTGTCAAACCTTGGAACATGTGGTCCGGTGTGACAGTGGAAGGTCGAGAGGCCTGGGCCGACGGTAAAATTGGCTAAAGTGACACCAGAGAGTGTTACCGGGAGTGTTGCATGGGTGTCACAGTGTGTATGTACCTTAATCGGGTGTGGTCTCGATCCGATCGGGGAGGACGGGGGTGTGGAGGTGGGTGGTGATGGCACATCATGTCAATCGAAGTGTGGTACCTGCCAAGTATGCCGAACTCAACATCGACCGACTCTCAGAAGACACAACGACAAGCATGACCGGCATCAAAAAGCACGAGCTCATCTCGCAGACTTCAACGGTATCCTCCCCAATTTGCGATGAGAATGAATGTACGTATATCGGTATCTGTGTACACGCCGGCATGTACCCTCTACCCCTATCCTGGGCGCCTTCACATGACTCTCCAAACAATTCTCTCCCACGTGGCACAAACAACAAAGACACGCCAGCTTCCAACAACACCACAAAAGAACGAAAGAAAGGGAGAAAACCGCCTCCCGGCCGCAAGTTACCCCGTCTCGGGACCGGACAAGTCCATGTCCAGGGCAGGCAAGAAGGCCAGGCAACAAGATACACCCGGATCGGTTGAGAACAAACAGACGACAAGGCGAGCCAAACTGCCTCAGCCTTACTAACTATGTATTTGTCTCTCTCCTAAATCTGGATCGCCCTCCCCCTCCCTCGCCCCCTAAGCCGACAACCGTCGGCACACCACCACCTTCCTCACACCCGCCCCCAGATCGCCTTTGTCCCAGACAAGAGTAAGGTACCCGCAAGCCACTGATGCGATAGCCCCAACGGTTTTCGGAGGGGCCCAGAACCCCAAGCCAAAACAAGAAAAAAGCGATCGAGAAAACGCGGGATGAGAGGTGAATGACGCGAGATGTGAGACATATCGGTGGCGGCGACGGAGGTTGCCGTCCAACGCCGTCTGGCCAGAATGGTCGAGGGAAGGGATGGAGAGAGGAATACGAGTACGACAGTAGACTAGTCAGCGACTAGTCAGCGGGAAGGGATAAACTAACCGACCAGCAAACAAACAAACGAGCGATTTCCAGGCTAACCGTCTACCGTAGGCCCGTTGTAGATCTGGGAATCGTGTGATGAAGGACCTGAAGGACTGCGGTTGACGGCAACTCGTGAAGCCGGTCCCGGGATCTCCACAATCCATCGTGGGCCTGACTCGAACTTATGTTGTTCAGACGAACATGTATGTGAGTGACGTCTGAAGGGATGGCGGCACATGGACAGAGAGAACACTTTCGAAAGCTTAGCAAGCGGCCAGCCATCATGTCACTCAGGGAATATGAAGTGTTTTAGATAACGTTTTGGATTGTTTTGGCTGTCTTTTTGATGACTTTTGAAATTTTTAGTTTTGCGACGGTAACGTCAAAGTAGACAGGCAGCGCATCTTTGGTTGAGACTTTTGAGGGTCTTGATGAACAACTCCACCAACCACTCGCTGTGTAGACCCTTTTTGTTTCCCCTCCACCCGTTTTCACCCCCTCTTTCATGCGGCCCCGCTCCAAACCCGCCATCAAACCGCACAAAATGCGGGAGCATCGAAAAATAAGAGTGCTAACCCCGCGGTTGCCCACGGGTGCCACCCGTGGTAGAATACACACTTCTCTTCTTGGCAGAAGTGTGGGAGAGTGGTAATAAAATGCAGACCATGGTATCATTGTGACCAGAAACGCCGCTGAATGATTAAAGAAAAAAAGCAAAAAAAAAGAAAGATGGTGGGAAAGCAACCCGCGATGAACCCGCCGTCCATATTGTTTGTCTAGGACTCCAACCAAGTGATGGATCTGCTCGTAAACCGTGACGGTTTCATTGAGCCCAAGTAATACACGGCAGAGATGACCGTCTGCCAGAAGTGAGGCTGCTGCCCCCGGGTATCGTATCGTATGTATAAATGAGATAGGCGCATGCGGGTTGGGTGAATGGGCATTAAGTTATTACCAGGCTTGCGCGTAGCCGGCGAAGGGGTTTTGGAAGTATTTGTCCCAGTTGGTCGGGTCGGTGTCCACGTCCTTATCCTTCTTCATGAAGGGCTTCTCCGGGTACTGCTTTAGGTTCGCCACATCGGTCGAAGTGTGTCGGCGCTTGAGGACGGCGTTGGCTGTCTTGGCCTTTTCAGACCGCTCGCGAAGAAGGCTTCTCCGGAGGGAGTCGGTCAGCTCGGTGGAGAGCATGTTTCGTCGGGTAGTGCGCGGTGAGAGGGCTGCGTGGTGCTGCATCCCAGAAGCGTTGACGTTGATGGGTTGCGCGGTAGAGCGAGGAATTTCATTGATGGAGCGCATCGGCGGGGCGCGTGCGGTGCCCCCCCTCTTCATCATCAACGGGGCCTCGTCCGAGTCATTCGGCGAGGCAACCAGAGACGGGCCATTGAGCGTCGCCCTGGTGCGAGGAATGGCCGAGGTCGACTGCGACGCCATGTTTGCTGAGCCTTTGAGTGCGGTCGTTATGCGCAAGCATGAGGGTGATGAGTGACCGCCGGGACGGGAGATTCGCGGACGAATCCACGCGCCTGAAGTGGATCTTGTCCTCGCCCACCGAGCTGCCGGTCTCCTCAGCAGACTCCTCCTCCCAGTCTTCGTCATCGTCGTCAATGGCGCTCTCGTCCAGATAGTCGTCCTCGGTGTCACTAATGGCAGAGGATGTGAAAGTCTGTGTAACGACTTGGTTGTTGAACGAAGCCGTCTTCTTCTGCGAATTGCTCGTGGCGACAGCCCTTTGCAGTTGTAGAGCGGCCTGAGGAGAGTTGTCCCCAGAAGAGCCTCCGAGCTGAAACATCTTGTTTCCGGGGCGGGCAGGAACCTTTCTGGTTTCCAGATCGCGGTCCTTGAAAGAGTCTTCGTCTGATCCCGAGGAGCCGCCCAGCGCAAACTTTGCTTGTTGTTTCTTCGGGAGGATGATCTTGGGTGCCGGGGACTGGGTGGGTTCGGGGATCGCGCATGGAGACGGAATCTTGGATGCCGCCAACGCCATTTGGCTCGCAGGAATGGGAGACGGGGAGAAACCGCGGGTAACAATGGTCCGAGGTTGCGCCTCCTGTTCCGGCTCCGGGGTTTGTTGAGAGGGAACCGGGTCGGTCAAGGCATCCTCTGAGGTCTCGCATGTGGATTCCTGAGCAGTCGATTCTGATTGCTCTAGCTCGAGTGCGCTGCTCTCGCTGGACGGGGAGCGCGGGATGTTAGGGAGAGGGGCATTGAGCGGCTGCTTGGCCTCCATGATAGAGACAACCATCTTTTCGAGCTCATCCGAGGTGATATGACGCTCGCGCCCACGACTCCGGCTGCTAGCGCATGAATCCTGCCTCTGTATCCTCGGCCGTACGATATCGACCGGTGTAGTATCTGTGCTCATATCAACCGCCTCTTCGTCGGCGACGGAGTCAACACTGCCAGAAAGCTGCGGCAGGTCCTCGACCACTGTCTCGCGAGGATATTGGATATCCCGCGGTTGGCTGGTAGCGCACGAAGAGATGAGGAGCTCCTCGCCTTCGCAGCAAAATGTCTCCCTGTTCCAGAGGCGCCAACTCAAATTCTCAAGCCGCCGCCCTTGGGCGACTGAGTCACGACACCTTGCGAAGACTGATCGTTGTAGTCAGTAAACTTAGCTGACAACACAAACATTGCCATTCAACTTACCGGTCCACATGCTGAAGAGATTCGCGGGGTTTGTTGTGTCGACCTTGTGGATCACATTTGCGTCCACCTGGAGGACTGGAGCCTCTAATGACATGGGCATGATGGGTGGTAGTTGCTCGAATGCTCGAGCAGGTTCCGAACTTATATCAGAGAAAATAGTTTAATCTGATTTCACCACTCGAGGTGTAGACGTCGGCCTTCGGATGTTGCTCTCGTCTCGTCGTCTGGGTGGTCAAGAGGTGGATGCTCTCTGCGCCGACAGCGGACCGGATTTAAAGATCGGATCCTTCTATGAGATGGGATGTCGACAACGGTTTTCGGTCTGGGTGCCGAGTTGCTCCGGATCGACTTCGTGGCCGATTCTTGCGGTAAATACTTGGTAGTCGTCGAGGTCGCGTCCGGTTGGATCCTGGTCGTCAAGAGCGTGGCTCTTGAGTCGACTTGTTGAGTGGTCCGTGACGGTGTGTTCCCTGTTCTCGATTGTTATATACGAACTGCGGGCGATCAATTCGCGTGTCGGTATGGTGCAGTGTTGGTGAAGTTCAGAATTGGAAAAGAAGGGAGGTGTGGTGGGGAGCGGATGCGATGTTCATGTATAAGGGAATTGTCGGGGCGCCGACCACTCGGCCAGGGCCAGGTGCGTGGGATGTGGGTTCGATTCGCGGTGAATAAAAGCAATTACCAGGGCAGGTACCCACGACCTCCATCCCCTGGTCGGTCTCAGTTCCCGGTACCAGTACAATCCTTCGCAAGTCCCCGGCGTACCAGCCAGGAGAGCCGAGGGGGAGGGATTGGTGGCAAAGGGTGTGATGGAAACAGGGTCCAGGGGGCAAAGAATGGGTACGTACCGAAGTACCGAAGTACATTCATTCGGCAGGCCATATGGCCGCCCAAGTTCACCAAAGTTCGAGCAACTTCTCGCATCCTCAATCACACGGTCAACGCGTCAAATTAAATCTCTGCAATCATGATAATATCATTGCCAATTCCCAAATCTGTAAGCCAGCTAGTTCTACATTCGAACCCAGGGAAAACGGACAGGAAGTGGAGGGCCATGAAGGAGGACCTGGTGGAGGAACGAAGACGAGCGATCTCCCTCGCACGAACGGACCGAAAACCCTGGCCCAGCCCCGCTACTGAGCCACTATTCTTAACAGGGTAAGCTGTAGCATAATATCGCCCCAATCAGCCTAGCGCGCTCAGAAACGCTAAGCCATGAAAAGAAGTACTTTTTCCTCAGGTCATGTGCATCTCACAAACGGCGTTTCGCTCGGGGCAAAACGCAGCCTCATTCTGAACGGAAGGAATATCCCACTTTTCCGTCGCCAGCCCCAAAAGGGCATGAGTGATTATCTCAAAAAGGCAAGAGCACAGGGTCGCATTTCAGATCCGGGGAGGTTTCCCGAATGACCGGTTCAACCGCGATTATGAGGATATGAGGATGTCTGTATGCAACTGTCGGAATTGAATTCAGCATTGAGCCATGATTCTCTCTCCAAAGATCTCTTTTCTTACTGCTGATGCTTCTGCGGACAACTACCAGGTACTTTCCTTGCTCTCTCCAAGTGTCGCAAGGGGCAAAGGAAACTGGATTTGGGTTCTTTCCTAAACTAGCATAGCTTCCGGACAAGTCAGGAGGCAGCCTTGCCGCCGTCAAAGCAAGTCAGGTGCGCTCAGCTGGAAAGCCCAGGCCGTTTCCCCGCAAATCCTCTCCTCCACTCAATTTGGCCCACGGTTTCCAGGGCTTGACAGCGTGCCTGTTGCTCATCAGTCCGTGATCACGAGCGCGTTTCTCTAATTGCTTGCTCCTGTTGTCGACTGAGGTGGCTGTTTCCGGTCATTTGCCAGGGGAGGCAATGCGCATAGCCCACGACGATGGCTCCCTTCACACCATTGTGCTTATTCCACGATCAGTTGGGCATTCGAACGACCCAATTGCATACCTGCTCAGGTGTTGGAATCTCAATTCGCAACAACAACAGTCGCTTGCTTGGTAGGAGGTCTGTTGCGTATGGGCAGGGGTCATGGCCAGACTCATAGCCGCGGGTGGTGTTGTGCTGACACAGCCGGGATGGCGGGCGCTAAGTGGCTCTTCTTCAGAGCCCAGCAGGCGCCAGTTCTCTGGGCGATGATTTCCTCGCAACCTCGTGATCCCGTTGTCACAGCGCTGTTCGTCTCGATCGCCGCGGCCAACTTCCGGCACGACAGACCTCTTCCCGCGTACTTCAACATTGCCCTACAGTCCCCAGCCGCTTCCCATAGCCACGCCTTGCGATGGCTCCAAAACGACCTTACATGGCTATTGGAATCCATGTTGGGGCTTCAACGCCGTGTCGCAAAAGGGGCGTTTTACCCTCACATGATGCCCTCCGTGGCTGGTGTCGGCCACCCCACGCCGAAGAACCGAAAGCCCCTGTTAAGGCGCAATCTCACCAACGCCGGGTGGCGCTTCCGGTGTCCCAGAGCCCGATATCACTTTGATCCCTGTTCGCGGAAGTGCTCCCGGTGTGAGTTGGTGGTGTGAGAGACGACGCCTCCTGCCGGATTTGGGACGCCTTTCCCTTGTCGGCGCCCGCAACGAAAAGCGGAGACCCCAGTTTTTCCCGTCGCTGTGGTTCATGCGCTGGTTGCGACGCCGTGGCTTTGGGACGATGCGAAATTGCTCCTCTCTTGGCAAACTACAACGCCTCGTCTGGTGAAATGTCGTGACGGCGGAAGCAATCGTGGAAACTTTGTCGTCATCATCCCGGAACTCGGGCACATCCGTTGCTAATTTCTTGCGCGGAAAACGCCCTGTACCCTGACTGGGAAACAGGGCCAGAGGCTGAAATTGTTATGGCTCGATGTGTGTAAGATGCCGTATCAGGCGGTCATCCAACCCTCACCTGGATGGACTCTGGCCTCTTGTCCAATCAGCAAACCGGGAAACTGGGTATGCGAGTCATTTTTGAGAGACCTGATGGGTGAGTTCCCTCCTTGCTTAACTTTCGGTCTAGACAACGACATGGAAACACCTCTGATGAGAGGGCCAGCACAAACTCGGGCATTTCCCCCACCCCACCAGAACCCGATGGCGCACATTGGCCCCCCACGTCCAATAACCCCTACCACATATCAAGATTCAATAACCACCACCCCTTAGTTGCTGCCTCGGTCACAACAACTGGAAGTTTCGGGCATCTAATTTTGGTGCTGAACCCCGAATGTCCGCAAAGCTCAGCACGTGGTTCAACCAGCATCTCATTCGAATTACGACGGCAACCAGTTGGGCAAGTACTGCTCGCCACGTGAGGTCCAAGCAGCCGATCGTCTCCAGTCTGAGAACCATCCCTCGATAGTCCAGCCGGGGGCAATTGAAATTGTCCTGGCATGCCCGTGTCTCCAAAAGTCTAGGACTTTATTCGTATCTTTTCAAATACATACTGGAGGAAGCGAAACAGTAAAAGAAGCAAGTATTGATCCCCAGCAGTCTCCTGCGTCGCAGATCCAAAAGACCGCCCAGGAACCTGTGACTTGTCCTCGGCCGCCGCGTCTGGCTAAACTGAAAAGTGACAACCGCACAACGGGGTACCAATAAAAGGTTTGCGACCGCGGGGAATCGGACAGCCGTCACCTTCAACGCCTCCGCAACCTGGAAGTGACAGTCCCGAAACAAGGCATTTAATAAAAAACAGCACCGACCCGACACCGCGGAGCCAGCCCCATAGGGTCACACGGCGCAGCTGCAGCAACGGACCCCTTTTTTATCATGTGCGAACGGAGAAAGCATGCAGCCTCACTGTCCGTTTCCAAAAAATATTCATTCTCTACGGATGAACAGACACAAATCCCCAAAAGCGAAAGTCGAAACATGCCCGCCAACACTTGAGGGCCGGCCGGACCGTGCAGGCTGGCCCGTCCCGGCTTCTTAGTGTAGAGGCGTCGTCACTGCGCCGCACTCGCTCAGGGGTCAACTCCGTCGAAACGCGTCTCAGAAGAACCAACATCGAAAGCCTGCAACTGATGAGAGTCGGAAGATAAAGTTCGTGCAACCCCCACATTCTTGACCCCCAACCCGAAAGAACCAAAGAAAGTCCCGATGTTTGGCTTGTGCCAATGCGGCTTCCCTCAGGACAGGGGTTGGGAGATGCAGCCGTTCGTTACGCAACCTCCCACCACGCTTTTCTGCCACAGCTTTGCACTGCATTTGCATACATACGAAGTACGAAGTACACTTGGTGACTTGGATGTAAGCAACTACTTGCCTATGTACCTATGTGCTGCGTTTATGAGGATCTGGCCAAGCAAGCCGCCGTGCGACCTCAAGGCCGGCCGTCTGGCCAACTGGACACCGCGACCGACCCAAGCCTCGAAGGCGAGTACAGTACATCCTCCCAAGGGTCCAAACGAACAACCAGTCAGTGCGGCCGCGGTTTGACACGCAGCACGCACAGATACCCGGCCAGCCAGCCTCATCCGCGCCAGGTGCTCTGAGTACATATCTCCATACACAGAGTCTCCGATTTCTGTGCAACGTTCGTATCGTTCCCCATCAAATTGGACCTGATGCTCGTCGGGTATCGGCGTCGGGATCTGCTTTGCGGATGCGTCTCGTCTGTCTGCTGACGGGCGGTGGATGTTTGACACCGCTCATAACCTGAGCATAGCCGACCGGAGTTTACGTGCGAATCACAAACCCGGAGTTGCTTTCCGTGTTGGATTTACCTGGGCTGAACCCCCTGAGCTCCTCAGTGCATGCGTTCACAACATCAATGGCGATGCAAGTGCGCCAGCCGATATTGAAGACAACAAGCATCGCGTATCGAGATGTGGAATCCAAGATAAGCGAGTTTACACCCCCACCCGGGAACGGTGGGGATGGGAGGTTTTGGTCAAGTCTCACCGACAAGAAAACGGAGGGCAAACCGGAGATGACCTACAAACCGTACTTGGTAGGTTGGTCATGCTTCAAAACAAATACCCAAAGTACAAACGCGCATGCACATACCCAAGCAAGTGGGCAACAAATTAAGCCAGACCGCAAAACATCCTCACCACCATCAACCACCACGAAAGAGGGCAGTTTGTGCCAGTCTTTTCTCGCAATTCTTTCAAAAACGAGTCTATTCAATTCCCTGACATCTTTGCCTCTGATTCCAACGCATTCCTTAAGCGGATAGGGGTTGTTGAATTGCAGTGATATGGTGGTGTCTGGTGGTGGGACAGTTTTGCGGTCTGGCTTAATTTATCGCCCACTTGCCAAGGTAAATTCAGCCAACACAGAGGTCTTTTCCCGTTCGCAGCCCGAAACGGATCCTTTTCGTGTAGATTTCCGCCACAATTTCACGAAAGGTCGGCGAAAGTCGGCCAGGCCAAGGGCGAGCAGGTGTGCGCAAGCGCCAATCACCGTCATTCGAATTCACAGCGTCACACATTTCAGATAGTGTAGTTACTGTGTCATAAGGTGAAGGGAACACATGCCATGATGCCCCTTCATCACGGGCCGGCAACCTGACGAAGGAACGCCGAACGCTTTCCCCGATGCAGGTCGACCCCGATCCACACCCCTGGACGTTACATCCTTGCAAACGTCTCGGGCGCCAAGCCAGGCACTTCAACGTCTTTGGTGACCGATGACGCCGCACGCGCGAACCGAGCCGCGGCGCCGGTCGTTGGCACGGGTCAGCACCTCACTCCCCCTGCCTCAACGACGTTACATACCCACAGAAGAGAAAGGCGAGGCCTTCACCTCGGGTTTGAAGACCAGAGGCGAGACTCGGAGGCCTTGGACTGGACCGTTCTCGCCGTTACTCCGTCCATCTGGTCGGAACCTCGAACATCCTCCCGACTCGTGTCTCGGGGACTTTGCAATGGCATCGTCGCATCTGAAGAATACTCCATGCAACGGCGTTCTTCCAACCCATGGATCCCATGAGAATTTTTTATGAAAAAGACCCGGGCTTAAATCGACCCTCCCCGCAGTTCCGTCCCGACGGTTATTCACAGGCCCCCGGCCTCGCATCGCATCGCAGCTGTCAAAAAAGGATGACGAAATTTATCCGGCACGTGTGGAGAGAAAAATTGCCCGTGATTTTATCTTGGCTCGTCCGAAGGAGGATTCTCGGCGGTTTCCAGAACATTGCGGAGCCCTGGACCCCGTCGACCCGGCGTAATTATTTCCCTCGGTCCATCATCTTCCTTGCTGCGCATCGGCGACGGCCCGACTCCCTAGTGGAACGTGTCTCCATTGTGACGACACCGGTTGGGTTTTTTGACGACTTCGAGCGCAATGGAGAATGGAGTTTGGGAATTGCCAGCTTGGCGGAAATGGCATCCATTTCCAGCCCTCTGTCCAGCTGCCCAACAAGTTCGTGCCTGATTCCCCTCCACTCGAAAACAGATTTCGTGTGGTGGGTCCCGTTGCCAGGTCGAAGTCAACCCCACATCCACGTGCGTTTTGGATGGGGAGGGATACTTGAGATGAGATGTGGCTCGTGCAGCGGGACGGCATTTTTTTTCCTAAGGTGACGGATGTGGCGCCGAGTTTGAGGCGAAAACAAATCAACTCACTCCAATTGGGAACGCTGCGTCTGCGGCTAGGCCAGCTGTCCGTCATTCCGGCCCTACGAAGACTGATCGACTTTGCATGTCGATTACTGTGCTTGTATGGATGGAGATGGATTGAGTTGTAATCCGCCTTTCTCCTTCAACCCAGCTTGAAAGAAGAAGAGGCATCTGCCGAAACCGTTTCCCTTGTCATGGCTGCGGTCGATTCGGCTCCATCATGGTCCATCAACCATGTCCTCACGGTCGGCAAGGGCTTCTCCGACAAGGAATTCCTTCTTTGCCCGTGATGCCGTCCCCGCCTCACCGCTGGTTCACCGTCTGCCGTCTCCGCTTTATTGCATCGCCGCGTCCCAGGGACTGGGGCATCACATCCAATCGAGAGACATCGACCAAACAAGTCGAGAAAAATTTGTTTCTTTTTTACCGCTTTTTTTCCCTTTCAAAGACCCAAAGAACACCACATTATGAACTCTCGTTGAGTGGTTCCCTCGCAAACTTCCCCCAGCTAGTCTGAGCCGAGTCCCGAGGTCACTGCCCGGCATCCGATCCCCATGGCGAAGAGGCATTTAACGAGCGGAGGCCCCTGCCCCGCCTCGGCCCCCGGGGAATCCCGGGCAATGCCGGCTCTGCACATGGTCGTGACTGGGAAGAGGGGAGCTGCTGTCAGTTGACAAGTCCATCTGATGAAGAAACAACCGAGTTTGGGGCAAAGGCGCGTTTTGTGACGTGTTGTTCGTCTTGCCCTCGCGGCAAACCCCTTCTTTGGCCTAGCTGGCCGGGGTTAACCCCGTGTAGGAGCGGCGAAAGAAGTTACCAAGAGGAAGAACACTGACAGTTACCAAGAGGAAGAACACTGACAACTGACTCGGGAAACCCACACCGGTAAACGACAGGACAACAAATTGCGTGACTAGGGATTAAACCAACACCCCTTCTTTTCCGATTTAATATTTTATCTTGTCATTTATCTTATTTTTTCTTGCCAAATGCCGTAGGTCAAGCCGACTTTCCAGGGTCTCTGTGGAGTGTATCAACCCGCCTCGAGGGTGAGTGGCACACACCAGGGAGCGACCGTTCCCAGGAGGAAACAGATCTCTAAGACTTGGCATCCGGGGTCATCGCAACCGTGGCATTGCCACGGACTGTTTGTCCAAGTACAGAGTACGCTGGCTGCATTGTCAGAGCACACAATGGGACGCTGACGGGTCGCCCGTAAACTGTTCCGCTCATTGTTCGCCCGGCTGCCGATCGACCGTTTCGAATTGAGCTGCCGGAGGTGACTGAGAGAAGCGGTTGGGAGCCCTCAGCTCCGCCTGCCCAGCCGCAACCCGCATAAGCGGACCGGCAATGCGGCGCCGTTGCGACCGTTTCTTTCTGGCCAGCAGGTTCGTTCGGTACTTGTCTACATTAGCCGATGTAGACGAAGGGGTCACAAGGCTATCGAAGTTCTTCTTCAGCCCTGTGCGGTTAATGTGCTTAAAATACTTCTTTTGATATGAACTGTCCAACAAACCACGTCAAGAGACAGTATGGTTGACGAACCTCAGCGTCCCGTCCATGTCTCACCGCTTCATTCGTCTAGACTAGGCCTGAGACACGCGGGATACGGGATGGATGGCTTGACTTCCCGAGAAAAGTCGACCAAGACACTGTCGAGTGAAATGGACCTGATGATCTTCGCTCGGTGGGCGGGAAGGTAGGGTCACAGCAACACCCACCCACTGTCGCGCGTCGTTTCAGGGTCCGGAGTGGTGAAGCCTAGTAGAAAGTGTGTGTGTCTGTTGAGACACTAGACCCTGGATCGGCCGCTCCAGCGACTGCCGCGTGTAAGGTGCGTTGTTCGGGGTGTGGTCAGTCGGGCGACAGCTGGCCAGATGCCAGTGTCGTGACCTTGGAACGGGATCACCAGTTTTTTTGCTCTCGCAAAGTATCTCCCACACAATTGCCCATCCATTTCCCCAGATTCTCGGCTGCAGATCACGTTCGGGTCGGAAATGCAGCGGGCGGGCGGACGGGGCAAAATGGAGTCAGTCGATTGCCTTAACTGCCCGTTCTTTGCCGCTTGCCGCGCCACTCAGGAATCAGTCATGTGTACCCTCTTTTGCCCCGACTTGATGTTCGGGCGGAGCAACAGCACCCTTTTTTCTTTTCGCATCCCGCTCAACTTCGAGGCTCTCCCACCGGCCCGGCCAGTCAGTGCCTGATGAGGAAGCTACATAACGAAAGCCCGAGACGGGATCGCAAGCGAGGTCGCCGCCGCCGTGGTGCCACCGAGGCGGCGCTCGTCAAGTGACTTGTGTTTTTTTTTGTTGGCCCGCTCGCCCAGCCTGGCCTTCTGTCCTGTCGCACGGGTCGGACCCCGCTCGGCCGTTGCTGATGATGGATGGGTAATGCGGCAAATGTGTTGTCGCTCACTGCCCTCGTTAACTCACACGCACCTTGTGTGGTCTGGGTGTCTGGGTCAGCAGCGGCGGGCAAGTTTGTTGCGTTCCCCGGATGACACCCGCTGACGAGCCACCACTGGATACCTATGTTGCTGGATGGAGTTGGAATTTTCCTGTGACGCAACTCCACGCCGAAGAATAGTAATGGCAATCAGGACCGAGCAAGCGAGCGACGCAGGGTCTCGGGAACGACTCCAGACAATCCCGCAGAGTGGAAATTGGGGGGACACTTTGAAATCCCACGTGGCTGATAATTGCGCCGGAATTGCGGGACTTTAGAGCATCGCTTCGGCGACGAGCAGCGGGAATGGCACGTACTCCAACCCGGCCCGGCAGTCCACCTCTCTGACCAGGGCAGCGTTACCTATGTAGAACCGAATACATACTGCTCGCTGGCAAGGCGAGCCGGAGTCGAGATTGCGGTTTCACCGTCCGGGTCGCCATGTGCGAAGTACCGTGGACATGGCTCGAAGTAACCAACATTTAGGTATCTCGACTTTCGGAACAAGGTTTAAGTCGGTGTTTTCAGGCTGATTTCTCAAATCTGGGGAAGCTGGGGAAATTTCCAGGCTCCTGGGCTGGAAGGTCCACACCTGTCCCATGGGCCATCATCGTAGCTTTTCAGTGGCTATTGGTGGGGCTCTCTCCACACAAACCAAACAATGGACGTCAACCTTCAAACCTTCAAGTTCTCTTCATCCAACCCGGAACTCAACATCAATGGTTCTAAATCCAACAACCACGGAATTCATTTAATCTGGGCCAGGGCAATTGCAGCCGACGGAAGCAGCCCAGATCTGTGTAAGGCGACAACGCGGATCGGTCAGAACCCGATTCGGCCGAGTACGAAGCAAGCAGAGACAAGGCAAGCTGCATCCGATCGATTGTCCTCCCTTCCGGGATTCTTCAAGACACGATGCTGCACGCGGTAAAGGGCGACGATCTAGAGAGATCTTTAATCAATTTTTGTCTGAATTATCGGCTTTTTTACTAAATTCATTTATTTTATCTATTACATCTAGTTATTGTTTTCTCCTTGTTTCCAGTTCTTGTCTCGCGGTCATGCCCACAACCCCCGAGGACAACAACGACGAAGCAGATATCCCATGTGCGACGGACCACCACTTCATCAATCCTTCAAACCAGACCGATGTGGCTCTGACACGCGAGCTGCGGCCATACATTTGCACCCGAACCACACCGCTGACTTGTCGACTTTGTCCCGGCAGTTGGCACCTCACGGCACAGCTACTCGGTGTCGAATCGGATTGCTTGGCTATTGGCTAGGTAGGTACGTATGGTCATCAGAGCTTTGATGATATTGTCTCAGCCCGTCTTCTATGGTAGTACATGGTGGCCTGCTTCTACGGTACCCGGGCCATTCAGGATGGTTTGGCGACCCTGAACCGAACCAACAATAGATGCTCGAGTTATACGGCCTCCGTTGCCATCTGACCTTCCTCGCCCTCATCCCCTCAATCGGAGTCCGACAACGCTGTCGTGCAACCATCCTGAACCCAGCGCCGCGGATTAACGAGGGGATTGGTATTGTGGGCTGTTTCCCACGAACCGATACCCCCGCTGTGTCACCCTCCGCTCACGCAACGCGGCGTCAAGAGCTGCCGTCAATCTCACGTCTCCTGATGACCCCCTTCACCTAAGCCAAGTGACGATGTTGTACGACCCCAGTGGAAATTTCGCCGATGCCGCGAGCAAGCAAATGAGATCCGAAGGCGTGCAGCTGCGCTAGCAACAGCTCCAAGAGTCGTGCAGCACTATTGATTCAAAACCCGGCACGAGTCTCAAGGCGCAACGCGGGCTGAGGGACAATACCAACCCACAACCGAGTCAGTGGAACAAGTTTCCCGTTCCCCATGGTCACCACGCGGCTGGCCGGGTTTCGCGTTCGGGCCCGGGTTATTCTCGACTCCTGACGTTCAAGAGAAGGAAAGGGGCATGATCTGGGTCATTTAATGATACACTTGGTCTTGACGCCGTAAGACCGCCACATCTGGCGTTTGGACAGCATACCGTCAGCATCACATTCCATCATCTCACTTAAGCCCCCTTTTCACCACTCTGTTTCCAATGCCCTCGCTCAGCGACATTGGGTATGTCGTCACCGGCCTCTCCGGTCGTTCAAGTCTAGAGACACGGCGTGGCCTTCTTCGTTCTGTACACGCACGGGAGGTTTGCACGGCATATATTGCTGACCTCAGAACTTAGTTGCGCCACATTCGTTGACTCCCAGGTTCATATCTCACCACTTCCCCGGGGAAGCACCCGGCGCTACGACACTCCCGCCTCGGACCGTTCCACTACCCCGGCCTCATGATCAATGAGTTTCCCCGTGGTCAGACGAACGAGCTCAACCGTCAGCCACAGGGTCGCACAACACAAAATTGAACAACCCAATGGGAACATGTCCCGGCGTGCAGGTGAGCCGTTCGGTGAAGCTTTGCCGCCGCTTTGCCTACGGAAAAACGTCCAATCAGACCAGGCAGTTTTCGACCAAAGCCTTGGGGGCCGGCTGTTTCTGGAACGAGGGAGGATTGGGGTTGCCAAATCAAGCCTTACGCGGCCCAAGTGGGTTGTCAAGTGCCGGCAGAGTTTTGCCTTGTGCGTGCGAATCGGGCAAAGATATTTTGCCGGTGGTTTTTTTTTTTGTGGACCCGAGAGGACATTTTTTTTGTTTTTTAGTCTCTTAGATTTTAACAGACCCCGCTTGAGAGACGACGGTTTTACCTCTATCCCGAGGTTTCCACTGAAGCATTTCGGGCGGCGAGACTGGGCTCTTACCCCGTCAAAGGGCGAATGGCGGCGGAGATAGATCGGTGATTTGAAAGATAGAGTCCTTTCGTCAAATTCTTGGACCCGCTCTTTTCATTCCCGTCCCCTCATATCCTAAATGCCCCGACTCGGTCCCGGTGGGCTCTGGATGTTTCCCAGACACAGCCCCGTCCCTGGACGAAAGGATGAACTGTGAGGCTTGCCACCCCCATCACCGCCTAGGCTAAATCGCCCGGTTAATCTCTTCTGGGCGCGATTGCTCGAGGGCCCAGCTGATGGGCTGAGAGCCTGGGAGAATGTTCCCTCAGCCTAACCCTAGTTCCCCATTTAGCCGCAGACGCGTGAAAGGAGCCGCCTTGTTGAATGGAGCGGATGGCTGATGACGCCCAGACCCTTCTGACGCCGGCACAGCAGTTGAAATGGCCCGGACACCTCGCGCTTGGACCGCATCGCATCGCGCTCGCGGTTGGCACCAGTGCAGGAGCCCAGCGCGCTCCGTTGGTGGGTTTTCCCATGAAGTCGAATCTCCACCGGCGGTACAGAGCGACGCGAGATCCGGCGAGGATGGGCTAACATCTTTCGCGTTTATTTGGCGCGGATCCAGTTCTCAGGGCATCTTCGCTGATGACGGTGATGCCCGGGTCTCCGTCCGGGGATGTGATTCGAAGACGGAATCAGACTGCCCAGCCAAAGACGGACCTTGTTCCGTTTCAACAAGTGGAAGTCAGCAGGGAGGTCACCTCAATCTGTCCGTTCCAAACCCTAGCCACTGAACTCACAAACCACTGTTGGCGACATCGGCGCGAGTCCCTCGTCTTGCTCTTGCTTTTTTCCCCCTGGGCGCGAAACAACACCGCTCAGTGCATTGATCACAGCCCGGTCCTCGGCTGCGCAGCCCTTGATCGCTGGTCAAGTGAGCACCAGCTGACTCTCCAGCCGCGTTCCAACCCCTGGACGCGGGGTGATGAGGCGGGGAAGCAAGGGTTCCAAGGGGTTGAGCCTGGTTGGTGGAACCACTACCTGCGCTTGAGGTCCGCCCAAGACTCGGCCTGTCCCGTGGTTCACTGCGCGAAGCACCACTGGTCCGCGATGAACCCAATCACAGCGCGTCATCGCCCACATCCCTCTCCGAATACGCTTTGTCCCTCACCCCACGCCGTAGCCATGCCGCACAGCACCCCGCGACGACGATGAGGTGATCACGAACCCTTGCTGATGACCGGAAAGCATTGACAACCATGGAGGGCAGCAAGGTCGGTTCGGCAAGCGAAGCGAAGTTCCGGACCAGAACGGCAGGGACCTTCACCCGCTTTGACGACTCTTCGAGCCTTGAGTGATGTCCGAAAACAGATGTCCCCACATCATTTTGAGAGTTGGCGTTCTGACCACGAAGGTCGCTTGACAAGTCACCAGTACGGTGGCCTGGCGTTCCTTAACAGTGAGGTCTCGGTTTCCTCGAGGAAATGGAATGATAAGTTTAGGTCGTTGTGCGCAATTTAGTCGAGGTTCGAGAACAGTCTCGCCGGCCCCAATGCATCAGACGACTCCTCTGCTCTTGTCGAAAACTCGTCGTCCCAGGATCAGTAACTATCCACATCTACGAGGCTTTTCAACATGGGGTATGTCCTCTCGGGTCCACGAACTGCTTCACCACAGACGGCGAGCAGGGTCCTTAGAAACGGAGCCTATCCAGGGCAGCCAGGCATGGTCAGCGAACATGGCGAACATACTGAATCCCGAACTCGGCATCTCCAACCCCTTCTCAGCAACCACGCTGATGGGAAGTCGACAACCCCGCAACCTTCCTCTTGCTCTCTAGCCCCGGCGTAGCCGGAAGTATCTCACATTCGAACCGAAACCCCGCTCGGCCACTTCAAGCCTCCCTCCGCGGACGCCCGCGGGTCACATAGCGTCCGAATCCGCGAGCGATCGGAGGGTTCTCTTCGCGCTGTGGCTGCTACTGGCCGGCATTGCAGAGGTCTGTTGCCGAGGACCTATGGGAAGGTAGGGAGATACGCCGAAGGAGCCATAGTTGGCGGTCAACAGCCTCAGAGCCTACGGGCTGTGGATGAGCTGCGAGAGTTTGGATGTTGGTGTTGCGGGGGTGAGTGGGGTGCTTCGATTTCTCGGCGCGCGTTGTTACACAGAACCGCCCCGCGCAACCGAACCCCCACCACCAGATCAAGCCGCCGCGGGCGTGGGCGGTATGTGTTCGTGACTTGTTCCCATTGTGTGGGCGCCTGGCCGGCTGAAGGGTCTCCACGAGGACGACTTGAGGTGACCCAGTCGTGTTGGTAAATCGTGAAACATTTGGGGAAACGAATCAGTGCGCCTCACGCCGTTTGGGCCATGTGGAATCACACCGTTACCGCCCGCACAGCACCACTGCGGGCGGGGGCCAGTCGAGGCACAGGCACAAGCGCCGGCGATGACGGCGCCCTCCGTTTCCACCCCCCATTCCCCAACTGAAAGTTTGCGCTCTCCCTTAACGTGACCTCCCAAAGCCAGCAAAGCTCAACAAGAGAAATACACACGCCTCATCTCCCTGCACTGCCCTGTCCTGCGCTGCAAACGCACAGTAATCAACCGGCCGGCCGGCCGGCACTTGACCGCACTGCCGACCGCCCCCCTCGCATCCTCACCAACCACAGGCCGCCGCCAAAACAATAAGGTTTCAGACCCCAGGGGGGTGTCGTTACCCTGCACCTGCGCGTGGGTGCCGTATTAATCTATTCCATCTCTGCCAGTTGGCCAGGCCCCGTTGCGACTCAGCGCGGCCCAGGTCGCCACCCCCTCAACAACAACAACCCCCTCAGACACCTCCCCCCCACCACCCCGACCGGTCAATCGGGCCAGTCGGGTCGCCCTACCGTCTGGGCGACACTACACTACGCTACACTAGTTAATGACTGTTACCTCTGTTAGGGCTGCGGTCATGGGAGGGGGGGCGGCAGAGACAGGCCGGGGGGGGGTTGCGCTGGGGGAGGTCGCTCAATTCGCTGTCTTTAACTCAGTGCATGGGTCTTTGAGGTTCTCCACCCCCTCGGGTGTTGTAGTGTAGTGCACATGGTGGTATGTAGGCTGGTAGGGAGGGAGGTATGTATGTCTCATGGGTTTAGGCGAGGAGGGCAGGAGGAATACCGCATGCAGAAAGGCAGAAAGAACCCTGCGGCGGCGGCTGGGAAACCTTGTTGCTGAGAATGGGATGTTGTATGTAGCATTGTGTGAGACGGCCGCCGGCCGATGCGCTGGCTGTGGTGGACGGCGGGAGGTGGCGCGGCCGCGATCACGAGGTGCCCATCTGAAACAGGGTGAGATTTGTTTGTGGTTGGATGGGCGGCGCGCACCACCTGGATGGGCGAGGTTGACTTTTATGGCTTGGCTTCGCCGTTTGAAGGCATCGTGAGCGTGATGAAAGGAGTCTGGTGGCTTGATGGATGGTTCATGTTGTCTGTGAACTTTTCGTGTTGTCTTGCTTGGAGCGTCTTGCTGGGTTTGGGCGCAAAGCCCTCGTGCTTGTGTTGTATATTGAGAGTCAGCGGTCAAACTACTTGAGGCGGTGGTGAGGCACAGAAACATGCCACGAAATTGATTGTAAATAAAGTTAAATAAAGCCTTAGGAGTTGGAAAATATACAGATTAGCAACTAACCGTAGCTCACCATCATGTGATAATTGGTTCGAGTCTATATCCACTTGAACCGCTGAAACCACTCAACATCTGCATCAACGGAGTAATCAAGACAAAAAAAAAAAAAAACCACCGGTTTCTGAATTTCTTTGTCTCTAAATCAGATGAGTGTTGTGATTTGTAGTTGGCCTTACGTCGAATGACTAGAAATAAACCGTGGGGTAGGTAAAGACTCACAGAGTTTAATCGCTTTTAACCACCGGATACTTCAGCACATCGACTTAGACCTGCGTACCGGCCAAATATTTGTCTGGCTATTTAACACGGCAATCCGGTATACCTAGCCAATGTTATAGTTGCTGGGTAATAGCAAGCTATAGACGCTTCAAGTGCGATAAATGTCTCCGGCTACAGTACACCTTCTAAAACCAAAAGCAACTATGGGCCTTAACTCGAGTTGTTGTTCTCACCCACTTGGTTTCATGGAAACCAAAACTGATATATGGATACAAATAGAACCTATGCCATTATGTAATTTGATGCATCGTATGGATATGAACAGATTGTGGGCGAGGGTGCCTCATCCTGGTGTCTGCTCGGGGCTGTTGGGCGAAGAACGATATAGCAGGCGACTTTACATTCCGTAACACGCACTGGTGATAGTTCCATTTTGGATGGCATCGGTCAGCTTCATACGAAAAGAAAGTTGTTGGGTCAGTGTGGCTTTGCTGAGGGCCATAAGCTGCTACGTTTGCGCTCTGATAATACAATTCCACTTTACCGCTGAATATACACACCCTATTTCCTAGGCGATCTTGAGCCGAGTTAAACTCTGGGCTGAAGACCAGCAGGAACCGGAAATAACCTTGCGTCGAGTTCTTATATGCACTGGGTTTCATTAACGTACACACGAGACATTGAGGATTGTTGTCTACAGCTGCGAATGCACACTCCATCCACCCTTAACCGTGACTCTTTCCTTAAACATTCTTCGGTCGCAACGCCGCCACCCGTGATGGCCTACCGGGAAGCGGAAAATCCCTAGAAGCCGATTACGATTGTACACGCCCAGCTGGTACAAGACAGCGGCCACCTCGAATGGATGTATCTGTACATCCCATGTATTTCGACATCTGTTATCCCTCGCCCTCCCAAGTCTGGAGTATATGCGTGCGCCTTTACTGCGGCCCCAGAAGCAAGCACCGTTGGCATGGAAGGCCCTGGCTGTCCGATGGATGATGCAACGGTGATATCACTTGGTGGTCGACGGCAGAGGTGCAGGTGAGGTCGCGTGGGGTTCGCTGATGAACATCTGGCACCTGATTGCTGCGGCTCTGCGATGGAATGCCATTGGGTTATTTGCGGAAGGGATCGTGAGGGATCTGCATTTGCCGGCGCCGAATCGCCATGCTGTACAATATGGCAGAGTGCTTGTCGAGGATCATGTTGTGGGAGATCTCAACTTTCAACATCTGGATTTGTGATCCTGACGGAACTGGTGGAATTCAACACTTCTTCTACATCATAGATCTTGAGGATTCCACCCCGAAAAGCAATGGCTCGACAGGGAGGAACAGTGGTGACGTCTTTCCCATGTGGGATCCAGCAACGATTGGTGAAACATGAGTGGAGGCGAGCACCCCATCATGACCGGTTTCCCGGGAAATTGATGTGGACCAGAGAAAAACACTTTTGGTCTCTCTGTTTATTCCTGCTTTTGGTAAATACAATAAAATAATAAAAAAGACATTAAACAGTCAGCTGTCTTTTTGATGAAGTTGGAAACGGAGGAATACCTGACCCACAGTTGGACTTTCACCCTTGAATTAGGCCCGAGCCAGGCTCGAGCCAGGCCACCCGTTGCCCCGTAGCAGCCAATGGGATCTGTCAACAGAGGCGGTGATTTCCGAATTGGGGAAGGCATGCACTTGACAGGGACCAGCACCCGGCGCTCTTTGACCCTTTGGGGCTTCTGGAAACTACATGGAAGGCGTTTCTAACGAGAGCTTAGGATGGTGCACAAGGTATTTACCCCGGCTAGCATGTTTGGGGAGTGGCCCACGCCGGTCAGCCCCAAGGGACATACACTGCAACCGTGTTGCCCTGTAAAATCCCGAGTGTTAATGTTGGGTTGTCGGCGTTGCCGTTCTTTTGACCGCTTGAGGGAGGAGGATCCTCCGCCAGACTAAGTAGTTCGCTCTGAGTGGAAAAGAACGGGGACGATCACAACGCGGCTTGCTCGGGTGAGGCGTCCTTCTTTCGACATGCCCGAGCATCTCTCCAACACCACCGTGCCCATCACCATACCCAGGCCCATGCCCATGCCCGCGCCCATGCTCTGACTTCCTCGGTTGCAATGGGCCGAAGCATGATGCAATCCTCGAGCAATCAAGGCCGGACCGCCCGATCGGGCCGATCATGTCGGGAATGGAGGAAAGCCTGGTCTTCGGCTTCAAGATTGACCACGCATGAACAGGTCCATCTCAGGCCGCAACTCATTTCGGTTCTGACTTTGACAAACCCGGCTCTGACAGCACGAGCACCCGCCGGACTCTTCGGCCCCTGAATCTTCCCCGGATTCTGCTAGCGCCGATGGGGCTACCAATGCAGCAATGCAGGGGCAGGCAGCTGACATCTCGGGCTTGACTGTCAAAGCGCGGGGCGTCGAGGACGACAAACGGCTTGGGAAATGGTCTATTTCATCGCGTATTGGTACTTTGGGTGTTGTCCTGGCTGCATGAGTGTTGCTGGTCTGGGAATTCGCATCAACTAAACCGTTTCCTTTAGCGAGGCCAACTTGGTAGGTGGCTAGGGAGCTAACAAAGGCCAAGCAAGGCCTGGACTCTGAGGCAAAATACTCGAGTTGTATGTTTCTCAACTCCCATTTCACGCGCCTGTCATGCTTGCCAAGGACTGGAAGGGGTTGCCCATTAGGTAATGCAAATGTCGCGGAAACCGAGTCAAGAAGAGCTAGAAATGCTTTGAGATTTCGTCGGTGGATGTGCATACAAGACAGACAAGAGCCGAGCAGCGAATGGAAAACGCATCTCTTATCGAACCGAGCTGTATGGTCCGTGCACGATGGCAGCTTCAACTGTCAACTTGCCCCACTTCCAACCTCGTTTCTGCATCTGGTTCAATTTGAGTCATTCTGAGTCACTCTTCTCTTACTCCTCGCCGTCTCCTTTTGTGGTGTTGCAGTTTCACAGCGACGAGTCTTATCGACGTTAAGAGTGTTGAAGTTTTTAGGAGGGGCTGGGACGTTGAGTTGAAGGAGTGAGAGGCGATTGGATCGTCATAGTTACATATTCGTATGTACCTACGCACTTAGAGCTCGATTATTGCCACTTCGATTCGTTCATTCACGTCAAACATTCTCACTAGTCTCTCTTCTGACAACATCGAGTTTATCTGTTTCTGACATCCTCTTACCTTTCTCTCATCGACGATTAAACTATTCTATCACTATTCCATCACTATCCCATCATTAAACTATTCCATCACCGACCAAAATGATGCCTATTCGGTCACGCGGCGGTGTTTGGCCTGGGTCCAGCAGGCAAGCAGTCACCGAGACGCCACCGTCTCGGGTCGTATCGAAGCCGGTCCCGGAACGAGAGACCAAAGACGCAAGGGGTTACCAGATCGAGCAGTTGAAGCGTCGGTATTCTCCCCAGGAAAACGACATCGGCCACGGGATGGTCTCCCTCCTCTTCCACTTGACCCCCTCCGACCCGGACTTCCCCTTTGACCTCAACCACCTGGAATGCGATCTCCGCATCCCGGAGGGGTACCCAAAGCACCCGCCCCAACTGCTGATCAAAAACAAAGATATTCCCCGGGGATTCGTCATCAACATCGAAAGGGGTTGGGACGCTCTCGTCCAGCAGAAGCGCGGCGCTACCCTCCTCACCCTGGTGAAAGCTCTTGATCGGAGGCTGGAGTCACTGTTGTCAGAGAAGAAGGCGGAAACTGTCAAGTTGACCATATTCAAGGACACCCGCCATCTCGATTCTGGACCGGCTTCTGTCTCGGGTTCGCAGCCTGTAAAGCCGATCACCAAACCGACGGTGGATCGGCCATACATCCCGGAGGAATCATACTCCAAAGACCAGATCGCCGAAGCAAAGGCGCGGCGAGCCCAGGACGTGAGACAGCTTGAAGCTCGCATGCACCGCTCTCCGGATTACCAAAAGTCCAGCGATGGCGTCGTCTACACCTTGTCGCTGGAACCGAAGCGGAGAGCCAGCCTCCCTCCCAGTCTTCAACCGGTCCAGTCGGTTCAACTCATCGTCCCACTTCTCTACCCTCTGCAACCGTTAAGGATCCTCTTGAACGATGTCGGATCCGAGGACGCCGAGCCGGTTGAGGAGCTCTTCGCACAGAAGGCTGCCGAGCAGAAGCAGATGTCCCTGACTAGCCATCTGAACTACTTGGCCCAGAACATGGACAGATTGGCGAAGCAGGCTCAGAAGGCCCCCGCCGAGGTTGCGCCAGCCGTTGAGGTGCCCGCTAGTGCGGTACAGGAGGCAGAGAAGGCAGGGGAGGCAGAGGAGGCCGCGCAAACGCCCTTTAAGGAGACTGGTAAGGGTCATGTGCATGTTATCCCCCGGCCCGTGGAATGGGCTGACTATGGCACCGGCAGTTCTGAGTCGGACGACGACTCCGATGACGACGACGAGGATGGAGGTGCCGTGATTGAGGCGGAACCAGCTGGCCCCAGCCTGCCGACACAAACGGCTGAGCTTGGGACAGCCATGTCGTTTCCCTCTATCGAGCTGTATGGCATCGAGCTCCTGCAGGTTTCGGTCCTCAACCTCAGCGTCAAATGCGACCGCTGCAAGACAATCAACGAAACCACCGGGCTGAAGGACAACCTCGAAAAGGCCAGCAGCTGCAAAAAGTGCGCCACCCCCTTCGCCGTCCGCTTCCGCCAGGAGCTCGTCCACCAGCACTCGACCCGCGCCGGTTTTATCGACGTAACCGGCTGCACCGTCGCCGACCTGCTCCCAAAGTAAACAACCCCCCCTCGCCCCTCACAACCCCTCTTCGCCCCTCACCCCTTCGCTCCTGATAACCACCCCACCTTCCCCCCCTCAAAAAAAAGCAAAAGATCTAACACCCCTCTCCCCAAACCAGCACCTTCACCCCGACCTGCGCGACCTGTTCCACTACCTCCCCCACAGGACTCACCTCGGTGCGCGGCGAAACCACCACCAACGTCTGCCGCACCTGCCACGCGCGCTTCACCTTCGCCCTGCCCGACGTGCGCTTCCTCGCCTACGCCCCCGGCAGCCAAAGCCTCCCACCGACGACTGGCCCGCGCCGCCGCCAGGAGCGCCTGGGCCTGCACGCGGGCGAGCCGCTCCCCGCGCGTGGGGCGTGCGTCCATTACAGGAGGAGCTATCGCTGGTTTCGGTTTTCGTGCTGTGCGAAGGTGTTTCCGTGCGATCGGTGCCATGATGCTAGTGAGGAGCATGTGAATGAGTGGCGACGAGATATTGTGAGTGAGTGTAGTCGGGAACAGCGGTTTCAGATGAGAGTAGTGAGTTATCATTCTATATATACCATGGCTATTATCCCTATCTCTATCCCCGTTTCTCGGGGTGGCTGTGAGTTTCGTTCTTGCTTTGACTAACATGGTGGTTGATAGTGCTTTTTGCGGGAGGAGTGTGATCGGAAAGAGGGGGAATGGGTATTGGGAGGGTGGCAAGGGGACGAGGGATCAGAGGCTGATGAGAAGGGGGGATAAGAGGAAGTATAGGCGCCTCGGGACGGCGAAGAAGGAGGATTGATGGACGGACTTGGAGACTAGGTCTGTGTGTGCTTCTGGTTTCTAAGATGTCCTTGTTACGGTCCGATGGGTAGGAGTGGCCAAAGCAGCTGCTAAAGAAGGGGTAACTACGAAATTTTACTTTTCTTCCTCTACCTCCTATCCTGCGTTTAGTTGACACGAACAAAAATTGGCTCCTCCTAGCCTCACGAAGCTTCCTTGATACAAAAACGATGAAGAGCCATGCCCGTCGGCCCCTTTCGAAGCGGAGATACGGAGTTAAGGACCGGCCCACGATGTCTTCACCCTCTGTTGTCACAACTCGTACCTTCATCGAAGACTCAGAAAAGCCCCATATCAACAAACACCAGCTGACAATAATTATTTGTTGACACTGGCCTCCAAATCCATCACAGATTAAACCTCAGTATCCTTGTCTTTTTCGGGTCTTTGTGTGGACGGTGACCTGCATACTCGTATGTACACGAATGCATTGCAGGGCACTGACGGAACAAGGGTTCAGTTTACACTAGGGAGCTAGCGGGAAAGCGGCGTTTCCCACTTGCCTTCTCGGAGATCCAGTGCATTGCAGCTGCAGACATGCAAGTCAACAACCTGGATGCAGCCGCAAGACGTTGATCTCTTAACACATTAGAACTCTTCGGCATGGTGACGTGGAGCTGAAACGGAAAAGCCTTGGGGCGGCAGGGCTCAACGCATCACGCATCCGATGCCGGCCGGCTTGAGAAAGAAAGCCCCCCCCCCAGAAAGGGGTTTGTTCATGATACATCGTCTCTTGTCGCCAGTACGCAAGGTCAGGCATCAAAGTAGCCAGGCCTCACCGGGCCCAACCTGCACTCCTCCTCCAAGAAGGCAGGCACCCGAGCGTTCGGCACTATCTTGATTACGATGCGTGATGGGGCTCGGGGTGCAACCAAACAATGCCAGTTGGCATCCGTAAGTGTCAGGAGACAGACACCACGGGTTTCTCACTGGCGATAGGGGGTTAGGGATGAGGCAGGCAGGCGACACACCTGGCCGAACTGCCGGGTCGGCCAACTGCAAAGTGTTTTGGGGGATCAACCAACAGCATGCAAAGAAAGGGGCACGAGATGGCCTAGGCTCATGCCACTTAGACCACTTAGACCACTTAGGAAAAAAACGAATGCCAAACCCCGGCGCCAGGAGAGTCGACGGTTGACGCGCGTAGGGCGACTGGGACCAGCCTCCCCTTCATTTTCCACTCCATAGTACATGCGAGCGGCAGCGTGATCGGGCTGGGCTTGCAGGACACAATCAGATTCAGCACCTCGGGGCCACTGAATCACACAGCGGACAGCCAACGAGAACAGCAGCCCCAAGTGCGCCATGCAGCTGCCAGGCAGCCGCTGTTTCGGGGGGGCTTTACAGTTACGAATCAAGCCCCTCCCCCCTCCGCCCTCTCCCCGTTTTGGAAATACAATACAAAGGCAGTTGTCATGGTATTTGAATTGGTAGAAGCAGCCCTCATCTGGTCATTCCCGCGCGTGCTGGCTGCGACGGTTGCTGGGTGCGCGGTCCCCGCATGCGGTGCGAGTAGCGGTTGCTGCCGAAGGACGGTTGGGCGTCCACATTCGCTGTAGCTGGCGTGCCGGTTTGTCTGATGACCTTGGGGGTCCGTTGAGTCGTCGCTGCTGTTTGTCAAGTTGCGGGGACAGCAGGCAGATGGGCAGCACGAGGCAAAAGGTTGTCTATTGCTTTTGCTCGCAGTCGCCCGATTGGAGTCAGAGGGTCAGAGGGTAGAGAGTCGGAGAGTCGGAGTGGGAGTGGCCTTCGATTGCGGTTCTCAAGAGGGTTCGGGGCAAAGACCCGAATTGGGGCTGTGGCGATGAAGATGCGGGCACTTGGTGTTGATGGTACGCTAAAAGGGCCGGACGCACCGGAGTGGAAAATGCAATTAGTGGTTTGGGCGATGCCATTCCCTGATTTTGGTGCATTTCCGAGGTCCCATTTGCCCGATGGCCCGTCTCCGTGGCTTCTTGATGACGATTCGACGAGAGAGCGGTGAAGAATGGTGGAGGGTGCGGCGGCGCAGATGGCATTACTCACCTGGCGATAAGTTGATGAGTTGGCAGTCTCGGCCTGGCCAGATGACCTGTGTGCCTACCTTTCAATGCACCTGCGAGCCCAGCCAAAGGGTTGGCCACACACCCTCACCACTGAGGCAACCCTCCAAGCCCTCTAAATCCTGGGGCGGACGCGGGGTTTTGGGGAAGGGGCGGGACGGAGAGGATGGCGGGACGGAGAGGATGGCGGGACGGAGAGGAAGGCGGGACGTCCAACCGAGCCCGGGCCCATGACAGTCCATGTGATGCCCGAATCACCGTCATCGAGGCTTGTAATTGTGACGTGGGATTTTTTAACGAAACGAAAATGCATTTTATTTTTGTTATTTTATTTTTATTTTTGTTTTTTAATAAGTTGGACAGCAACCAACCAGGATGCCCAGCATTTCATGAGACGGCCGAAGCCACATTGTGTCGGCCACCTGACATTTGTGCCGGTGTCCATTCCATTGGTGCTGTATGTACATGTACCGGCATGTGGAATTGGGCGCTTCCAAGCCTATCGTAACCACATGGCTGAGCCAAAGTACAGTTCCCCTAGGTGACAATCCCCCCGTACCTTCGTAAGAATCTAAAATCCCAGAGCGGAAAATGGACAAACGACACGGAGGTGCGGCCCCGGATGCGATCACCGAACGTGTCAGCTGGGCCCCGAGAATAGGCTCAGGGCAAACCACGAAGTGAGACATCAGGGTCCTGGTGTGTGGTGACAAAGCTTCTTTCATTGTTCCGTCCACGATGCTGAAGCAAACACCTTGGTTGGTTGCAGCATGTCCACGGGTGCCGCTGACGGCGCCACAAACGGTACGAATACCGCCTGATGCACCATTTAAAGCCCAGAAAAAAAGAAATCGATAAATTCAGCCCACAACCTCCAGCACATTCTTTTGACGGTAAACGGTGGGACAGCAGATGACCTGGTTGATGAAACGGATCCCGCGATCAGATTTGTGTAACCCCCCAACTTCCAACTTTAAGCTTCCCGTTGCCCAGCCTCGCTCAGCCCGGAACGGCACCGAGCACATTCAAGAAAGAACGAGAAGCAGGGGCGAGGCAATGTAGCTCAGCCATTACTCAGGTTTGCTTCCAGGCATCCCCCCATCAAGGCACACCACACCCTACCACCCACAGTCACCGTAGGGAGACAACTTGATTCAGCATGCCTTCCAGCTTCCAGGACCAACGACATCATCTCAACACCAGAAATAGCATGTTAGCGCCGCATCCGGCCAAGCTGATAACTGGAATCATACCATAGCCGCCAACAACAACTATCCGCGCCAACGAAGTACCAGAACACCCCCCGTCGTCACCACCAAGTACACCTTCCATCACCACCCCCCGAAAGCCTCAAACAAAAACCAGACACACTCACGCCCCAATCCCCCACGCCGCCCCAAAGTCACCGAGGCCATCACACAAATAGCACGCACCACTAGCACAGGGGACGACTCAACGAGGAGGCCGCGTATCCCGTAACTAGAACCCGCCTTGCACCGATGACGACCACGTCGTCACGAAACCAGTCCCCCCCCGTAGCGTAATGTAGTCGTAGCGCCCCGGAATCTCCTATCCAACTCCCCGGTGCAAGCCCCCATGACCATCCCCAAGCGGTGCACAGCACAGTTACAACAAACAATAGCAACAGTAACCACACGAGCACACGGCGACACGGCCACACAAACACACAATAAGTAAAAAGGTAACTGTTCTGGAATATCGCACTAGCTACGTAACATGGAGGTACACCGTCGTAGTACCACCGGCAGTATGACTATGGCCAGCCGGTAGCCGTCCCCCCCCCCTCCTCCCCTCTCAGCCAGAATGCGGCGGCGGGTTTGACACCGGCCCCTTGGAGGATGATCGGAGGCGAGATCAAGCTATTTCTACCGTCTCAATTTAGTCCTGGCGTTCGGGAGGCGTGGGTGATCACCTACACGGTTTAGGGGGTTGAAAGGGGTAAAAGGACGAACACAGGAGAGGAAGAGCCAAAGTGGTATTGATGTATCAGACTATGAGCGATGCTCATTAGGCTAAGCTCCCCACCCTGCCTGTGTATCCTACACCAAAGCGGAGCAGTATTATTTATGAGGAATGGCGCTTGCAAAGATGACGGGTTCTAGAAACTTTGGGTTGGACACGAATTCGCAGGTGACAGACACACCAGCCGAGGCAAATAAAACCGACAGGATATAATGAGCAATGAGAAGGTGATGATGTATCTGCTCTTCGATCGCTGTATAAAAGAACACCATGTCAACCACCGCAACTTTCTAACCATTGACCCTCTTCACTGGTGGCCCCCCACCCCCTGGAAAGCAGCGTTCATAAAGTTCCCAATTTTTTTCTTCACCTCCTCTCGCTTATCCGCCCTCGCGGCCTTCTTCTTCGCTTTCTCCTCGGCTCTTTTCTTCTTCCTGGCCGCCTTCGCCCGCGCCTTCAGCCGTTTCTTCTTTTCCTTCTCGGTTTCGCCGACTAGGATCTTATCACTCTCGCCATCTGCCTCTTCTCCTGCGTCTTGCGTAGCCCCACCAGCACCGCTGCCCCCTGCCTTTTCTCCTGCGTCTTGCGTAGCCTCACCAGCACCGCTGCCCCCTGCCTTTTCTCCTGCGTCTTGCGTAGCCTCACCAGCACCGCTACCCCCTACCTCTTCTCCTGTATCTTGCGTAGCCCCACCAGCACCGCTGCTCCCTGCCTTCTCTCCCTCATTTTTATACGGGCCCTCCCCGAGAACCTTCGTAAGCTTAACTTTAGACGGGCCACGCTTATTTCGTGACGGGCTACCCTCATCTCCTGACAGGCTACCCTCATTTTGTGACGGGCTACTCTAGTCGCCCTTCGTCACGGCGTACTGGTCGCCGAAGGGATTGTCCTGGTCGTCTTCCTTGGCGTCATTGACATCGTCATCGCTATCCACGTCTATGTCGGAGTTCGTCCTTTTGCCACTGTCTGAGGTCAAGGAACCACGGAAGGATACCATCGGGGGCTTGGTGCCATCCGAAGGACGGGGTGGGGGCGGACGCAAAGCCGTCCGTGATTGCCGCGGCGGGTCGAAACTGAGGTTGCTCAACTCCGAGGTTGGAGGATTGGTGGACGAGCTCGGTGCTTTGCCTTTGCCTTTTTCGGTCGCCACTGCAAGGTCGTTAGCCACTCTGCTCAAGATGATCCCGAGGCCGAGCGGTAGGGCATACTTCTGTATAGATGGGCCTGCTCAGCAAGCTCGTCGTCCGAGTCGCTGTCTGCGTCAATGGAGCGGTCCAACTGTTCAAACATCATTAGTGCTATGACCAACACATCGTTAGCGTTAAGCAGGCTGCCTAGCCACTGCTCCGCCTCGACATGTTGGATATAACGCAGTATCTTCCGCCGGAGCTGCTTGCATTCTTCAAACCGGTGCGCCGCGATTTGATTGTCGGAAATTCGCTCGCGCTCCCGATTGATGGTTTGGAGAGTGTTTGTCAGATTGGTGGCCGCGATTGATGCCTCAGCGATGACTATCTTCATCTGCTCCTGTTCGGCTGCCAGGTTGAATTTGGGCCTCTTGGTTCTTTTATCCTTCTTCGACTTCTTCGTATCGTGGCTGCTAGATAAAGGCTGCTTTGCCAACGGGCTGGGAAGGGACGAAGTCCTAGAGTGTCCCCCAGATGGGCCTGCTGGACCGGGCTTGCCGTCATCCTCCTCCTCATCTTCACCAAACGGGTTCTCTGTTTCCCTGATAACCTTGGACTCCTGCTGCGTCACGACTCGTTTGCGCCGAGGAGTTTCCTGACTGCGGTGAGCGAAAGTATATAAGGAAAGAGGTCCAGGACAACATTGTTACCCTATGTAGTTTGGCAACTTCACCCATGCCGGGCGTGTTCTTGTACTCGGCAGCCCAACTGGCAAAAAGTTCCCTGCACTTCTTTTTCACCTCCGGGTCGGATAGCTCCGCCGTGCCACAGAAACGCAGACGCTCCAGCAGGGCTTCATCGGCGAAGCTTCTCTGGAAACGAGGTCCTGCATTTTGGATGAGCCCGTCGAGAAGGGTCAAGGCACGGAGCTGGCGGTGCAGATTCCCGTACTTGAGCTTCTTCCGGATGGCGCGTGAAGCTTCTCTAGGACCTGTGTCTTGGAGATTGACGACCTCTACGAGGTCTGGAATTCCACTAACATCATCGACGGGCACCGCTTCACTCGTCAATCTCTCGATATCCACCGTGACTGCCGAATACGGCTTTTTCTGTGGGAAGTATAAGCTTCAAAAGTCTAGAACGTGGTGCAGCCAATGTTACCTGGGAGAACATGGTCCCTATCTAACACGAGCCTGCCAGCCGAGGGATTGTAATCGAGAGTGAATCAAGATAGGCAATGAACTAGATTGCCGTTTTAAGGAAGCCGACGGGGGCACGGTGAGCCGAGGTATAAAAGTCTAGTACCGGGAATATACTATGCGGCCAAAATGCGCGGAATGCAGAAAATGATCGATGGACAACAGTAAAGCTCTGAATACCTATGACGAGGAAAGGCTGAACAAGGCTCGGTGTCGGTGGTAATAAATGCGGGTTGTGGGTTGCGTGTGTGGTCGGTTGGGGGTGGGGGGCAGTGCTTGACCGCGGGGTAAGGTGCTGCCCGGTATGTACCGCACCTACTATTACTATGTACATACATAAATCAAACAAGCACACAAACAACAAACGAATTGGTGCGACCTGGCAGGGCTCAATGTAAGTTGGGGTCCACCTGATGCTGGGACATAACGAAGGAAATCACCTTTCATGTTGTTTCAGGGGAAAGGAGGAAAGAACAAAGCCAGTGAAGTCCATGTTTTCCCAGGAAGATGGCCCGCGATGTGGCATTGAGAAGGCACATGCCCCGCGGCCCCACTTCGACCCTGGGGATCGTCATTAGGGGTCTCAGCACGGGCTATTCGGGCTTCGGTGCTCAGGCTTTCTGAACACACAAGATTAGGTAGACACTCACGAAACACTCATATGAGAACAAGGTTGAGGCCGAATTTATCGCCATCTCATTTTCTTCTTGGGTTTATTGGCACCTGAACAGCAAGCAAAAGGTCCCAAGGCCGTCGTCGCCTAGACCGACCAGGCTCGTCTCCCAGAATCGACACACAGACTCAGCGCAGGTACGTGGCCGGATGAGGCGCCTTCTCCTTGATCGCCAGCCGCGTCTGCAACATGCCCTTGCTCTTCTGGTTTGCCCATTCCTCCTTCTTGCCCTTGTTGACGATGCTTCTTGTCTGCTGGTCATCGAGAGAAGCGACGCCGAGACCCCTCACGTCCCTGGATATCAGTGCCCGCCCACGAGGACGACGTTCCTCGCCGTCAACATCCATCTCGTTCTCCCTCTCAGCCTCCTCGATGGCGAGGCGCTCCGCCCGCTCCTCCGGAGTCGGGTAGTGGTAAAGGTTCTGTCGGTAGTACCTGTTGAGTGACCGGTGACCAACAGATTTTCCGTTCGGAAGATGGAGTTCGTAGTCGTCGTGGAAAACTGCTTGGGGCCGTTTGTGGCTTTGGGCGTGCCAACCGTCTGCTTGGTGATGACTACGAGAAGTGTTTCGCGAGTGATGAGGGTGCTTGTTGAGGCGGTCGTACTGGTGATAATGTTGATCCGCGGGGACAGCGTGGAGATCGTTGGAGTCGAGGGATGATGCCTCGCTGTCTGTCTCCCAAGTCTCGTCCTCCATAACTTCATCGCCGTCCTCCCCGGTGACCTTGCTTTCGCGCTTCGCCCCGAGCTTGGCACCGCCGTTCTGTTGCCCTTCGTCATCCGACTCATCCTCCCATTCATCCCCGTCAGAGTAAGTGCTGCGGAAGTCGTAAAACTCGCCAATCTCAACCTGCTCCTCCTCGGTGGTGTACGGGATTTGGCAATGGCTCTTGTCACGCATGTGTGTCTGCACAGCGAATGCGTTTGACTTAAATTTTCCACAAGTGAGGCATTGGTTCAGAGCGAAGACCTGCTCCTGGAAATGGCGAAGCAACCCTTCAAGATTCACCAGATATTGCTTCTCCGGAATAAACATGCCGTGAATACGTTCCATATGTGATACATTGAGCGGCGGTGTCGGAGACTCGTAGTTACAGAAGAGGCATGTCTTGAGCGACGGAGCCGGGGCCGGCTTGGCCCCCGTCGGGGTTGGTGCTGAGGGGGTTTCCGTGGATGACTCTTCCTCGCTTGACGTCTGTGATAGGGGGTGCTCTGGCTTGTTTTGGGCTTCGGCGGATAAATGGGGATTCGAGGGCCGCTTGACGGGTGAGGTAGACTCGTGAAGTGCAGTGTTCTTGAGCCCTTCAACAACCTCGTTGAACTCCTCCTCAGCGTCCGAATCCACCACCGAGTCTGCCGCCGGCTCGCCCAGAGAGAAGGACATGGAGCCCGCCTCGTCGTCGACCTTGCCATTCGACTGCGATGCCAAGGCGACGGCTTTCGCCTTGTGTTTCGCGCTGCTGAGGTGATTCCGGAACGAGTTCTCGCTGTAGTATGTCTTTTGGCATGTCTCGCAGGCCCGTTCGAAGCCAGCCTTGTCGGCTTGTGCGGTCGTCTCAGCTCGAGCCTGGAGAACCTTCTCCGTGAATACTTCGGACGAGATGGGGGGTAGTGTTGCAACACGGCGCTGTAGGTTGTAACGGCTGTATATGACAGTGAGCGTCTGGAGTATGGAGAAGACGGTTGAAGAAGGTTACTTACTGCCAATCGCTGCGCATGTGTCCCCTCTGAAGGTCGCTATTGCGGAAGGCAACCTGACATGTGTTGCAGGTATATGGATGAGAAGTATTTGTCGACACGCCGCTGCTAGGAGCAGTTCTGTCGCCTGAAATCGTCGCCATCGTGCCCGTTATGGCCAAGTGACCGTGGAGATTCGGTTTGCTGGAAGATAGGTACCTAGGTAGGAGGGTTGGTAGGTTGTGGAATTGTGGAATTGTATCGTCAATGAGTGATAACTCAAGGACGGGTAGTGCTGGTGAATTTTAAACCACTACGTGTCTTAGGTAGAGGGGATAACAACTGGTGCCTGCTGAATAATTCCAGAAAGAGCAACAGGAGAGGCGGCGTTAAGTACTCTCGTAGTATTTTTTTGGTGGCAAGCGGTTTATGGCGGGGTTCAACTGTGGACGTCACATTTGCTTGGCATGCGGGAAGCCCTGGTCGGTCGCTCGGGCAGTCCGTTTGCGATAGGGATCCACAACGCGGGTTTGAAATTGAGAAGAGAAAGCTGGAGGTACACTTCCTCCAAGAATTTCTTCACTTGGATGCAGTTTTATGGACAATGATTATCATGTTGCCGGCAGGTAAATATCTACAGATGATGCCACCAACCAAGCTGATTTGAAACTTCGAGCATGGCGGGAATCTGACATCCCGCCGCAAATGTTGGTTGTTGGAGGTGAGTCACGGGACATCCAATCCTCCACGGCTTTCCTTTCGGTTTGGTAAGCGACCCAGGCGACCCCACCGGGACTTGGCCCATCGTGCCCAGACGCACCGCCAAGCCAAGATTCCAGGATATCAGTGGGTCCAGCCCGCGTGCGGCAGCGGCTTGGGTGTGGAAAGTCCCGAAAGGCGGCAACCTGGAGGCTGAGCGCAGCATGATGCTGCCAGTTTGACGACAAATTCCCCAACGCGGAAATCAAGCTGGTTATCGAATTGCTTGCCATCCGATCTCGACCCGGTGATTATTCGGCTTTGCATTTTTTACCACCAGCCCAGCGTCTGAACGTCTCAACATCACCAAACCCCCAGCGCCTGCTCGAACCGAAACCCTCTCCGCTAAGCCGGACTTCCTCGGCCGATTCCATCCGCTTCCTCTTCCATCCATGTCATGACGCGAGACACCATGCGGCCAGTTAGTGCCGGCAGTCGCAAAGACAGGAATAGCGATGATTTGGACCTTCTGGCCGGTCTCTGGGAAGAGGCGCGTTTCGCCAGGTTACCGTGGGATGCGCCTAGCGAGTTGAAAGACTTGGTTGAGGATATAGACAACCCGAAGCGCGTCTACGCGATACATAAGGCGAGCCGTCGACATAATTTTCAACAGCTTGTGCAAAAGTGAGTTGGGGTCGATCTTCCACTCCCGTTCGTTCCGGTCGACACTGACCATTTGCGTAGGTACATCGTTCAACTCCGCGAAGGCTGTGGTGTCGAACATTGCACGACATCTACGTGCTTTACTTGCCGGAAAAGGATCGCAGGTCGAGCTCCAACTCGCAGGTACAACACAACGAGCGCGAGGACGTTGGCCGTATATCTCGCGAGCCAGGACAACCCGGAAACCGGCCTCTGTCCAAATTTGCGACTCCCCAAGGCGCCACCCGCCGCTGTGGCTTCTCTGGTGTTTGTTCCAAATTCCAATTCCCGGCTGCGAGATGACCGCGCCGCTCATATGTCCTCGAAGACGCTGCCGTTCCGCAATCCACCCGGCTCTCCCAAGACGGGCGATAGTAATGGTGCGGCATCCGCGTTCCCTCGGAGTTGCAGTGGAACTTTGAATGGGGATAGAAGAGAGAAGAAAAAAGTTGTAGGCGGTCAGGCTGGGTTGGATTCTGACAAGCAGGCTCAGCGCCCCGGTTTCACCATCACCGAAAAGCCTGTTAGCAAGGATCATCGTTCATTTGCCGCCAATGTCGTTGGCACCGTTGCCTTCAAAATGCTCGAGTGGTTGACTCCGACGGCACTCGAAGACATGCATAACAGGACACGGGCCTTCGGCGGCAGGCCTCAGCCTGACGTTGAACCTCCGAACCCTCCTGAAATCGAACCGGAGTTGGGGAATGGCGTCGGACATGGGGTACCCATGGGGTTGCAAGAGCCACCGGTCTTGCCTCTACAGCCGGACGGGGATTTCGCCAGGAAGCGGAACCTACCTGGGAATGGCCAGGCTGAGAGGGAAACTCGCACTTTAAAGGACAGCCAACCGCAACAGGATCCTCAATCCAGTCCTCGTGCGACGAACGCGCGCCGTAACTCGAACGCGAAGGTTCGCACTTCATCCGGGCCCAAGCCTAAACGGCAGCTATCGATCGACCCGTATGCCCAAGACGCTTCTGCTGAAGAACCCTACGCAGCTCTATTGAGATCCCCTCGCACCACTGGAGGTGGTGCGGACAAGGGATCGCGCGTCCCCAAAGCTGCTGGCTCGAGTATCGCACGACCGATCTCTCAGCTCTCCTCTGCGGGATTTTTCGATGATGTCTCGCTTGAAAAGATGCCTCCCCCGAAAACCATCGATCTCAAGCCAAGGACCGGCCGGCTCGCAACGAGCGAGGCGGGAAACGGTGGATCCCGTAGCCCGAAGGCCCCCCGTACTTCATCAGGCGTCGTCTCTGAGAAGTCGTATAGCGACGCCTCAGGTGCAGCTACTGGTCAGGACTCGGAATCGGAGGACGAGACGCTGCTTCCGCAAACGTTATCTAGGTTGACTGCGGAAGTTGTCGACTTCGTTTGCGATGTCATTCAAGAGGATGGGACCGCTGAGGAGCATATGCTCGAACCTCAGTCAGTTGCTAGGTTTCACAGCCGGAAGCTAGGGCAAGGGAAGCTAGCTAGACGGAAGCATCGGTCAGACCAGGGGTCCTCCGCCAATGTGAGGCTGGAGTGGAAGCTCTTCGTCGATCAAACCCTCTTCTACGTCCTCAGCGACTCGCAACTAGCCCTCCGATCGTTCACGAAAAAGGGGCAGTTGTACGACTCGCAAACACTCTGGTACTGCATGCTGAGGATGACGCGAGTTTCTCCCAGTCTGGTATTCCACAGCTTGTGGATGGCTGCCGCTAGTCTCTTCGCACCCCCTAGATCACTCCAAGCCCTAAGATCGCCGTCGACAAAGGTCTTTCCCAAGAGCGAGCAGTCGCTCTCTAACTTGGAGGCAGGGCGTCTCATGTCCATATGCTTGCACGCCTTGATCGCTGCCGCGCCCTTGGTTACAGATTCCCGACAGCTGTTCGACATGTCGAGGATTCGATCTCATGGCCTGAGTCTTGCGGGTAGCGGCGCGGTAGCACGGCAGCCGACAGAATTGTGCCTGCAATACGAGGATGCCTTTAGCGACGATATGGCTCTGAGGTTAGCTCGACGGCTATTCGCGGCCATAACCACGCGCCGCCGCTTCGACGCCCTGAGCGAGTCTACCATGGGGCCGCACGAACACGGCGAGCAGGATGTGCTGGCGCCTCTCTTCTCGCAACTAGATTTCCTCAACATGGACGCGGTTTACGTGCTAGACTTCTCTTTTCCTGACCGTGCCCTGCACGAGACCCGTGTTCCAATTCTTTTGCTCGATTGGGCGAGGGCTGTCATGCTTAACGATTGGGATGGCTCTCCTGAGGTTCCAGGGGACGGTCCCTTCGGTGGTGCCCTCGCCCTGATCGAAGCCATGCGTAAGTCAATCCACCAATCCCCCCCTCCCCCCTGCCTCCACCCTTTGGCTTTGCCACGAGGCGACTAATGTCTATCCCAGATGAGAGACGACAGGACCTCCTCTTGGCCGATGCCCAATTCCGGTCAGACTACTTTACGGAGCGGCTGGACACGATAAAAATGCCCATCTCGTGGCTGTCTCATACCCCAACGCGGCAACGCCTACACCTCCTAGACTTTCCATACATATTCAGCTCATCGACACTGGTGTCGTACTTCCGATCAATCAACTTCTCGCGCATGAGCCGTGCTTTTGAGGAGTCTACTTCCTTCCATGACAAAATCACCGTGATCGCCCAGCGGGCGGGTCTCACCCAACATCACAAGGATGTGCTAGTAGAACGGCTGGGGCCCGCGGGATCCAAGTACCTGATTCTTGATATTCGAAGGGGGACCGTTCTACAAGACGCGCTCGACCAGTTGTGGCGTCGGGAGGAGCGAGAGCTGCTCAAGCCCTTGAAAGTCCACCTAGGCGAGGCCACCGGGGAGGAGGGCTTCGATTCCGGTGGTGTGCAACAAGAGTTCTTCCGGTTGGCCATTGGAGAAGCTCTCAACCCCGACCATGGAGCCTTTACTGTCGACGAGCGCACTCGCATGACTTGGTTTCTTCCGGGCTCGATGGAGGACGAGTGGAAGTTTGAGTTGATCGGTTTGTTGGTGTCGCTCGCCGTGTACAACGGCCTGACACTGCCGGTTACATTTCCGAAGGCCTTTTACCGCAAACTCCTTGGCGAACCTGTCACTGAGCTGCACCACATCGCCGATGGCTGGCCTGACCTCGCAAGCGGCCTCACTTCGCTACTCGAGTGGGACGAGAAGGACGGCGCTGTAGAAGACGTCTTCGCCCGCACTTACGAATTCTCCGTTTCCGCATTCGGGCAGCACATCACTCGGGAAATGAAAACCCCCTCAAACAACACCCACCACCACCACCATGCCCGCAAAGACGAACCCTGGCCGCAGTTCGCGAAGACGGCCTCCCAGTCTTCCTCTCGCCCACCCCCCCACCACGGCAACCCTGCCGAGGACGAGGCCCCGCTCGTCACCAGCGCCAACCGCAACGCCTACGTCTCCGATTACATCCGCTACCTCACCGACGTGTCGGTGCGCCCGCAGTACGAGGCCTTCGCGCGCGGGTTCCACGCCTGCCTGCACCCAAAGTCACTCTCCCTCCTAACGCCCAGCCTCCTGCAGTCGGTGGTCGAGGGCGTGCAGGAGATTGACATCGCGGAGCTGAAGCGGCACGCGCGCTACGTCGGCTGGGACGCGTCGCACCGCACCGTCAAGGACTTCTGGAGCGTTGTCAAGCGCTACGACGACGCCATGAAGCGCAAGCTGCTCGAGTTCGTCACCGCTAGCGACCGCGTCCCCGTCGGCGGCGTCAAGAACCTCATGTTCATCATCCAGCGCAACGGCGAGGAGGAGGACCCCGCCGGCAGGCTGCCTACGTCGTATACATGCTACGGGACCCTGCTGTTGCCGGAGTATAGGGATAAGGAGATGTTGAGGCAGCGATTGGGGATGGCCTTGGAGAATGCGCAAGGGTTTGGGTTTGCTTGAGGCTTTTGGCTTTCTTTTTCTTTTTTCCTTTCTTCCTTTTTTTTTCGGGCAACGAAGGGAACGGGGGTAAGTTGATAGGGAAGTTAACCGGGCGGGAGGGGCGCGAAGGGACGGGACCGTGGGAAGCGATGGTTTCAGTTTCGGCCTCCGTGCCTACGCGGGATTTCCTTTCTCTTCACACCCGTGCCGCATTCGTTTCTCGGCGATCTACTGCGGGAAGGAGGTGGGATGACAGGGAGGCACTATTTATGAGAATTTGATGTGAGCGAATTTGTGTCTTGGAACACTAAAACGAAATACCTTTAATGGCGCGCGATGTAGCTAGCAAGCGGTGTGCTTTTCTGGACCAGATAGGTTTCCGCCCTCTTGGACAGAGAAGCCTGGCTGTCCTGGAGGAAGTCAAAAGTGCTTCTTTTCTCTCCTCTCACGTCTATGCTCTCCTTTGTCAACCGTATGCCCTATTTGTTTTGTGCACTGAAAGCGCCGTTATGCGGATAAGTCTACGTCACATATGGGGGCCGGAGTGCATCATTCTGATCTCATACATTCATTCATGCATGTATCAACGCCCACAGATAGGTATCTAGCTATCCCGGGACGGATATCCCTGTCCAAAGACCCTTTCTATGTCTACCCCTAGAAGTCGTCCTCGCCTGACCCAGAGATAATAACATTATTCACCTTGAGCACCATACGGCAGAGCTGGGTAGCCAACATGAGCTGCTGCTTCTTGCCGATCAGCGGGTCAATCACAAACGCCTCCTTCATGTTGTTGGACCCGCGGCTCATGCAGTCAACACCCAGACGGCCGCGGCCGGCGGCGTCGTTGACCTGTTGGCTCTTGACCTCGGCAAGGGTGGCGATCGGGTTCAGACCGCTGTTCTCGGCTAGGGCCATGGGAATAGAGTCGAGAGCCTCGGAAAACGCACGCATCGCGTATTGCTCCAGACCAGGAGTCTTGACGGCAGCGTCCTCGACTGCCAGACTGCAGGCAATCTCGGCTGAGCCGCCGCCGTAAACGACGCGGTTGTCGCGGACCAGGTTGCGGACCACGCAAAGGGCGTCGTGGAGGGAGCGCTTAGCCTCGTCGATAATCTAAGTAAAGTTAGATAACTAAGCAATTTCGATAACTTGCAGGCGGGGTTGGAAACTCACCATCTTGTTGCTCCCCCTAACAAAGACGGTGACGGCCCGCGTGTTGGCACACTCCTCGATGACCAGCATCTTCTCTCTTGTTGTCCCAAAGGTCATCTCTCGGACGATACCCGCCGTTCCAAGTTTCTCGGATTTTAGGTCCTCGAACCGAGGAACAATCCGGCCGTTGGTCGCAATTGCGATGAGTTCGATCTCCGGGCCGCCCACCCACCTTACCGCGGGAAGATCGTTCTGGAGAAGAAGATGGTTGGCTTCGTCATCGAAACCCCACTGGCAGATGGCCAGGTTCGCACCGGCATCCTTTATTTGCTGGATCATCTCGATGAACTTCTCACGCTCGTAGGTTTGCAGCTTCTTAAACTCCTCCACGCTGTTGATCTCGAGCTTGTGCTTCGTCTTGGGCTTGGGCGGCTCGAAGGCGCACGTTAGGATGGCGATCTTGGCGTCCCGCACCTCGGAGGGCATCTGAGGGTGTGAGAAGTCCTTGTCGATAATCACGCCCTTTACAAGGATGGAATCCTCGAGAGCACCGCCCATCTTACCATCCACCTTGATCAACTCAAAGTCGACATCCTTGCGCTCCAAGTCGGCAACGGAGAGGACGGCATCCACAGCAATGTTGGCGAACTGGTCATGGGCCTTCGAGACGATCTTGCTCCCCAGGCTTGTCCTTGCTACCTTCACTAGGTTCTCCGTCTTCTCCTTGCTAAACTCGATCACGTCGGAAATTTTGTCGAGCTCCGCCACGGCGATGTCGCAGGCCTGGTCGTACCCGTCGGCAATTCGGATGGGGTGGATCCCCTTATCGATGAGCTCGGCCGCCTGTTCCAAGAGAGCACCGGCCAAAACAACCACACCCGTTGTCCCGTCACCGATTTCGTCGTCTTGTGACTTAGAGAGCTCTACCAACAACTTCGCGACGTGGTTCGTAACCTCCATCTGCTGCAGAATGGTGGCGCCATCGTTTGTTACTGTGATATCGCCGTCGGGGGAAATGAGGATCTTGTCGAGGCCACGGGGGCCTAATGAGGTCTTGACGATGTTGGCAACGGTACGGGCGGCGAGAATGTGGGACTTGACGGCCTCGTTGCCGTACTGGCGCTTCTTCTTGCCCTGGCTATAGGAGGGGTCAGCGGGGGAGGGTAGGGGTGCGAGGGTTGGGATGCGACCGACTCTCTCACAACGATGAACGGCCGACCTTGCTCGTCCTGTATCACGGAGGCTGCAGCATCGACTAGTTAGCAAGCCACCCGAGTCCCGGCGGGACATGTTGTCGCATACCGTTCGCCAAATCCAAGTCTAAGGAGGGGTCCGCGTGTCAGCTCTCCGGTATTGCAGTCGATGCGGGGGTCAGAGGGGACGCACTCATTGCCATTTTTGCAGCTGATGTTTATCCGTGAGTCGCAAAAAACTTGTACGAGACAAAGATGGATGGAGCTTCAGGGTTCGAAGTCCAAATTATCGTCGAGGAAACAGGCACCAGGGATCCGCTTAAAGCTAGGCACTATTTGCTCCTTACCTCCAAAGCTCAAAAAATTGAGGCACCACGCCCACTGGCTTCAGGCGGACCACGGCAGAATCTAAGTCCGGCACTGTGCTGTGGTTGGTTTATGGCGGCTGACCCGCACGCTGCCCCGCGATTTAGGCTTTCACCGCCTTAACCTGATGGAGTCATTCGAGGCCACGATGGTGGGGTCAACATGGCACAACCACCTATGCCCTGGCAATGCCCCGCGACAACACAACACCAAGGTCCGGCATCGTGATCCCTACCTAACTAGAGGGACAGCCTAGGTTCCAATTGCCGAATATTTCAACCAAATCATGAATTTTTAGGTTGGACTTTGCAGCAATATTTATCCGTTGCTACGTCTTAAGAGTTGCTAGTCAATCGCCGATTTGGAGTTGCAGAAAGTGTCCCCAGGTTAGTGTGTCGCCACGCTTCTTAGAGGTTCTTCTCCTTTTATGTTGCGCATGTACTTACTTAGTAAACTCGCAGCTCACATTTCAGTAACCGCACCGCCCAACATATTCAACCATCAAACATCAACCCATACCCCACTCTTCACAGCAACCCTCTTCTGCGTCATCATCAAACCGCCAACATGTCTCGTCATCAGTACATTCGCAACCTTGATTACGAGGATGCCGTGGACGAGTACGAGGGTTATTCGGAAGAAGAGAATGATGAGCTCAGCCCAGAAGACCGGGCGCTCATGAACCAAGGTACCGCCGATGTCCAGGCGGCCCTCGGCGTTGAGGTTTCCAAGGTTACGGTTGCCCAGATCGAGGAGGCCTTGTGGCATTACTATTACGACGTTGACAAATCGGTTGCCTATCTCATTTCAAAATTTGTCAACCCGCGTCCAAAAGCGACCAAACCAGCAGTACAACCACCTAATGGTAAGTCTGTCACTTGTGTAATTGATACCGCAACAGCCGGCCTCCCCCTTGAACTTGGCATTCCATCGCACTGGGCGGCGAAGTATCTGGACCTGACAGACACCGGCCTCTCAGCATTGCAGACAAATTCTCCGAACTCGGTAGCATGGCACCAAAACATAGGTCATCAATCAAATACCAGAGCCCTTCCTATTTCCACACCTGTATCCTTCGAACACGGAACGTGGACTTCACACTTCTTCCACGATATGCCGTGGGGCAATATTCCAAAGCACAGAGAGACAACTTTCATTGCGCCACCAAAACGTCGTGGTGGCCTGCTCGGCGGATCAGGTGTGCCACCAAAGATGTCCAAGCTTCAAGCTCTCGCTGCCGCGCGCAAAAAAAAAGCCGAGGAAAAGAAGGCCATCGAGGAGAAGGCGGAACAAACGCGGATGCAGGTGGAAGACCTCTCAATGGAGCCCACGCCAGCTCGGAAGGAGAACGTGCCCATGGCTGGCCCATCCAACAAGCGTCTCAAAACTTCGGAGTCCATTGTCCATGGTACCATGCCCCTGTTAGGCCCCGAGATATCACACCAGTCGGGCGTGATGACGGAAGTACCAGGCGAAGGACCGCTACTGGGCCAGGGCCTCTTTGGCGGTCGACCTAGCTCCTCTACTCCGGACGCACCAGGAGATGAGCGAAAAGCCATTATGGCCGAACCATCCGCATTTGCTCAACTGCTCTGTTGGAATCCACCCACCTCCCGCACATCGAATGGTTTGGAAAGCGAACCTTTATACGGGTTTGGGTGTGGATATGGGGCGGACAACAAGGGAAATCCACCGACAAAACCCTTGGACCCTACCGACTGGTTCGACGTCCGCAAGCGGAGGCGGGATGATTCGGGTGACTTCGACGAGGAGGTCATCCTATACCCGAACCTGCCTCAGTCTGTTCGAGATACTTTCGCTCAGCCCAGTCCGGATGACGTTGTTCTCGCGGCCCAAGCCAAGGCCAAATCGATGAAAGGTTCGCTCTTGATGAGCAAGCGCTAACATGGACACTAATAGTCGATATAGCTGGACCTAAGACAGCTGCAGCCCAGTCTAAGAAGAAGGGTACGGCATCCACAGATGCTGCCACAACTGGCATGGATGGGTTGAGGATCAGCGATGCGCCACTTCCCAAGAGCCGAAATCTCGATGTCCTCTCGGAATTGGAAAAGAGCAAGCCCAAGAAGAGTGCTAGTTTTGTGGTGGTCGGGCACGTAGACGCTGGGAAGAGTACCATGATGGGCCGGCTACTACTCGACCTCAAGGTGGTCGACCAGCGCACAATCGACAAACTCCAGAAGGAGGCGAAAACTGAAGGAAAAGGTTCCTTTGGCCTCGCCTGGGTCCTAGATCAACGGCCGGAAGAACGCAGCAGGGGAATAACCATGGACATCGCCACTCGACGATTCGAAACAGAACACACAGCTTTTACGATCCTCGACGCACCGGGCCACGCGGAATACATTTATAACATGATCGCTGGTGCTAGCCAGGCCGACTTTGCCATTTTGGTTATCGACGCCAGCATCGACGCCTTCGAATCCGGGCTAAAGGGGCAGACAAGGGAGCATTCTTTGTTGATTCGCAGCATGGGAGTATCGCGCATCATCGTGGCCGTCAACAAGCTGGACACAGTTGCATGGTCCCAGGAGAGGTTCAGTGAGATCAAGGACCAGATGTCTGGCTTCCTGTCCACGGCAAACTTTCAGCACAAGAACATGGCTTTCGTCCCCGTTTCCGGTCTGAACGGTGACAACCTGGTTCACAGATCCCCTGATCCGGCCGCATCATGGTACACCGGCCCCACGCTAGTGGAAGAGTTGGAGAACTCAGAGCCAAGCGCGCGGGCGCTAGCCAAACCGTTGCGGATGACTGTTTTTGAGGTGTACCGCACCATGCAGAGCCCGGTAACGGTTTCGGGGCGGATCGAGGCGGGATCTGTGCAAATGGGCGATGCACTTCTCGTTCAACCGAGCGGACAAAAGGCATACGTCAAGTCGATCCTTGCCAACGAGGCTCCAGTTGACTGGGCGGTCGCTGGTCAAAACGTCGTGCTCCACCTCAGCCATATCGATCCCATCCACGTCAGGGACGGAGACATCATCTGCGATCCGGCGAAACCAGTTCCGAAGGCAGACACGTTCAAAATGAAGGCGCTGGCTTTTGACATCTTGATGCCCATGCCGGTAGAAGTTCACAGGGGCCGGCTGAACCAAGCCGGCAAGATTGAGACTATCTCAGCTCTCTTGGATAAGGCCTCGGGGTCGGTAGTCAAGAAAAACCCCAAAATTGTCAAGCCCGCCATGGTAGCGAGGATTGTGGTCAAGCTGGAGTCGCAGGTGCCGCTGGAGCCGGGGCAGAGAGTGGTTTTGAGGAGTGGCGGACAGACGGTGGCTGCAGGGTTGTTAGAATAGAGGTGGTTACGAGAAATGAGGCTCTTCGGCAATATGTGTCTGTACCTTACTTAAGAGAGCGTGGGGTAAAGAGTGCAACATGCATCACAGAACCCGGCACCGGCTTTGCTTCAACTGGTCCCACTTCTGATGTTCGTTTGTGGCCATGGCTTACAAGTACACTACACTACGTTTGAGACCTGCAGAAGTCATTGATAAATTGACATGTGTCATTTTCTCCTGCTTCTCTTCCGTTCCACCGCCGAAGTTCTCTGTGTCGTTCTTGACGATGAAACACTGTCTGTCCTTCGGGAGGTGGAACGCCACTGGGCAGACACTCCATGGCCTTGTTGAAAAAGGCCACTCTGGCACAAACAGGGGGTTGAGTGCCACTCCGGCGACCCGCCCTGTGGGCAATCACCTGCGGGGCAAGCCCACCGCATTCCCGCCGTTTGCTTGTCCCCGATTTGGAGATGGAAACCAGTAGAAATCCGATCGCTGGAGCGGATCGTGTCACGCAAAGAACAAAAGGCATTGAATTGGCAATACTCGTACTCGAGCTGCTGTAGTCGAAGTGCTGATAAAGTTCCATAAAGAATCAGGATTTTCTCAAGTCCTAAAATAATGGTGAGTTAAACATCGGTCGTTTGTAGTGAGGGAGAGCTGAGTAAAAGGTGCAAGCTGTTCTCCATGTTCAATGGTCATGCAGATCTCCAAGCGCCAGGGGTAACATGTACCAACTACCGCTAGCCTTGTTAAATTTGCGGTCAATTGAGACGCTGAGTTGGTTGTTGTACTTCGTCTGTCCCACGCGGTGGGGCCATTGAGTTGCCCCAATTCAGAAGGCGGCGAATGGGCCAGTGCGGAAGCGCGAGGTGGCTTAAGCCAGGATAAGGACAGATTTCCGGTTGCCCCAAAAAAATAAAGAGCCAACCTTCAAAAGGCTGAACTTGCTTCCGTTTGCTTCCCTCTCCCGTTTCACCAACCACCTCACTCGACGACGCCGGAATCTTCGAGTTCCTATTCATCATCTTCCTGACCACTAGCCCGGTAGGAACGGTTCGAGAAGGGCGCTCTCTCTCTTCTCCCGGCTTCACTTCTAACACCCTTTTACACCGCCTGCAAGCAGTAGCGCAAAGAGGGTTGTCGTTTATTTTCTTCTTTCTACCACACAGCTTTCGACATGGAGAGTCGATCGCGGAGCTGGGCCCTCGGCCTGAGCTTCATTGGGTTCTTTGCCCTCCTTTTCTCTCTGGGCTTCGTCCAGCAAGTCAAGGCGGATGATGTCTCTGAGTATGGCACCGTCATTGGTATTGTAGGTTCACCCTAGAACATCCTGGGAACTATTGCAAACGAAACTAACACAACTAAACAGGATCTGGGCACCACCTACTCGTAAGTTGCCTCAATCTCGAATTTCGATTTTACCGCCATCTACGCGATTCGGCTCGGTGGGGGTGTCGTCGATTGAGGACACGGTGTCAAGGATGGCGGAGGGGTGGGGCACACATGGACAAGGGACAAACGGCTAACAGCTATTAGGTGTGTGGGTGTGATGCAAAAGGGCAAGGTCGAGATTCTCGTCAACGATCAAGGTGCGTTGAGGATTATGGGCATTTTCAGCCTGGGAACCCACAGCTGACAATCTACCCCAGGAAACCGTATCACCCCCTCTTATGTCGCCTTCACCGAGGATGAGAGACTCGTCGGAGACGCCGCCAAGAACCAGGCCGCATCGAACCCGTTCAAGACCATCTACGACATCAAGCGTCTGATCGGCCGCAAGTTCTCGGAGAAGGACGTCCAGAGCGATATCAAGCACTTCCCCTACAAGGTTGTCGCCAAGGATGAGAAGCCGGTTGTCAAGGTTGAGATTGACGGCACTGATAAGACCTTCACCCCCGAGGAGATCTCCGCCATGGTTCTCGGCAAGGTACGTTGGCTTGCTAATCGCACGACTTGACCCATTTGAAACAGTTCCTAACAACCGAACAGATGAAGGAGACCGCCGAGGCCTACCTTGGCAAGAAGGTCACCCACGCCGTCGTTACCGTCCCCGCCTACTTCAACGACAACCAGCGCCAGGCCACCAAGGATGCCGGCATGATCGCTGGTCTCAACGTTCTCCGTATCGTCAACGAGCCCACCGCCGCCGCTATCGCCTACGGCCTTGACAAGACCCAGGGTGAGCGCCAGATCATCGTCTACGACCTTGGTGGTGGTACTTTTGATGTCTCCCTCCTGTCTATCGACCAGGGTGTGTTCGAGGTCCTGGCCACCGCCGGTGATACCCACCTTGGTGGTGAGGATTTCGACCAGCGCCTCATCAGCCACTTCGCCAAGACCTTCAACAAGAAGCACAGCGTCGATGTGAGCACCGACGCCAAGGCCATGGGCAAGCTCAAGCGTGAGGCCGAGAAGGCGAAGCGCACCCTGTCGAGCCAGATGTCCACTCGCATTGAGATCGAGGCCTTCTTCCAGGGCAAGGACTTCAGCGAGACCCTGACTCGCGCCAAGTTCGAGGAGATCAACGGTGACCTTTTCCGCAAGACCCTGAAGCCTGTCGAGCAGGTTCTCAAGGATGCCAAGGTCAGCAAGAGCGAGGTTGACGACATCGTCCTCGTTGGTGGCTCCACCCGTATTCCCAAGGTCCAGGCCCTCATTGAGGAGTTCTTCGGCAAGGCGGCGAGCAAGGGTATCAACCCGGATGAGGCTGTCGCTTTCGGTGCCGCCGTCCAGGCTGGTGTGCTGAGCGGTGAGGAGGGCACTGAGGACATCGTCCTCATGGATGTCAACCCGCTTACCCTCGGTATCGAGACGACTGGCGGTGTCATGACCAAGCTCATCCCCCGTAACACCCCCATCCCCACCCGTAAGAGCCAGATCTTCTCGACCGCCGCCGACAACCAGCCCGTGGTCCTGATCCAGGTCTACGAGGGTGAGCGCTCCATGACCAAGGACAACAACATCCTCGGCAAGTTCGAGCTTACCGGCATCCCCCCCGCTCCCCGCGGCGTTCCCCAGATCGAGGTCTCTTTCGAGCTCGACGCCAACGGAATCCTCAAGGTCTCTGCCCACGACAAGGGCACCGGCAAGGGCGAGTCCATCACCATCACCAACGACAAGGGCCGTCTCACCCAGGAGGAGATCGACCGTATGGTTGCCGAGGCTGAGAAGTACGCCGAGGAGGACAAGGCTACCCGTGAGCGCATTGAGGCTCGCAACGGCCTTGAGAACTACGCCTTCAGCCTGAAGAACCAGGTCAACGATGAGGAGGGCATGGGCAGTAAGATCTCTGAGGACGACAAGGAGACCATCCTTGACGCCGTCAAAGAGGCCCAGGACTGGCTTGAGGAGAACGGTAAGCTTACTCCCTTTTTCTGCTTTGCCAGTGACAAAATGCTAACTCGAACACAGCCGCTACTGCCTCCGCCGAGGACTTTGAGGAGCAGAAGGAGAAGCTCAGCAACGTGGCGTACCCGATCACGAGCAAGCTCTACTCGGGCGGTGAAACCGGTGGCGAAGATGAGCCTGACTCGCACGACGAGCTTTAATTACCTCGCTCGTATTAGTATCATAGAGATTCCCCCCGTTTTTTGTTTTGATGGCATAAAAAATGAAGCCTACCCGGGTTTGGGGTTGGGTTTGCTTACCCTTTTGGTCTTGGGCCCTTTGCCGGTGTCTGCGTTTGGTCAACGGCAGGTGGGGATGCATATTGGTAGTGTGATGATGACGGGCGTTGTATGTTGCGAAGGCTTGTACAAGTATCAGTTGAGTCGCGAGTTGTGACAATGCATAGAACCCTTTGATCAATAACTGCCTAGCTGCTTTGTAGTGTTATATTAGCCAGCTTGAAAAGGGGTGTGGTGGGTACCACAACAACCAAACAACGGGTTGTTGTTTCCCTCTGGTGAGAACCTTTTGACTACTCCTCTCCCTCCTGATCGGATAGAGGTGCCCCCAGAGGGCAGATAGTTGTAGAAATCCATCTGCCGTTTGACGGCGGGTGCTAGTAGTAATGAGTGTAACCACAGCAAGAGTCTTCTCTCGCCACGGCTGTGAAGTCTCCGATTAGCACTCCCGGAGGTGCTGCGTGTAGCCAGCCCAGGAAAACAAAAACGATGCAACAGAAAAAAGCAATGATCAGCAAGAGAAACAGGCTGACATGACTACTGGCATATATCCAGTGTAGTAAACAAACAGACGCCTAGGAAACAAACCCGCCATTCTCACTTGTTACCATGCTCACTCGCACCTTGAAGCGTCCCCAGATCACCCTTCCTCATCACCCATCACCAATTTGCTAACGTAAGTAGTCCACACCACAAAAGAGCGTACCATCAACCAAAGCCTCTCAAAACCTCGGCAGCCCGGACGCGTCCCAATTGTCGTTCGACAGCGACGCCTCAGCCAAGACCGCCAGCAAACCACTCGGGTCGCCGTTCCGCGCGAACAGGGCATCCGCTTCCTTTTTCATCCTGCGCAGACGCTCGATCTGCTGCTGCCGCGGCTGGGCACCACGGCTGTTATTTCCATCCTCCGACCCCGTGTGCCAGGGTTTCTTCTCCCCAAGGCGAGGGTTTTCCTCCGCTGATGCCATCTCCGCCGGCTCGGAGAAGACAACGCTGGAGTTGGAGGCCGTGTCCCCTGCCAGCGACGGCTCCGATGGGGGTTCCGAGGCCGTGTCCTCCTGTTCCGGCGTGTGGGGTCCGTAGACGGGGTATTCCAGCGCGGCTGGGGACCGCGACTCCTTCCGGTGGGCCAGATCCAAAAAGGCCGCCGGCTGGGCTAGATCCATAGGGGGTACCGGCTGGGAGAGTGGTAGCGGTTTTGTTCCGCCGTAGGGGGGCCTGAGGGCGGGATTCCACCGGGGCGGCGGGATTTGGCGTCCTAGGAAGGGGCGGGCTGGCCGTTGCTGGAGGCGCTGGACCGCCTTCTGCATGTTGTTGGCCCAGCCGATGCCGTCGCTGAAGCTTAGGTGGTCCGGGGCGGTGTCTGTGACAACGCGGTGCCGGGTTACGAACTTGGGGTGGTGCGAGCCAGGAAAGGTCCAGACCAGTTCAATGAAGCAGTCGCCGGCGGCTGCCCATTGTTTTAAAACCTCCACAGGGGAGTCTAGTAGTAAAGCCAAAAGGTGGACCGAGATGGTATGAGTATGTCCGGGCTCGTGGTTTAGAGGTGTCACGATATAGCCTAGGGACTGGGCGGCCACGCCTGGCTTTCCGTAGACAGATACCGAGTAGAGGCATATTTTCTTCTGGTATCGTCGCCTGTCGTGTGTTAGAAATGATGGCTCTTATTACGAGTGTGTTGGGGGGTGGGGGGGGGGCAAACCGTGGTCGGGTTAGACAGTGGCTCTGAGTTTAGACCATGCTCTGGCATTTTTGGCAGTTCACAGTCTTATTCATGGGATGAAGTCGGTCACGGGTTGGCATCAAGTGCATTGGCGAAGGCTATCTGAGTCCTTACTCTTTAGGTCGCTACAAAGGGTACTTTATATTCTCGAGAAACGAGAGATCTGGAATACATGTCTTGTCTCGCGACAAGGCTGCGGGTATTTCTCCCTTTGATTGGGCGTATTCTGATTAAGTCGGCTCAATTTCAGGTTCCATCCTATATCATGGCCGTCTCGTTTTGGCATTTGTACTTTTGCCCTATTCTGGGAACTTTGGGCGGGGCTGGTCCAGGGTGGTGTGTGGGCTCTCCTCTTGACAGGTTCAACGTTGGTCATCTCAAGGGGGACAACTGAACCATATCTGCAGGTTACCTGCACCCTTCTGGCTTGGGTTCCTCCGGCAGGAGTCGGGCCATTGGAAATGGGCACTTTCACCGACTTCCAGAGTTCTCCGCGTGCGTTTGCATTTCCCTTTCGGGGATTTGTATATGATCACAGCCAAACGAACCCCATTATCCCACCTAGTAACTTGATCCACGTCTCTCAGTGGCGTGAATAAACTTCCAAATACCTCTTCGAGCTAAGGCAGGCTCTCAGTTCAGCTCAAGCCACCACCATGCCAAGTCTCCCAAGAGCCGCTCCACGCCCGGGTACTGCGGGTTTGACTGTCCAAAGCAGAAGGTTGGAAGGTGAGAGCGAAACGGCACGTCGCCTTGTCTGGTTGCCTTACATACTCGGTAGCATATACTTTGCGGTACGCGGATTGCATGGAGCATATTATAAGCTGATATGGTCCGCTTCTTTGCCTGTGGTCCCCGAGTCCCCCCCTCCCCTTGTGTGGCCCGCTTCGGGACCAGTCCACCAACACCCCCCTTCTCGCTCTGCCTCTCAATCGCGGGTTTACAAAGTGTGGTCAAGGACCCAGCCTTGGATCTCAAACCTTTCTTCAGATCCTGAACTCTTATTCGCTAGTCGCAGCACTGCTGGGTCAACATTGCATCCGAGGGCGGCTGAGTCTTCACAGAAACGTCGCCATAAACTTGCGAGGCGTTCTAATACACTCCTTCTTTCCACCCAGGCTGGGCGAGCTAGGTTCGTTTCTTCCTATAAAAGCACTTTTCCAGCACAACCCTAACTTTGCCTCTAACATATTCACCCAGGCTCTAAACGGCTTGTGCCTTCATGTTCATGAAAACGTATCGTCGAACGATACCCGAAGGGCCCATCTCCCATCATGAATGACCACCCATATCGGTGGCCCCTCAGCCAACAGGGAACGAGAAGGCCCTCATTTGACCCACCCCGTGTCGACACAAACAATCTCGGGCACAATGAGTTCATGTGGCCGGTCTCGGTCATGGTGGCTCATGGAGATCAGGCCTACCTCCAGGCCCTATTCAGTGGTGACTGGCCCGACGCCTTCATCCACGCCAAGTTTGTCGAGGACGCCCGGCTTCCCACCGACGAGTACGTGCGGCCGTATCAGACACCGATGGGCCACATCATCTGCACTCGAGCCATCAAGGCCTTGGTCAGGCCTGAAGGCTTGGTCGATTTCGAAACCATTCTTCTTCCAATTTTGGAAGAAGAAGTCTACCCATACGACAACATGGCCATCATCATGGGCCAACCCCAGGTCGAATTCTTCATGGGTCCCGATTGGCCCGGCATCGAACCCCTCCAGCCCCTGCCGAGGCCGGACTTCTCCTCTCCTCGCCACTCCCTTACGTTTCCCGGCGCCCCGGCGATGTACGGTCCCACGATGACGGGGGACTTTCACAACAACACGCTGCTGCCCGCCTGGCCGTCGTACCCGGCTTACACGCCGAACCAGACCCAAGTCAACTTCTCTCAGGTCGGCGGCCACTATACGTTTGCCTCCGCCGCCATGGCGGGCGGACTCTCTCGGGAGGATCAAACCAGAATGTGGGTCGATAATTACTACAACGGCAACACCGGCAGCGGCAGCAATGAGAACGGTGTCGATGACAGCGGGAACAATGTCCCATCCTGGTATGTGATGCCCCCAGCAGTGGTTGTGACTACCATATGCAACCTCATTTCATGTCGTACCTGACGTTAACCCCCCCTTGGCAGGGACTTGGTCGACGGATGATTGCATGCATGCATGACATGACATGACATGCAGGGGTGGGGAACTCAGGGGCAGATGGAGGCTAGGGCGAATGGAGACCAGTGAGGTGAGTGTATTGTTGTTGTTGCCGGGCCTATCAACTTTGGCTGTGAAACCAAGGCCGCTAACTAACCACTTTACTCGTCAGTATTTCGACCAACCAACCTGTTCACACCGGTTGGTTGCGAATGAGCCCTGATGGGGGTGTTTCCTTTCACTCGACGCAGAAATGGCCAAGTCGGCCAAGCCGTCGAGTGTGTTGATGGGAGGATACTTTTCGTTGTTTTTTTTATCTACAGGGAATACGGAATACGGAGACGACTCCCTGGATCCTATACGCGCTGATGCAAGAAAGACTCGAGCTCGCGCGACTCACACAGAATGCTCTGATCTCTTTAACAGTCAAGACTGCGGGCGTTTGTTGTTTGGATGAATCTTGAGCGCCAGATCCAGATTGGAGTCTCCGCCCACTAGATGTATGTTTGACTTTATTACGACGTTACGACTGCTTCAGAACTTCACGAATCAATGTCAGCTCTGGTTGTGTTTATTGTTGTCGGGTTTTGTGCCGGCATTCAGTTAACTGCGAGATCATTGAGTATTTGTCATGATGGAGTTATGTTGTTGTTTGTTGGAATAGCTTCAACTTGGGCGATGTTGAAATGCAGGGTTGATTGATTGTGGGGGGGGGCAGATAAACAACAACAAAAAACAAAAAAAAAAAAAAAAAAAAAAAAAAAAAAAAAAAAAAAAGCGGCAAAAAACAGAAGAAAAGCAAAAGCGGCATCGTTAAAAAGAGCAAAAGCTTACCGTCCAGCCCCCCGAGGGGAGGTGGCCGGCTACGAAACCCCGGGCAGGTTTACGCCGCGGTCTGAGCGGGCGTCCCCGCTCAGAAAAACCCCAAGACAGTGTCCCGGCTGGAACCCGCTACCTCCACGTAGGAGGGGGGTGAGGCTGTCCTGGGAGAGCCACCGCCGGTTAATACCACTTGGAAAAACCGTCGACTTTGGCGGTGGCTCTGTTGAAAAAGAGGGTGCTGGATCGAATATATATACCCTGAGCAGGTATGTGCGGGTGTCCGGGCGGCCCATGCACGACCTACGCTTTGACACGAGGCCTGTTGCCTGCCTGTTCCATGAGCAGCCATCAAGGGGTGCCTGTCCATCATGGAAGCCGAGCGGGAAGCTGGAGTAGATAGGTAGGCAAGCTTTGGGGAACTGTGACAGGTTTGTCTAAGATATTATACTCTCGATATTAGGATGAAAGATCATTATAAGTATGTTATCTCATTTCCATTACAACTTTCAACACACTCAAATGGCTAATCTTAGATGTTCAGTGAATACTAGTATTGATCCCCTACACTGGTACATATAAGTGATAGCAGAACAACTGTAAGTTATGCTGTTCATCTAGCTGAATGCCTGCCTCCCACAACCCTCCACCGTACCTCTCAGTATCTGCCCGTTAGTACCTGAGTTTGTCCAGCATTTGAGGAAACAGTCATTCCTTTTTGTCATTCCCACTCCCCAATCCTCTCACCCACACACTCACCCACCCACATCGCAAACCCAACCCCGACTACCTCACAGGACAGCAACAGGGACAGGCAAGCACATCACGCACCATGTGCACCCATAACATCTTGCTGTATTGCGGGTGCGGCTGCTATCACAGCCACGGGGTCACCCGCTGTTCCACGGCAGCGCTCCAGGGCCGGAACTGCGACCGCCGGCTCTGGGCCAGCACCTTCGCCGGGTATAGCAACGGTTGGTGCGAGCAGTGCCTACTGCCGACGCCGCCGGATACCCCGCCTGCGTAGGATTGTAGGGTAGAGGTGTATATAATTGGAGGGTAGATGGAATAAATCAGTCATATACCTCAACTGGTAGCGCTGTTTCCGCCGTGACGTGATGATGATTGTGAGGTGACGACGAGATGAGATGCGGCGTGTCTTACAATATTTCTAGAGGACATTGCCATGTTGTTACTGCCTAACGGCAATAGGAAATGAATGGAGAGTCTAAAGTTCCCGCATCGAGGTGTAGATTAATCAACGTCAACCGTGCCGCCATGTTGTCGGCCGTCTACGGGACGGCCCGAGGAGTAGGTGGCAATACTGCCGTGCCACCGATCAGCCACACCCCGACATAATTGAATCTGCAGGAGATCGGCCGGCTCCAAATCCCTGGGAACTTTGGATGACACACACTTGCGGCGGGGACCAAGCAGGATGGATTCAGGATGCTACTATACGGCACGGAAACGGTGAGACCCCCTGCTCCGACATCGTCTTTGGAACTACCGAACGCTCAGCAACATCTCCTTCACCCAGCTACAGCAAATAAACTCGAATAGCCCTTGGTAAAAACTAAAGAAAACTCCTTGTCTCGCCCAACGCCATACAGGGAATGGGGGAAACATCCAACGCAAACCCAGCACAAAAACCATCTCCGTCGTCCAAAACCATTCTCGCCGCCCAAACGGGACGATGTGCCATGCCTCTGGGGCTCCTCTAAGCAATATCTTAGTCTCTCTTCACCTTCCCTCCAGCAGCCAAATGGAATATTGTGTCCTCACGGCCCTCTCGTCGCCAGATGTGTTGGTAATATGGCCACCGAGCATCACTCCTTCATCTTCACGTAGTTGCTGGGGAATATCCCGTGCCTCGTCCCGATCATGCCCGTCCTGTCGTCGAGAGTTAGCGTAAATCATGTCAGTGCCACCTCCAGGAAAGTAGACATACCACCAGTCGTTGTCACTCTCGGTCTTTTTCAGTACGGTAATGACATCCCCCTTCTTAAACGCCAGATCGCCCGGCTGATCCGCCTCAAACGTAAACAGCGCGACCGCCTCGTTCTTCTTCAACAAGGCCTCCTTGCTGGCGTAATTCGGCTTCGGTGCGGCCGGCCGGCCGGGACCCACCTTCTTCTCCGCCGCATCGTTGACCCCCGCCCCCGCTCCGGCACTGTAGCTATCGTGGAAGGTATTGGATCTCGACCCCTGGCCGAACGCCCGCGGCTGCGGGTCGTAGACGTCGTCCTGCCACGTCGTTGACCGCTTCGGCCGCCCGAACTCGTCGTGACCCTGTCCATTCGCCGCGCCGCCGTACCCACCATCCCGCTGCTCGCCCTCCCGGTATCCGGGCCCGGTGTTGTTCCCCCACACCACGTTATCCCGGTTGTCGTCGTATACGGGGATGTCGTTGTACATGCTCTCGTCCGCCGCCGCGGGGCCCATGCCGCGGAAGGCGCGCGAGTTGAGGATGCTCAGCAACGGCGCCGCCGCATGGGGTGGGCGCTCGCTGCCGGACAGCAGCTCCTTCGCCGAGATCGGGCGCCCGTAGAGCTTCGCGTTGGCCTCCTTGCGCTCGATGATAGCGGAGCCCTCGAGAGACACGCCCGCGAACAGGCCCTTGGTTTTGGAGTAGCTGAAGATGCCGGCGACGCTGCGCAGGGAGGCGGCGCCCGCGGCTTCGGCGTTGCGGCCGACCGGCCCCGCGGCGAGGGACACGTTGCCGCCGAGTGTGAGCGAGCCCGACTGTGAGAAGGTCTTGACGGCGCTCGCGTCATTGAGGATGAAGACGAAGTCGGTCAGTTCGAACCCAATTTGCCCGCCGAAGCCCGCGCCACCCGTCATGATGGCCGTCGGCGCGCTCCATGACCCGTCCGGTAGCCGCGCCACCACCAACCCACTGCCAAAGCGGGCCGATCCGAGAAAGCCCGCTTTGAATACTGTGAGAATTGCGAGGCCCTAGATAGAAGACGGGGTTAGTGTGAGGGAGGCATGATGCGCGCATGAGGAAAGGTGGGGGAGGGGAAGGAGGAGAAGGCGGTTCCTTACCTTGGCGCCAGCGAGTACGGACGGTGGAATGACTTTGTCGGGGCTGAAGGCTTGTCGCGGGTCAATGAAGGAGGTTAGGATCTTGCCGCACTTTTTGCATTCCGCTATCTTCAGTGTCAGCAAACCAGGGCGACGAGTGACCACCATGGACACGAATGTGTCTATCGCGCAAACCGGTTGGCGCGGAACGGCCGGGAGCAACTTACACGCCATAGACGAAGGAAGGGGATTGTTGATACCCATGGCTGCTGGGTGGGCAGGTGCGCTGTCGAAGATTTAAAAAAGAACTCCAGAAGAAGTCCTGGGTGGAAAGTCTGTTGGACGTTTATCAGGGTCGGCAAGTCGCGTGGTGGTTCGGAGTGGACAGCTGGAGGCAGCACAGAAGGATCAGGAAGAATGTGGGGTTCGTAGGTCGGGTCCGAGTTATTCGCGGTTGCCCTTGGCTCTCAAAAGATCCGATTAACCGGCTTGGCTGGTAAAACCGGGGCGCACGAGGATTTGATGTTGTCGACGGCAAGTCTATTACATCGGGGAGGGGCGGCCGTCAGTGTGATAAAGAAAAAAAGAAGGCTGCGCCGCGCGTCGTAGTGGCGGCTGTGAGGGTCGCATGGCAGGCAGTCCGAGAGGCGGGAGGTTCCCCGCAGCAAGCAAGTCACAAGGCGCCAATGGAAACATTACAGTTGCGAAAACTTGGAGGGAAGGAGTCGGAAAATGGAATTCGTACTCTTGTCTCACTGATTGAATTGGCGCATTTGGACTTAACTGAAGGCTGGGGTAGTATACAAACTTGCGCCCTCGATGCTGCACCGATCATCCGAGTTGAGGTGAGTTGAAGATACATTCCCTTATTGTTGAAGACCGGAAGGACCGAATGGACGACTCCAACCCCACATCCCCAAGTTCTCCAGCCACGAGCTGACGTCAAGGCCAGCCGTCGCCGCATTGTGGCTGAGCGGTATCATTGCCAAGGCCGGCATGGCTGGCTGGGCCAGCGCCGCCAACCCCTTTCGCGGCCTCGGAGTCGCAGACGACCACTTCCCGACAAAAAGCAGCTATTCCCAACCTTTCACCAAACGGAACCCCCAATAACGCCAGCTGTTGCTACAACAAACCCAACATCTTCATATCGCCGCGTTTCGGTTCTTACAGCCTCTCACAATCCACCCGTGCATCGAACCAAATCCGAAACACCGTCCCCCAGAACACCGCCGGCCGCGACCAACCAAACCCCAACCGAAAGAACCGATCGTGGCCTCCAGAGTCACTAACCACGCGCAATCACCACCCGACTGAGCCCCAACCGAAGGCCATAAAACCAAGCCCTTCTAGCCAAGCGGAGAAAAAAACGAACCCCCTTAGCAACACCACCACTACCACCACCCCCACCACCGCCAAAATGTCGGAAGCCTTCGAGCGCGAGCGCCAGAACAACGCCCGCCTAGACGAGCTCTCAGCCAAGGTCTCGGCCCTGCGCGGCGTGACCATCGACATCTACGACTCGGCGCGTTCGC